TGCTTTAATAAATAATCAATTTGTGTCTTTTTATCGGGTGGGAATTCCAATTGCGCCTGCCTTAATAAATATAGTTGCGCTATTTTTCTTTCTTTCGCTTCTGATTCAGCATTTTTGAAAGCGCATAAAATTTCACTTTTTAAATCAATTCTCTTTCCAATTTTTGTAATAAATTTTAAAAAATATGTGGCTATTGTTACTAATTCATCCCATTTGTTTCTAACTTTTAAATTAATTTCTCCCATTAAAACACAAGCCATTAATTTATCTAATTCATTTTCATCTTGACTTTCTTCCTCAGCTTTCATTTCTATAGGAGGCCATTGGTTCATATCCTTCAAAAAGCTTGGGCCCTCCCACCAAAGTTTATTATTTTTTAATTCTTCCATGGTGCAACCCCGGGTTCCCAAATCGGCCGGGTTATTTTGAGTTGGAACATATCTCCATATAATTTCTTTTTGGCCCCTAATTTCTTCCAATCTTCGCCTTACAAATTTTGGCAATTTTTCTAATTTGCTCGAAATTATCCAATAGAGAATGCATTTACTATCTGACCAAACATACACATTTTTGAAAGGAGTTTTTATTTGATTCTTTATATATTCCACTAGTCTCTTACCCGCAACTGCTGCTAAAAGTTCAAGTCTAGGTATGGTCAAATTATTTTTTAACGGTGAAAGTCGATTTTTTGCTAAAATTATTTTTATATTTTCTCCACATTTCAAATAGGCTGCGGCGCAATAAGCATCCTTTGACGCATCCACAAAAATATGTATTTCGATTTCTTCTTCCGGTGAAAATGTTTCTCTTTTTATTTTTAAACTCATATTTTCTTCATTATTTTGTTGCATTAATTCATTCCATTTTTTATTTAATTCAGGACTAAGTTTCTCATCCCAATCGATGTCATTTTTCCAAATTTCCTGCATTATTAATTTTCTGGGGAGAGAGACTGGTATTAAATAGCCTAATGGGTCAAATGTCTTTGCTAGTTGTTTTAACACCTTTCTCTTGGTCCAAATCATATTTTCATTTATTAAATTTTCATTTTTACTTAATTCTAAAAAGATCTCATCCTCCTGTAAATTCCAATTAATCCCCAAAACCTTAATTATTTTCTTTTCGTGCTGTTCGGAAAATGCTTTATTTATTTTTAAATCGTTAGAGAAAAATTCATGTAAATTCATTTTAATTTGGGCAAATATTTCTTTGGATTGTTCGCATTTGTCCCTTAATTCTTGTGTTGAATTGGCAAAAAGAAATATATTATCTGCGTACATTCCCCCATTTTTTAATTCTAAAGAGAGCTTAGTATTTGTTTTTTCTAAATGATCATTAATAGAGGCCGTCATAAGAAAAGGTGCACTTATAACACCGAATGCCATTCTTTTAAATCTTAATTTTATCACATTACTTTCCACTACTTCTCCCTCTATATCTTTTAGCCAAAAACACCGGGTCAGATCTCTTTGATTTTCCGCAATCGCAATTTGATGGAACGCCTTTTGAACATCAGCTATAGCTACAATTTTACTCATTCTAAAACGCATTAGGCATCCGACTAATTCAGGTAATAACACGGGTCCTCTGTAAAGTAGATCATTTAAAGAATTGCTTCCTTTTGTTTTAAAACTAGCATTAAAAACTATTCTTAATTTATCCTTTTCTTTATTATACACTGGATGGTGAGGAATGTACAATGTAGAATTTTCTTTACCGTCATTATCAATAATTTCTAAAATTCCCTCATTAATTTGTGTCATAATCATTTCATTGTATTTATTTAATCTTTTTGTTTCCATTAACTTTTTATGCACGGACTTTAGTACTGAAATGGCTCCCCAAAAGTTATTTTTTATTTTTACATTTTCATCCTTTAATGGCCAGCTCACTACATATCGGCCATCTGAGTCTCGTGTACATGTTTTTTGAAAGTGTTCCATGGCTACTTTGTCGTCATTCTGTACTGGATTTTCGTGGATACCTATGCCTTCAAGTTCCCAGTATTTATGGAATTCCTTTTGTTCATTTTCTTTAGAAAGCGCTCCAATTACTTTTTGCATTTTTTCATCAATTAATTTTCCAGGTCCGGATAAAATTTTTCCCAATTTTGTATTAAATATTCCAAAGCCTGCTTCAGTATTTTCAGCCAAAAAGATTTTTCCAAAGTAGTCAGAGCCTAATAAAATACCTGGTTTTTCAACAAAAAGAGAGTTTTTCGGAACGTATTTTTTACTTATTGCTTCTTCAATGGCCCTTTTTGTTTGAATGCACATTCTTGTGGTAACATTATCTGCCCCTCTTACAAAAATTCTCATTATTTCTCCATCTAGGCAATGTAGGTCTACCGGGTAAATAGGCATGGTTCTGTTTACTTTACATCCAAATATACCATTTCCTCTAAAAATTTGTGTCTTAACCGGAATTAGTCCTAAATTTTCTGCTATCTCATTTTCTATTAACGAAATGTGACACCCAGAATCTAAGAAGATTGGAATGTTTTCATACCTTTCAGGATGCGAGGGGTGACTTATTATTGCTTGTGTGGTTGGAAGCATTATTTCTAGTGTTTTATCAAAATCTGGCTCTATTAGGCTATTAAACTGTTTATTTTCAATTCCTTCTTCTTTGGTCTCTTTTTCTATTCCAACGCACACTTGTTTATTTATTTCGGTTTTAGCTGAATTGTATTTCTGTGTGTATTGATTGGGGACATTTCTTTTGACTATATTATTTTTATTTATTTTCTGACAAAATGCTGTGTTATGGCCGGGCTTTTTACAGAAAAAACAATTTATTTTTGCCCTACAATTTTTTGAAAGATGTCCCGATTCTAAGCATTTAAAACAAATTCCTAATTCGTGACATTTTTCGGCCCTTTGTTCTTTTGTTGAAAATTTTTCGCATCTTGATTCCCAATGAGCCTCAGAACAAAATATACATTTTTTCTTAGTTTCTTTTTCTTGGAGGGCATACATTACCGAAGAAATTTGTTTTGACCCTGTATTATAATTATTTCGGCTTATATTCGCATTGCCATTACGTTGAAATCGGCCTGAATTTATTTTTCTATTTTCATTAAAACGCCCTTTTAAATTCTCATCTATCTCATCTAAGTCTTTTTGGGCCAAATATACGTGCTGTTCTAATTGAATCATTTCATCTAAAAATTTTAACATAGCCTCAACTTTCCATTCAGGATCGGCCCTAGTTCTTTTTACTATCTCTTTTAAAATCCATTTAGGCATTTTTCTTTGTATTAATTGTTTTATTTGTTCGTGCTCAATATCTTCCCCTAATTGCTTAAGTTGCCTAAGGATACACTCAATTTTTCTTAAAGTATTTTTTACCTCGGGGACGTATTTGCTGCTTCTCGGGATTTTTATTAATGCCCCGTGTAACGCACTTTTTGTTATATTTTTATTACCGTAATGGTCCTTTAAAACCTCTAAAACTAATCTATAATTGAGTGCCGTAATCGCGTAGCCCTGAACTAATTCCTCAGCTTCCCCTCTCAGTGCTTTTCGTAAATAGGAATGTTTCATCTTATCCGAAATTTGTTTTTCATCTATCATACTCATGAAATCTTCATAAAATGCCTCCCAGTTACTTATATCCCCATTAAATTTTGGCAATTCGAGAGTAGGTAAATTTGACTCAACCATTGTTTGATTTAGATTTCCCTGATTCCTTATAGTAATGTTCGCATTTTCGGATGGACAAAAATCATTTAAAATTCTTAAGTTTTCCCTTAGATGTATTAATCGTTCCCGGGCTCTTTCCATTAAAATCATATGGCCTTCTGGACCTTCCGAAAATTCCGTAAAATTTCTAGCTGCTCTTTGATATTGCTCGTCTTCCATATCACCTAACCAATTCATCCAAATTTTATTTTGGCCCTCTAACTCATTTACCGAACAACTTATTTTTTCTATATGTGTAATTATCATTTCTTTTAAAAGATTACATTGCCTGCGACGTTCAGCGCCTTGCAAATTCCCATCTAGGCTGAAATCCTCTTGTTCCACCTCTCCCACGTAGCGGCGCAAACGTTCCTTGATGGGGCGGATAGAAGCTTGAATAACTGCTGCCATTGTTGTAATTTAATCGCGGTGGAATATAATATTGTGCTGAAGGTCCTGGTTGTTGTTGTAAATAATTCTGCTGTTGCGGAATTTGTGGAAAATGTTCTTGAAAATGTTGTATTTGCTGTGGCTGCGGTGGCACTTGTATCACAATTTGTGGTTGCTGCTGTTGTTGTCGTAAATTTCTAAAATTACCACGACCACGCCCACGAAACGTATTAGAAAAATTTCTACTCTGTGGATATCTATCGAAATTAATTTGTCTACCACTATGTAAATAAAACGACCTGTTTCTTTGATAATTTGGCCGATATCTTTCAGAATTTTCTCTATTTCTTCTTAAAGGGCTTCTTCTTCTAATCGGGCTACGCTCTCGTCGATTAGGCAGTTTGAATTATTTTTACCCTTTCGGGTTCGCAATTATTCGCAGGTTCGATTTAGCGGCACCAATTGTCGAAATTAATAAATTTCGACTTAAAATAAATTCGAAAAGACGTAAAATTTTAATATTTATTCTCAAAGTTTAAAAGTTTTAATAATTTTTTTGGGGGAAGATTTTTATTCTTAAAATTAAAAGTGAAGAGGAAAAAGATATTTTTGGGGCATTAGAATTTGCTTTTAAAGAAGGGTGAAAACAAGAATTGTTTTAAAAGTATGATTAAGTTGGAATATCAAAAATATGAATTATTTGGGAAGAAACATGAAAAGAATCATCGGAAAGATTATGAAATAATAATAAAAATAGAAATTGGAATTTTGTTAAAAAATATTAAAAATATAATATTATGAAACATCATTAAGTCGGGCCAGTCCCGACATCGAAGGTTGATTGATTTCCTTGAATTTGCGAGGTTCTTCTATTATGTTTTCCTTAGTAAAGGCAAATTCTAAAATTGCTCTGGGTTTTAGCTCGACTTGTTTTTCGAATCAACTGACCTTGGGGGGGGGCCGGGGTTGGGCTGTGGGATGGGGAACTGATTGGGCCGTGACTGACTTGTGCTAATTATCCTAGATGCCCTGGTCTTCTGTCCATGAATCATCAACTCATCAAACTTGTTAAATTCATTGGACGAGGCTCTAGATGCATGAGAAAACATGGGTATTGGCCCGAACTTAGTTCGACTTTCCTTTAACCCCCCAGACTCTCACGCTGTCCAACCCGATTTAACTTAAACTTTTTTCAGTAACGAATGAAGTCGCCAAAGATTTTGAGATGAAATATCGTGATTGTATACCCGATTTTCTAGTGCTAACTGATTGTCAGGATAAAATCAAAAAATCGATTGCTTATGGAGATGAACAGCTTAAATTAATTGAAGATCAAATATCTATTGTTGAGAAGACTTTGGATACTTCAAAGGTTTGGAATTTTTATTTAAATGAACTCGATGAGCTGCCCTTTTAGAAATGACGCTCTTAAGTACTGGTATGTCTTGGGTCACCCGATATCCGAGAAATTTTCCATAACTATCGGTCCAAACTTTCGTTCCGAAGGAAATTTTGAACTTGACACGTCGTTTTTCTCAACCCGCCACATACCTGCTCAAGAGTCTTGTCCTAAAAAAGAGCTGAAAGTGCCTATTTTTCTGATTTTTCTTCCTAATTTAGAGTTTTTCTACTTTTGCCTTACAATTAGGATAAATCTGACATCACCATTATGTACGTATTAAGGGACCCACAGCCTCTCCTTTGTGAGTGAGGAGACCAAATAAGTACCCGAAAACTTTGTATTATGGAGAAAAACTGGAAAACTAGGCAATTTTCACCTCTTTTTACGGACCAGTACTCTTAAGGATTACCCCTCTATCAAATTTAATTTCACAGAATGATTGTCCTGATGCCAAGAAGAACATTATCGAAGATTTTCTCAAAAGATTGGCAACTCTTAGCGAAATTGAGAAGTGTCTGACTGCTCTTTCTTTGCTTCCTGATAGTTTGGAAGTTGATGTTTTGGCAAATGTTCGGATGATTTTGCGGCTGGATGAACTCACAAAGGCATTGGAATCGGTATTTTTTAGAGGTTTTTGGGATTTTAATGGAAAGGTGGGAGCCGGGACGCGCCCGAATAGGCACTGTTAATCAGCAGGTCTCTATGTGTACACCCCTTGGGGTTGGAAAAAGATCGTTCCAATATTGGGTTATCGCCTATGTAATCCATTATCGGTTAGATAATCCAACAATAGCCCTATTAAGGCGTTTTTCATCCCCAAGGGCTTACATCAGGGGTGTCGGCAAATGAAAAAAATTTTTTTCAGCCGCAATCCGCAAGTCCAAAAACCACGCAATTTACGCAATCCGCAATTTCGGACATTATTGTTTTACATCCTCCGTCGACAGTCTGCCTTAATTTTAATAAACGTACTATAAATCGGGTTAACTCTAAAACACTGGTCCTGTAAGATTGATAAAATCTCCAAAATTATAGACCAAAAACATTTTAAAATTAGGAGACAACAAATATGGAAGCTGTAAATGAACGTATTTTGCCTTTACTTTCCATGGAAATTCAAACAAGGAAGACGGAAATAATTCATCAATTGGACGAGTTTTTCAAATCTTTTCTCAAATTTGAAGACAAAAATCGTGTTTTGCCAGCAACTATGCTTATGAGCATTTATTGTCCGAAAACAAATGCTGCGAGTGATGTAAGGAATGTGTTGGATTAGAACTTTTTTTGGGCATTTCTGTGATGTCTAGTAGAAATAACTAAGGGTCTAAGGAAGTAAGGACCAAATTCAGAGCACAATCGAAGGCAGGCTCGAAACCAGCCAGCATTTTTTCGAGAGGGGGGTGGGGGTCCGGGTATGAAGGAGCATCTATATTTTCGAATTTTTTCGCCCAACCTCAGAGAAACCTACCAATATCTTTACGGATTTTGTTAGGTTTACAAAATTTTTACGGACTTTAAAAAATTTTTGGGGCTCATATGATTTTTTGAATTTTTTTTATTCATCTACTAGTTTAGTTAGTCTAGCCATTCTATCTTTAAAAATTTAATTTTTAATTTTTTAAAGAATTTTTCTGCAATGCTATTATTGAACACATTTTCTGCACATTTGGATTCCTTTGTTGATTCTGTTTGGGAACAATTTTGTATGAAATTAATTTATTCTGATGAGAAAATAGACCAAATCCTTAAAATTACAAAAGACAAATTTTCTGAACATTCAATGAATTTTGAAGTGAAAAAAGATGTTGTGACTACAAAGAAGCCTGATCCTAAGAATGTTTTTAGGTTTGATTTTTTTGAGATAATTTTTTATATATTTAGGGAGAAAATAATTTGAGGGAGAGTTTGTGAGCAATTTAGGGCTTGGGCGCAAGATGATTGGACATCTAAACGTGGGTTAGAAGCCGGTTTTAGGATTATTTTCTAAACAGCTTTTATTCCCCTTTTTTCTGAACAGCTCTCCCTTCTTTCCTCACAGACTTCCTTCTCTTGTTTCCGAACAGTTTTCCTTCTCCTTCACGATAAATTTCCGTGCCGATACCTGAATGTGGGTGGTTTAGATTCTGGTTAATAGGCTTTTCTCTATGTAGGGTTTTCCTCCCTTGGAAAATTTTTTTTCTTTTTGACCATTACTGGAAAGACTCTTTTCTTATTGTGGGATGATTCTTCTCGAGGTTTCTTTTAAAAAAGCATGGCCTTTCTCCTCCCTAATATCCTTACTTCCCCAGATTTCCGCCTTAAACGTTGATCTTTGACTTTTTTTTTCTAAATGTGCTTTTGATCCTGAATTATTTTTTAATTTCAATTCTTTTTTTCAGTTCACTTACAACATTTTTTGAAAGTCTTTACCAAGCTTTGGGGAAAATTCGTATTGAAGGACGTCCATTCACCGAATTTTTTGGTGATTGTATTTGTGTTCGTTTAATCTCTGCACTTGAAAAAGGCTGTCTAAATCCAGCAATTCCATTCGATAAGGATAAGGCAACTATTGTTTATGGTGAACTTAATACTCTTATTACAGAGTTTCTTCAATTTATGAAGGTTTTTTTAATCGTTTTAAGATTTGCGGACAGAATTTGCGGATTTTGGGAAGGAGAAGGTTAACCTTATTTTATTAAACTCCCCTCCCTTCAGTAGATTCTTGAGCAAAAGGTGTTAAGGTTTTTTAAATTGTTTTAACTTGTTTTTTTCACCTGCAAATCCGCAAGTTTTGTCCGCAAATTTATTTTAACAAAATTAATTGCTTGACTTACGGACGAAATTTGGGAAGGGTGTGCTCTTTTTTTGAGATAGAATTTCCCTCCCTCGAATTAAATTCTTGAGGGAAAGTCATTAATAGAATTCTTAAGGAAATTCCGTCTGGTTATATGGAGTTTTTTTTTTTAAATTTTTTTTTGGTTCTCGGAACAACCTTATTGAGTCCGCAAAATTGAATATTTAAAGAAATCAAAATTTTTTAAGATTCAAATTATTCATTTTCAAGGACAAGGCTTTCTTTACTCCATCAGCAGATGTTTTGTTTGAAAATTTCTTCAATAGTTTTGATAGAATTACAATTGATCGGCGTTGTCATCATTATATAACTACTGCAAGGGAATTAATTAAGCAGCCTTATGTTGATTTAATTGAGGTTTTTATTTTTTATGCTTGGGTTTTTTTTAAGTATTTGGGAGTTAGTTAGGGAAACTAATCGAATCTATGACCTTTTGTACCAAACCTGTAACCTTTTTTGCTTTGCTATCGAAGTAGTGCCACTTATTTATTTTCTGTAGTAGGGAGAGTCGGGTTGAGAATATAGCTGGGTCGAATCCTCGGATTGAGTTTCTAAGTGTTTCTTCTGATCGGATTTTGAATAAAATAAAGCCTTTGATAGGTAACCCATCCCTTGGCTCCCTGCTAGTTTGTTGAGTCTTCCCGTACTGGACAGTTTGGACTGGCTTTTTTTAATTAAAGATTTGGCTCATTTTTTTGAAATTAATTTTTATAATATTTTTGAGGTTGGCTCTTCTACTGATGATTCTGAAGAAGGAGCAGCTGAGATTGTGGCAAAAATGAATGAGCGCCTTAAAATCACATCTGAACAACCTCATCAATCTAAAGATGTGCATTGGGATAAGGACCATACAAAAATTTATCAATTTCATAAATGCAAAATTAGGTTAATTTTTTTTTAATTTTGAAAAATGATCGAAGGAATTTTGGGAGATTTTAAGTGGAATAACCTTTTGGGCTGAAAAATTCGTTCTTTAAATGTGGCGGTTCTTAAATTGAGGATATGGCTTGGACATTTCTCTTTTCTGATAGCCATCTTGTTTTAGGCTCTATTTGGACAGCTCTCCTATCCAATAGCTTTCTAACTTTAGGCTATTTTTAAGTTGTTTTCCCACCCGATAGCCATCAAAATGAAAGATAGCTCCATCTTGAAACATCTCTTCCATCCGATAGAGTTGCCTAAAGAGGAAGGCATCACTTTATGCTCTATTTGAACAGCTCTTCTTCCCGATAGCTCCAGCCATTTAAAATACATATCTTAAGATTTTTGGGTCATTTTGCCTCGATGTTCGACTATAAAATTCCAAGAAATAATTTTTTCTGAATTTATAGTGTGTCCACCTTTGATTTGGTCAATCTCGTAATAGAAATTTTAAAATCTGCCTCAGATTCTACCACAGATCCAGAAGCTTGTCGTTTGGTTAATACGGCCCGAAATGTTTTGGATATGTTTGTTAATACTGCTGCAGATTATCACATGAAGGCTTTAACTTCTGTTCCTCAAATTGCTGGTATTTTTTAAATTTTTTTACAAAAATTATTTTTCGGTTTTCCCCCTTTATATCTTTCGGGTTGTCTTCTTTTTCCTTTTAATCATTCAAAAAAGGAGTGAACTGCCCATTTTTGGAGTTATTTTTGCGGACTTTTTCAAAAAAATATTTCCATTCTTTTTTTGATAATTTCCTCCATTGTTAGCAGGCCCTCAGTTAGGATTCTTTTCGGGGGGGGGGGGGCAAAAAGTGTTAGTGTTTTTATATGCCCAATATCATTATTTTTTTATCAAAAAAATTTAAAGAAATATGCAAATTGCGAGGGATATGGAGGTAAAAGGTTGCAAAGTCGACGAACAAAATCCGCAAAAATCGGCACTTTTCTTTTTTTACATTTGAGTGAAATTTTGCGCTCTCCAAACTCTTCCAACTAAAATTACAAAAAATTTTTCTTTATTATAGCTGTATTCTTCAATAACTGTCACTACATTTGCCATCGTTTAATGACTTTGCCTGTTGATATTATGCAAAGTATGCTTAAAATTTCTAAGGTTTTTTTGAATTTTTTAATTCTTAAATTCTCCCTCATATTTTTCAGATCTCTCAAGAAAATTGTTCATTTACCGATATGTTTACCGAATTGCGTACTTTGGGCGCTAAAACATTGGAAATTCATATAATTCATTCAAGACGTTCAATTTCTACAACAATTGGGGAAGTCGACATTTTTGTAAATTTGAGAGATGATAAACAACACAAACATTGTATTAAAATTTTGCAATCTTGTATTCTTCAAATTCAACAAATTTCTAATGTTTGGGTTGAGGTTTGCAATTTTTTTGTGTGGGCGAAATAGTGTTGTTCGTTCCTTCCCCTCACTATGTTTTTTTCGATTTCAGTCTTTTTTAGGAGGTTTTAATGTTTACTTTAGGATCTCTGACAGTGTTTGAATTCTGGACCTGTTTGCCCTTCGAATTTTGCAAATTAGAATACTGGCCATAGAAGCCTCAATATTTTAACGGATCGGTAAAATATTACCGAATATGATTCAATGATTTAATTTCCCAATGATTCAATCGAATTTCTCATTCTCGCTGTACAACATTTTTTTATTTGTGTGATTATTGGGTTGATTTAGCTCCTCACATGTCGGGTTAACTCGGGTTAACTAGAAATGACCGCATAGGCTTTATCTTCAAGATTATCCAAATTTAAATGAACTTTTGAAAATTTGGGGAGCGAACGGCACTATTTTGCCTTTTAGAATATTTTTAAAAATAATTTTTTTAAGGTAATGCCAAAATTTGTTCTAGCCCAATCTGTTGGTGCAATTGTATCTCATTTGTTGGCTATTCTTTCTGATTTTATTTTGAGCAAAGAAGATATTGCTTCAAGGGATGCAGAAATTATAGCTGATTTACTTGAGTCTTTAATTGATGAATGCAAAAAGATTTTGATGGTTTGATTTGAATTTTTTACTGAAATTTATTAGCGTTTGGTGTGGTTCCCTTTGGCATTCCTTTAGACTAACCATTTAGTTCAGAAAAATATGTTACTTACATTTTTGGGCATTGTACTCCCCGTCCACTCTGTCTTTGAGCGAGTTGACGCAGAAGACGCAAGGATAGAAGATCCCAGAAATGAGGATCCAAAACCATTTTATTTTTATTCTATTGTCCCAAAGGCCCGGTCTTCTGCCCTTGAGTCTCCTTTCTGTGGGTTTGGCTATATACTTTTTGTAAATTTTTACTGGGCATTAGACATCACTAGTGTATAAAATTAAGAAACGGAGCTCGGCTTCCGTTTTTTAATCATGGCTCCGACAGAGCCGATCCAGAACTAGGTAACTCTTGGAGCTGTACCTATCACTTATGTGGATTAATTTTCTTTTTTTATAAGCGGATATATTCTTTTATTTTTTAAGAGATTCTTTTCTTTCCTTTGATTTTCCATTTTTCTTCTTTATTTTTTTAAAGATTTTTATCTTTTAATTTTAATTATTTTATTTTATTTAGATTGACGATAAACCAATGATTCAAAAAGTTTGTGAAGAGAGTTATTATATGCTTATTGAAATTATTTTTTGTTTGAAGAGTAATTTATCGGTATTTTTTTTTTAAAATTTCAAAGAAAAAATTTTAATTTCAAAGGAAATTGGACATCGTTGGTGTCAAGGAAAAGGGCCACTTGCAAATTGGTTAACTCCACACCAAGTGAAACAATTAATTCGAGCTTTATTCCAAAATACTGAAAAACGGGCGCAGCTTTTGACGCAGATTAATTAAATTTTTTGTTTGAAATATGTGTCTATACCGTGATTGCTTTAATTAAACCCATTGGGCTTTTTTTCAATAGGTTTCTTTCTTTTATTAGAGAGGGTTTTGGGCTTCTATTGAAAAGAGGGTTGTGCTTTTTTTTCAAAAGGTTTTTTACTGGGCTTCTATCAAGAGGGGTACGTTTATTTTTCAACGGCCTTTTTATGTTGGGCTCCTATAAGAGAGGGGTGTTTTTATTAGAGAGGGTTTTTACTGGGCTTGTATTAGATTTTTTCAATGGCCTTTTTGTTTGGGCTTCTATTAGAGAGGGATGTTTTATTTTTCGATTGGGCATCCCTGGGTTACTTGTATAAATATGGGCGTTTAATAGGAGGGGGCTTTAATTAGAGCACTTACGGTATGTTTATAATTTATTTTATTTATTTTAACAGTCGAGTCTTGTGGTGAGATTTGACTGTTTTATTTGATTATGGCCTTAAAATCTCATTTAATTAAATAAATATTAAAAATTTATTTTTTTAACAATTTTTAAAGGATTTTTGAAACCTTTTTTAATTTAAAAAAAAATTTTTTTTAATTTTTTAGACACTTTTTTGCTTCAGAAAATTTTTTTCCTACAAATTTTAATTCAATTTTAACCTTTATTTGTTCAAAAAATGCATGTTCAAGGAGGAGAAAATGTTAATACTTTTGACATTCGAATTTTCTTTTCTAATGGAGCAGGTTTGTTCTTTGTTTCTTTATTTTTTGGTTGTTTAAGAGGTTTTTTTTGCATTTTTGTTAGGATTATGGGCTAAGGATAGGGGGAAGGTTAAATGATTGATTTTGCTAGTGTTTTCCCGGCTCGTGAAATTCCATTTTCTTTTAATCATTTTTGGTACTGACTCAGTCTCAGATCTCTTGTGAGTTTAGTTAGGCCCTGGGCTTTTCTTTTTTAATATCTCTTTGGCTAGGCTTCTATTAGAGAGCTTTGGGTTTCTCAGCTTTTTTGTACCAATACCCTTTGGGATTTGTCGATAATGTTTTTGGGGGAGATCCCAATGTAGCGTTTAATCTCGGTTTAAATTTACATATTTCATGGAGTCTTTGAATTTAAAAAAGGATCCAAAATTGCGCTGAAATTTACTTAAAATTTACGGTTAAGGACGATTCAGTATCGCCGATTCAGTATCCGCTGATTCAGTATATGGCTATAACTTTCCTGATATTCGACCGATTCAATTAATTCTTATATCATTCGAAAGGTATCGAGATTCGACATCTTTTTAATAATTGGCCTGATCAGATCTGATGATCTCAAAAAAAGTTACAGCGTGAAAACCGATTTTTTATGCCTGTGACGTCGTTTATCAGTGATAACTTTTTGTAGAGTGATCAGATCAGGTCAGTCCAATTATGAAAAAGAGGCAGCACCCCGAGGCCTATCAAATCATATATAATAATTCCCACAATATTGATCGAGCAAAAAAGTTATGGCCAAAAAGCCCAAATACTGAATCGGCGATACTGAATCGACTATACTGAATCGTCCCCTACCCTAAAATTTATTTGTTTTTTTAGCTGTCCAAGCTGTTTTTGAAAAAAATTCTACAGCAAATGATTTGATTCATTTAATGATTAAACACTTGGAAATTGACGATATTAGTGATGGGGAAGAAGCTTTGGCTATTTGGCTTGTTTCTCCGCTTTTAGGTTTGCATTTTTTAATGAGTGGGACGCGCAGGTTGAGATTTTGGGCGAGATTTGAAAAATAGTTAGGAGTTAACCAACGGGAGGAAAGGGGAATTGACCAACAGGAAACCTCTTTTGGCCCTATTTCTTCGTTTCCCCGTGGCTCAATTTTTTTCCTTTTTCGTGTATCTTTCTCCCTGAGTGGTCCTAAAAAATCCTCCCTAACTAATCCGTACCTATGTTTTGGTCAGGGATCGGCTGTTTTTGGCTCTGATAATTGGCGTCAGAAATTTTAACAAATGAGAACGAAGGGAAAATTGGGGAAAGGGTGGGAGTTGACCAATAAGTATTTTTGTTTTCTTTTTAGAAATTCAACTTAAACCCTGTCAAATTCTCTACAAAATTTACCAAAAATGGCCCGCATTTTTGACTCGTTTTACAAACGCTGAAGACCATGAAATTTTACTTGACGAACCTTTAATAGTTTTGAGAAGAAATGTTTTGTTGACTTTGGACAGAGAAATTCAGGTTTTTTGTTTTCATTTTTTTGGCATCCTTAAAAGTCCGCAAATTTTATCCGCAAGTTTTTATTAAAAATTTCGTTTTTTTTCTTAAGTGTTTTTTTGAAAAAATTATTTTCTAATGGGATTTTAGAAGATTTATTCGGACCTCATTTTACTCTTACATCTCTGGAGCTTGAAAAAGTTTAGGTAATTAAAATCGGATGGGTATCCATTATTATCAAATTTTGGGACTTTGGAGGGCCATATCTTAGACAGATCAAAAAAAGGGCAAAAACGGCACAAAATCCTTGCTAGAAAGGGCGCATTCTCTATCGAATGAGCCAGGTTTCGAAACTGTTTTTAGGTCGGACACCTCGCAACCTCTTCGTGTCAGTTATCTCCTTTCCTAGCAATGCTTAACCAAATTTAAAAGATGTACCTTAATTTGAGTTGGCTTTTTTTGTTAAACTATTTTGATTTTACGCTTCCAAAATACTCCACTAGATTTTTCTTCTCCTTTAGAATTTTATTTTATCATTTTTGTTAACATAAATTTTTGCGGACAAAACTTGCGGACTTTTTGAAAAAATAAAAAAAAATTATTTTTCAATTAAAAAAATTTTTTAAATTGTTTTTTGCTAAAAAATTGATTTTATGCTTCCAAAATACTCCACTAGATTTTTCTTTCTCCTTCAGAATTTTATTTTAACATTTTTTGTTAACTTAAATTTTTGCGGACAAAACTTGCGGACTTTTTCAAAAAAAAATTTTTTTTATTTAAAAAATTTTTATTTTTTTTTCAAAGTTAACAACAAAATATGAAAAATTAGCCCAAGTATTATATTTTGATGCTAGAGACAAATATTTGTGTGGAAAATATTCTGTGGACATTGAATCTTCATTAGAATTGGTTGGACTTCAATTGGCGATTGAATTTGGGCCTTGTAATGGAAATTATAATAAAATGATTGACTTAATTTAGTTTGTTTGATTTTTTGGTTATTAAAAAATTTTATTTTTTTTTTATTAAAAATTTTTAGAAATTTTTTGGAATTTTTCAAGAAATTTTTTGAGGGTGAAAAAACTTTTTTTTCTGCCCTTTGCCTCGTTAAGGAGAGAACGACTAAAAAAACTCCTTTTTATTTAAGGCAAAAATAAACTCTTTCACTCAATAGCACCGTGGCGCAGTGGAAGCGTGCTGGGCCCATAACCCAGAGGTCGATGGATCGAAACCATCCGGTGCTATAAATTTTTTCTTTGGCTGATATAAATTTTAGAACGATTTAGAATGATTTTTAAAAATTTTTTGAGGTTGGGAAAAAAATTTTTTTAGGGTTATAAAATTTTTTTGGAGGTGTAAAAATTTTTAAAAAATTTTTTTAAGTCGAAAAATTATTTAAAAAAAATTTTTTTTCAGTGACCATTTAAATGAATTAAATAAATTTTTTCTTTGGCTAATATAAATTTTAGAACGATTTAGAATGATTTTTAAAAATTTTTTGAGGTTGGGAAAAAAATTTTTTTAGGGTTATAAAATTTTTTTTTTGGTCGATGGATCGAAACCATCCGGTGCTATAAATTTTTTCTTTGGCTAATATAAATTTTAGAACGATTTAGAATGATTTTTAAAAAATTTTTGAGGGTGGAAAAAAATTTTTTGGGGGTTAAAAATTTTTTTTTTAAGATTTTTTTTGAGTCGAAAAATTATTAAAAAAAATTTTTTTCAGTGACCATTTAAATGAATTAGCCCCTACTTCACATACAAAATTAATCAAAAGTTTTCGTTTATTTGGACTTTCTTTGATGGAATGTAGAAAAGGATTGGAAAATCAAGTTTATGATGAATATAGAGTTGCTTCTACACATTTTCATAATAATCATGCAAGATATGTTCAATTTTTGAAAATTGTGGGGAGTTCTCCAAGGTTTTTTTGAAAGTTTTTTTTTGAATTTTTAAGGGGATTTTTAAGTGTTTTAAGTTTAAAATTCATTTAAATCAGAAAATTGATAAAAAAAGCAATTAAATTGTTTGGATTTTCTACTATTTTTGAAAACTAATGAAATAAGTTGGAGTTGTAGATTAGGAATTGGTCTCGAGTTTTGAAAAAGTCTGCCTTTATTTAGTTTGGGTTTTCTAGTTTTTTTTCCAAATTGGTCTCTCGGATCGACAAAAAATATGGGGTTTGGTTATCTTAACTTATCCCTGTTGTAAATGGCCAAGGATTCTATTTTTTTATTTTGCGGACGTTTTTTGCGGACTTTTTCTTATTTCATTTTTAGTTTTGTTTTAGCGTTCTCCCAGGTGTCAAGGTTTAATTTGAGTATAAAACGGATAAAAATAAAAGAGAAAATAGAGAAAAATCCGCAAATAATGTCCGCAACTTTCCGATTTTACTTAAAAGATTGTCCGCAATGTTTGTCCGCAAGTTTTGTCCGCAAATTAAATTTTCCTTTAATTTTCTAGTGTGCATCTTCAACAAGAAATAAATTCAAATTTGGCCAATAAATTTAAAGAAAATTCTTCCTGTATATTTTCTTATCTAAATTGGAAGAAAACAATAATGGACTCTTGTGGTAATTCAAGTAATGGAAGTAGTTGTAGTGGTGGTGGGGGTGGTAGAAGTAATAAAAAATAAAAAGTTTTTTTTCATTTATTTTTGTCCTTCTTCGTGTTTGTGTTTTAACCAGAAAAGATTTTTTTATTTTCTTCCCCCAAGATTATTTTTTGTCCCTCAAAATTTTTTTTTAAATTTTTCCCTCTCTCGCCATAAATTTATTGATAAAAATTGGTCTGATATTTTTTATTTTTTTAATAGAATAATTATTATTTGTTTTAATACATTCAATTTTTTTCAATTTTTTTTCCTTCATTTTAAAAATTAAGGAGTGTGTGTTACAATTTTTGCGGACGCGTCTTTCGCACATTTTTTGCGTACTTTTCTTAGTTTTCCGACTTCTTTCTCAAAGTTGTTTTATTTTCCGTGGGTAGCAATTAAGCAAAAACGAATTTGATTTTATCGCAAAAATGTTTTTTTTATTTTTTGTTTACAATTTTGGAATTCAAAAACTAACAGGAACATGAGAAAAATGTCCGCAAAAATATAATGTCCGCAGACCATACTTTTTTATAAATTTTTTTGTAAATTTCAGCAATTTTAAAAAATTTAATTCCACCTTTATGAATTGTGAAGAAATTACTTATCAGGTGGATCCATCCAATGTTGAGGAAAATAAGCGTGTATTTATTCTTGGAATTGGAAATCCGCTTTTAGGTTTTTTTAAATTTTTTTTTGAATTTTTAAGAATAAAATAAATTTAGATAAACAATTGGAGACGGTCGACACTAAATTACACGAAAAATATAATTTGAAGACTGACTCGGCGTCGTTGGTGTTTCCGTGGAATGAACAGCAATTGCTTCCTTTGTATTTTTTTTAATTTTTTATAAGTTGAAAGGGATAGGAGAAAATTTTTTAAGAGTCGATTTTACAGGGCTAGGATAAATTCCTTCCAAAAATATAAGAAAATGGAGGAGAAAAGTCCGCAAGAATTGACCGCAAAAATTATCCGCAAAAAAATTAGGCAGGAAAAATGTCCGCAAAAATTCAAGGAATTTCAAGGAAATTTTGCGATAAAGACAGGAGTCGAGCCTACGGCTTCTTGACCCTTTGACTGAATTTGTGACTTCTCTGTCGTTTTTACCTGAAAAGAAGTTGTCGTCTCTTATGGATATTAGGAATAGGTCGGGTTGAGAAAAGAATTTTGTGGTGGCTGAATCTGATTCCAAAATTTTCTTCATCGGATTTTGAGTGGAAATAAAAGTTCGGGTTTCGGGTAACTTTAGGCTATTAATGAGGGAACCCCTAAACCTCTAAAATTCCTTCCATTTTTTAGATTTGCCGATTTGGATGAGCTTAAAGATTCAATAAAATCCATTCCTGGAGGTTCAGCACAAAATACATTACGTGTCTTTCAATGGGTTTTGGGAGCGATTGGTGGCCCTGTAAGTTTAAGAAAAATTTTTTTTTTGAATTTTCTGAAAATTCTTTTAAAAAATTTTTTTCAAATTTTCGAAAAAATTTTCAAAAAATTTTTTGAAAAAAATTTTGAAATTTTTTAAATTTTTTTGAATTTTTAAAAATTTTAAAGACAAAAAAAGCCGCTGCCTATTTTGGCGCTGTAGGGGATGACAACAACGCCGAAAATTTAAAAATGTTGGCAACAAAAGCTGGTTTAGTTGTTCGGTATCAATTAATACCCCAACAAAAGACGGGGGTATGTGCTGTTTTGGTTTATGGAACTGACAGGTTTTTTTGAAAAATTTTTTTTGAAAAAATTTTTTTTCTGAAAAATTTTTGAAAATTTTTTTTTATTTTAAAAATTAAAAAAAATTATTTTTTAGATGTCTAGTTGCTCATCTGGGTGCAGCAGAAAAATTCACTTCTAAACATTTGGACATTCCGGAAAACAAATTGCTTATAGAAAAGGCAGAGAATTATTATGCTGAAGTATGGGTTTATTTAAAAATAGAATCAGAATTTTATCTGAACATGATAAGAATTGTTTTAATAGAATTCTGATATTTAACAAACATGGTGTTAAAATCAGAATTTTATTTAAACATATTAGAATTTGTTTTAGAAGAATTCTGATATTTGAAGAACACTTCTGTTAAAAGATAAAAGTTGTTCTAAAATCAGAATTCTTTCTAAACATGTTCTGATTTTTTTAAAATCAGAATTTTATTTAACAAGTTGTAATTTGTTTTTAAAAAATTCTGATATTTGAAGAACACTTTTGTTAAAAAATAAAACCAGAATTTTATCTGAACATGCTAAAAGTTGTTCTAAAAATTCAGAATTTTTTCTAAACATGCGGGCTTTTTATAAATCAGAATTTTATTTGAACATGTCAGAATTTGTCTTTAATAAAATTCTGATATTTAAAAACATTTCTGTTGTTAAAATCAGAATTTTATCTGAACATTTTAAAAGTTGTTTTAAAAATTCAGAATTTGTTTTAAACATGTTGTGATTTATTTTTTTAAATCAGAATTTCATTTGAACATGTCAGAATTTGTTTTTAATAAAATTCTGATATATTTAAAAAATATTCTGATATTAAATAAAATTAATGCTACAAAATCAGAATTTTTACAAATATTTTTTCAGGGTTATTTCCTCACAGTCTGTCCAGAAGCAATTTTACAAATAGCAAAACACGCAGCAGAGAAAAACAAGGCTTTCACAATGAGTTTAAGTGCTGCTTATATTTGTAAAGATTTTTTACCTCAACTTAATTCCGTGTTACCTTATGTTGATGTACTGTTTGGTAATGAAGAAGAAGCCAATGCATATGCTGAAGCTAATAAATTTAAAGAAAATGATTTGCAGGAAATTGTGAAGAAAATAGCTAATTATGAAAAGGTGGGGTTGTTTTTCTGATTTTTTGTTTTTTTAATTGTTTTGTATTTGTTGCAATTGGTGGTGGTGTTGAATGTTTTGACGAAATTCTGATTTTGTTTGTTTATGTTTGTAGGGTTTGATTTAATTTAAGAAATCAGAATTTTGTCCGAACAAGTTTGAATTTGTTTTTATAAAATTCTGATGTTCGAAAAACATTTCTGTTATTGAATAAGAATCAGAATTTTATCTGAACATGTTGGAATTATTTAAAAATCAGAATTTTTTATGAACAACTTTAAAAATTAACAGTGTTTTGATAAAATTCTGATTAAGTTCGTCCATGTTTTTGACAATATACCAATGTCTTTAGTACATATATTCTGATTTTTTTGAATAAATGTTTTGTTCATGTTCTGATTGTTTCTTTTAATTTTAAAGGTAAACACTCTTCGTTCTCGCCTCGTTGTTATAACACGTGGAGAGAAGTCTGTATTTGTTGCAATTGGCAGTGGAGAGTTTCAAACATTTCCAGTGGATACAATAGAGAGGAATTTAATTAAAGATACTAACGGAGCAGGGGATGCTTTTTCTGGTGGTTGGTTTTGGTTTTTCGATTCAAAAAAATTTTTTTAATTTTTTTAAAGGCTTTCTGGCTGCCCTAGCTAGTGGCCGTCCCTTAGAAAAATGCATTAAAGCAGGCAATTTTGCTGCACGTACAATTATTCAAAATGTGGGTTGTACTTTTCCTGATAATTGTGATTATAAAGAAGAGTAAAATTTGAATTAAAAAAGAGAGGGTTTTTAATTTTAAGACGAATTTTTTTTATTCCTCGGTCTGTTGCCTTGCCCCCCTATTTATTTCTGGTTATTTAATTCTTCCTCAACCAAAATATTTTATTATTATTTTTAAATTTAAAATTTCAGTATTATATTTTTAATTTTAAAAACCAAAAAAAATTTTTTTTCGAGACACCAAAAAATTTTTTCCTTGAAAATACCTAAAATATTTCTCTAAACAACGCTATTCCTTGCCTTCTAAAATTTTTGTGATTTTTTTTTATTTTAAATAATATTTAATATGAGAGATTGTTATTTTAAATAAATTTTCTTATATAAATATTTTTTATTTAATTAGTTTTCCTTAAATTTGGATATTGCGGACATTTGCGGACACTTTTTATTGTGTCCGCAAAAACATTTCTTTAATTCTGTTTTTGTTTTATAACAATTTGCAATGTTTTGATTAAATTCTGATTGTATTTTTACTATGTTTTTATTTTAAGTTTTGTTTGAAAAATATTCTGGTTATGTTTTGTTTGGAATCTGATTTGTTTTAACAACATTGTTTTATTTTAATTCTGGTCGTGTTTTAATAATATTCTGATAGTGTTTTAATAATATTCTGATTTTGTTTTATTTCTGCCTAGTTTTATAATAACGTGCAATGTTTTGATAAAATTCTGATTGTGTTTGGCAGTGTTTTTAATAATTTAGTCTGTTTTGTGAATATTCTGATCATGTTTTTGTTTGTTTGTTTGGGATATGTTTTGTTGGGATGTTTTTGTGTTTGTTTTTAGTTCTGAATTTTTAAATATTTGTTTTTATTTAGAAATCTTTTAAAAATAAATTAAAAATAATAAAATAAAAATATAATAAAAATAAAATAAATAATTTTTAGAAAAAATAAAATTAGAAAATTTCTTTCCAGAACCATTAGGAATACATTCTTTAGGTAAATTAGATTCCCATTTTATTTTCAACATTTTTGCCATAGTTTCACGGCTGCTATCAAATAAATTTTCTATTATCTTAAAAAATAAAAATTAAAAATTTTTTTTCACTAAAACCCTTTGAGAAACAGCCCCACAATATTTGCCGTATTTATTTACCAAACAAACAGATAAATGCCTTAAATGTTCGCAAATGAGAGAGACAAGTATTACGCTAACATTGTGTGTTAGACGTTCGGTGCTGTGGTGGAGTTGTCTGTTTAATATTATAAAACAATGTTTTAAATTTATTCTGATTTATAATTTGTGTTTTCTCGTTTGTTTTGATTAAATTTTGATTATTTTTCTGATTTGTTTAGATTTAATTCTGATTTTTTCCGAATTGTTTAAATCAAATTCTGATTATTTTTCTGATTTGTTTAGATTTAATTCTGATTTTTTCCGAATTGTTTAAATCGAATTCTGATTATTTTTCTGATTTGTTTAGATTTAATTCTGATTTTTTCCGAATTGTTTAAATCAAATTCTGATTATTTTTCTGATTTGTTTAGATTTAATTCTGATTTTTTCCGAATTGTTTAAATCAAATTCTGATTATTTTTCTGATTTGTTTAGATTTAATTCTGATTTTTTCCGAATTGTTTAAATCAAATTCTGATTATTTTTCTGATTTGTTTAGATTTAATTCTGATTTTTTCCAAATGTTTTGATTAAATTCTGATTATTTTTCTGATTTGTTTAGATTTAATTCTGATTTTTTCCGAATTGTTTAAATCAAATTCTGATTATTTTTCTGATTTGTTTAGATTTAATTCTGATTTTTTCCGAATTGTTTAAATCAAATTCTGATTATTTTTCTGATTTGTTTAGATTTAATTCTGATTTTTTCCAAATGTTTTGATTAAATTCCGGTCGTTTTCAATGTTTTTATTAAATTCTGATGTTTTCTGCTTGTTCAAATTAAATTCTGTTTTTTTCTAATTGTTTTGATTAAATTCTGATTTTTTTCTCTGTTCAAAACTTACTGGCTTTCGAACTCACATTCCTGTGTAATTACTTCAATGTTTCTTTTCCAACAACCTATTTGTGTTTCCAACACTGCAAAAATTCAAAAATTGATTTTATTAAATCAGAAAAATTGTTTTCACCCCTTAAATTGTTACAAATTCCTTCCCAAGGTTTAACACCCATTTTTAGAATTTCATTTTCATTGGATTCTGGGCATTTTTGTAAACAATTAAACATTTCCATATTTTGCCTAATTAATTTAAATTTTATTTAATTTTTTTTAAATTACTCGCAAATTGATTTGACTCGTTTTATAATATATTCACGACTGTCGTCGGATCGTAACATCCCAGCTAATGGAAATACAAAATCTGAGGACCATTCACTTTCCATCTAAATAAGAGAGAAACAATGTTTTAATTAAATTCTGATTGGTTTTAATTGAATTTTGATAGTTTCATGTTTTTATTAAATTCTGATTTATTCAATTATATTCCGAGATGTTTTAATTAAAGTCTGATCTCGCCAATTATGAACTTGTTTTAATTTAATTCTGTTTTTGTTTAATTCTGTTTATATTTAATTCTGTTTTTATTAAATTCTGATTTATTCAATTATATTCCGACATGTTTTAATTAAATTCTGGTCTCCCCGAAGAATTTGTTTTAATTAAATTCTGATTTTTCGATTATATTCTGACATGTTTTAATTTAATTCTGGTCTTATCAATTATTAACTTGTTTTTATTAAATTCTGGTTTTGCATCTATGCTTTTAGTATGTTTTTCCTAAATTCTGATTTGTTTTAATTTAATTCTGATTTTATTTTCTTTTTATTCCTTATCTACCCTATTTTCTTTATACCGTTAACATATGGTTGTCTTTACAACGAAGGAGACAAAGTGGCACAATTGGCAATAAATTAGCTGCCCCACTAGTTAAATTTACTGCGAAAATGAGTTGAAATATTGTAATAATAATGGCAAATAAAATAAATATTTTTAAAATTGACATAAAAATTCAAGAACCTAAAAATTGCTTCAAAATGTTAGGATGTAGTGGACGTTTTGGGCCATAACTTTCTTGATTCTTAACCGATTTAAACAATTATTTTATTAATCGAAAGGTCTTGACGAGTAGATTATTTTAGCTAACAGGATTGATTTGATCCGATCATTCTATAAAAAGTTACAGCCAAATAAGTGTCAAAAATCACGATTGCGCGCACTTATTCGGCTATAGCTTTTTATGGAATGATCTAACCAAAATGATCCTGCTAGCTAAAATAATCTACACATCCAGAGCTTTCGATTGATATAAAAATTATTTAAATCGGTTAAAAATCAAAAAAGTTATGGCACAAAATATGGCCTTGAGAATGCTAGAATTTTACCTTAATTTAGGTAAGCTGATTAAAAATAATTTTAAAAAATTAAATTTTTGGTAGGGGATAAAATAGGATATATATATAACTAAATAAAGTAAAGAAAGGAGTATTTTTGGACAAATGTGAGGAAAAAATAAATGCTAAAAAATATTATAAGCTTTCGAGGAAGGTTGGTTGCTTCTTTTCTTTCAGAGAGATTTTTCCGCTTTTGAGTAAAAAATAATTTTATTATTATTTATATAAAATTATGTAATATTATTATAGTAAAGGAAGGAAGAAAGATGTTTTCTGTTTTAATTTAAATCTTTTTTTATTTTTTATTTACTCTATTCCATTAGGAAAATAAATATAATTAAATAAGACAAAATCCTCTTGTTTAGATATAATTCTGATTTTGTTTTTATTAATTTCTGAGTTTGTTTCATTTTAATTTTCGAGCATGTTTTGTTTAAATTCTGATTTTGGCTTTATTAAAGTTAGACTTGTTTATATTAAATTCTGATTATATTTCATATTAAATTCTGTTTGTTTCTATTAATTTCTGATATTGTTTTTATTAATTTCTGACTTTGTTTTGTTTAGATCTGAATTTGTTTTGTTTAAATTCTGATAATTTTTAATGAATTCCGAATTTGTTTTTCTATCACTATTTATAGTGAGAAAAATACATGTAAATAAAAAGATTCTATTCGGGCTTTCATTTGTCGGCTCAGTGGTCTAGTGGTATGATTCTCGCTTTGGGTGCGAGAGGTCCCGGTTTCGATCACCGGCTGAGCCCATTATTTTTAAAAATTTTTCTTTTGATTTTTACTATTTTTTATTGTCTTTAATTTATTTTTAAATATTTTTAAATTAATTTAAAATTAATTTAAAATTATTTTTGAATATTTTTAGGCAAAATAAAACGAAAAAATCATAATTTGTAATAAAATTCTGACTAAATTCTGATTCTTAGTGAAAAAAGCTCTTATTTGGGTAAATTACCTATATTTTTAGGTCATTATATACTTTTTTATTTTCCTCATTTTTTCTTCTTTTTTTCTTAATTTTGCACATTTTTGCACCTATAAAACGGATATCCTCCTCTATTTTTATTTTAATACCCTTTTTAAGAAAATAAATCTAAATAAAAGGAAATTCAGGTATTTGTTAAGGATATGATTAAAATTTGAAAATAAACTATTTTCTTAATAAAAAATGTGAAATTATTGAAAAAAATTTTAAAAATATTTTTTAAATTAATTTTAAATCAATTAAAATGCCCAAAAATAATTTAAAATAAAATCAAAAATAATGGGCTCAGCCGGTGATCGAAACCGGGACCTCTCGCACCCAAAGCGAGAATCATACCACTAGACCACTGAGCCGACATTGAAATTATTTTAATAGAAGCTTTTTATTTTGTTGCATTTTAATGAATAAGCAGCAATAAAATAAACGTGTTTTAACTAGCTAATAAAGCTTATTTGATTTTTTCAACGCATTTGAACACGTTTTTGGTGTCGGCTCAGTGGTCTAGTGGTATGATTCTCGCTTTGGGTGCGAGAGGTCCCGGTTTCGATCACCGGCTGAGCCCATTATTTTTGGTTTTATTTTAAATTATTTTTTGTCAAATAAAATTTTTACAGTCAAACCTCATTATAAGATACACCCAATACTAAATACTCCTCTATTTATGACGTATGTTTTTTATTTGTTGGTCATTTGAATGATTGGGGGGAGGGGTGGGGAGCTGGTTAAGCAACACTCTTAATTTAATATAGGCCTCATGACAAGGTAAATATTTTTTAGCTTCAAGTGAGTATTTTATAATCAGGTTTGACTGTAATTAAGCAAAAAAACACAATTTTGTTTGTTTTAATTTTGGTTATTTTTAAATATGTTGATTGAAAATGACGGTAATCTGACTTGCCTAAAAGCTGATTGAAGATGAAAGAAGCTCTACAATTTTTTACATTTACCTCCAAATAAAACGAGTCATATACCATTTTAAAGCTTATACTCTTAGGAATTTTATCCTGGAAATAAATTTTAAATTTAAAAATATTTTGAGAAGTTGTGACGGAAAAAGTGATCTAATTTTGGGGTTTCAAGTGTACTCGAAACTTTTAGCTATAAAATCTTTGGCTTAGGTTTAATGAAAATACTCTTGTTGACAAAAATATAGAGCAGAATCTTGGCTTTTAAATAAGATAAAATTTGTTAAATTTGGTTGAGTTTGAAAAAAGATATGATTTTTTAAAGATGCTTTGATTCGCAACAGAGAGACGTCATGCATTAATTAATAAAAAATTAAAAATATTTTCCCTTAAAAAAATTTTTTTTTATTTTCAATTTTCTGCGTTCCTCCTACTTGTAAATAAAACAGAAATTAAATTTTAAAAATTTCTAAATAAAAATTTTAAATTTAAAAAATTAAATTTTAATAAAAACCCCCTCAAAGAGAAGCAAAAACAACTTGTTTTATATTAGAAAGAAAAGAAGGCTACAGTGTCGGCTCAGTGGTCTAGTGGTATGATTCTCGCTTCGGGTGCGAGAGGTCCCGGTTTCGATCACCGGCTGAGCCCATTATTTTTCTTTTGATTTTAAATTATTTTTAAATGTTTTAAATTTATTTTAAAATTAATTTAAAAATATTTCTGAATTTTTTGAGGAATTTTTAAATTTTTGGGGGAAATAGAAAGGCGAAAAAGGCCAATAAAAAATTTTATTGGAACGGTTTCGCTATTAAAACAATAAAGAAAAGAGAGGAATTCGACCTGCTTTAATGACCCTCCCATAATTAATAGTTCATCAATAATAATAAAAAAAAATTTTTGGCTTGTATTAGCAGCAAGGTTAAACAAACATTTATTTTAGTTTACTCTTTTAGGAAAATAAAATTGGTGAAATTGATAATATTTTTTAATTTTAATGGGAGAATGACGCGATTTTTGAAAAGAAACCTCCCATAAATAAATAGAAATTTATTTTTAAGAAATCTGAAAGCCTCCCAGACTTACTGTACACTGCATCAGGAAAAGATAGCGTGCTCCTGTGATGGGTGCATCTTTTTCTGATGCAGTACAGAGGTTCAGGTTTATTTTCACTAGTCATGATTTGCCGTAATATTTTTTGATTTTTTGAGAAATATTTTCAAAAAACAATTATTTTTTTAATTTCAAAAAGGGCCAATGAAAGATAAAAATAATAAAAAATTATTTTTATTATTATTTCCTCTTTATCTATTATTAGTCATAATTATTATGATAAATGGAATGCCTGTTGTGAGTTTTTTAAATTAAATTTTGGAGTTTAAAGTTTGTGATAGGTGAGAAATGTGTCGAGTTAATGTCTCGACTTAGTCGCTAGGATTTTTCTGAGAGGTTGCTATAAGCCGGAAACAATTTCCGGAAAGAATATATATTCGCAAAAACATCTTTAGAAACATTATTATAGGTCATAGAACAAAATAAAGTTTTTCCGGAAAAAATTACTATAAACATTCCGGAAATAGGAGCATTTGTTCATTTAAATAAACATTCAGGAAAAACAATTCCGGAAAAATATAAACTTCCGGAAAACAAAATATAAAAAATTCCGGAAAATATAAAAATTTCCGGAAACAAATGAATAAATAAATAATTCCGGAAAATATAGATTTCCGGAAAACAAAATATAAACAATTCCGGAAAATATAGATTTCCGGAAAAATCAGAAATAAGTAAATAATTCCGGAAAATATAAAAATTTCCGGAAAACACAAATAAATATGTCAATAATTCCGGAAAAACATTTTTATTTTAACTAGAAACAAATAAACAAAGCGGTTTGGACAATTCCCGTACAGACCAATATAACACTGTGTAGCCCAACAAACAACAAAACATTTGTAATTCCATCAACTACTAAGATTTCTTCAAAAATTGAAAAGAAAAAAGAAAAAAAGCAAACAGGAAAGGACGATTTTGCGGATATGAAAAAGATGATTTGGATGGAAAAAAGTTGGAAACAAGTGCCTGTTGGAAATGATAAACCCGAAGCGCCTAAAGAATTACCAAGATGCCCAAAATTTATTCCTTCTTCCCTTTTTATGCGTTAAATTGTAGTTGTGATATGTTTAGAAAGAATTAGAAACATGCGTGAATAAATATATTTCCGGAAGAAACTTTTTATTAAAACAAGTTGGGGAATAGAAATGAATTAAAACATGTTTAGAGAAACAAATTCCGGAAACAAACATTCCACAAACATAGTTGTTGAGTGTTTTAATAAAAAGGAAAATAAATACACGAACATATTTCGGAAACTTAAGTTTCCGGAAAATTATTTCCAACTAAACATCTATAGTGAAACTTAAGTTTCCGGAAAACATTATAATAAAAACAAAACAAAATAATAAAAACAAACAACAAAAAATTTTCCGGAAACCTAAATACGGAAACTTAAGTCCGGAAACATAAAGTATTTCCAACAAAACATCAGAAACATTATTTAAAACAGTTATGGGAAGGAACATGTTTTAGACGAACATTTCCGGAATAAGGTTCGAACATATCCTAGAAACAAACATTTCTTGAAAACAACCCGGAAACATTTTATCTCAAAACATTTACAAAAACATGTTTCAAAACATCATATATTAATAGTTTGCAAAGCATCATAATGAAAACTTAAGTTTCCAGAAAGAATATTTTCGCAAAACATCAGAAACAATATTATAAACATTTTCCGGAAACAAACAGTTCCGGGAAGAAACATTTATAAACACAATCCGGAAACATTTAATTCTAAAAACATTGACACAAACATCATTCAAAACATCTTAGATTAATAAACATTTTCTCAAAACATTTTTTCAAAACATTTCTCAAAACATGTTCGTCATTTTTATTTATTTTTAACACGAACACCAAATAAATACAAACAACAAATAACAAAATATACAAAACATTCTTATCAGTTAGAGTAATTTGTGTCTATTTATAATCTATTTTTAATTTAAATAGGGTAAATATATAAATAATATTTTTCAAAAAACATTCAATTATTTAATTCTTAAAAATTTATTTCCTTCTTTAAATGTCCCAACAAAACTTTCGTGCCGTACTTTTTGATGTTGGAGGGGTTATAGTTGAGTATAAAGACAGGGAAAAATATGTAAAGACTTTAAAAATGGGTAAGTTAAAGAAAATTAATTTTTAAAATTTTTTTAAAATTGAAATTTAGTCGAAGAGTCACCCGAACTTTTCAAATTTTTGGAGGAATTTGAACGCGGCTTAATTACTCCTGCAGATGTTAAACCTGAATATTTGTCTCTTATAGGCCTTGTTCGATTTAATAAATATTTAAAAATAATTTTTGTTTAATTTAGGATCCAAGAGTTGAGTTAAAGGATTCGTTAGTTGTTAAGGGCGTGGGAGAAAAGGTAAACATTAATAAATAGCAAAACATAATAGAAACAAACTTGAAACATTAAAACATTCCGGAAAGTGTAATAAACAATGTTTAGAACAAAAGAAAAAAATACTGTTTTTCCGGAAAGAATATTTAAGAAACATTCCGGAAAATAAATAGACAAACAGTGGAAACTTAGAAACATTAAGAATATAAACACGCAATACAAACATTCAGGAACAATAATGTTGGAAACAAACAAACAAAATAAAGTTTTTCCGGAAATATTCCTATAAACATTCCGGAAACAAAAACATTTGTTCATTTAAATAAACATTCAGGAAAAACAATTCCGGAAAAATATAAACTTCCGGAAAACAAAATATAAAAAATTCCGGAAAATATAAAAATTTCCGGAAACAAATGAATAAATAAATAATTCCGGAAAATATAGATTTCCGGAAAACAAAATATAAACAATTCCGGAAAATATAGATTTCCGGAAAAATCAGAAATAAGTAAATAATTCCGGAAAATATAAAAATTTCCGGAAAACACAAATAAATATGTCAATAATTCCGGAAAAACATTTTTATTTTAACTAGAAACAAATAAACAAAGCGGTTTGGACAATTCCCGTACAGACCAATATAACACTGTGTAGCCCAACAAACAACAAAACATTTGTAATTCCATCAACTACTAAGATTTCTTCAAAAATTGAAAAGAAAAAAGAAAAAAAGCAAACAGGAAAGGACGATTTTGCGGATATGAAAAAGATGATTTGGATGGAAAAAAGTTGGAAACAAGTGCCTGTTGGAAATGATAAACCCGAAGCGCCTAAAGAATTACCAAGATGCCCAAAATTTATTCCTTCTTCCCTTTTTATGCGTTAAATTGTAGTTGTGATATGTTTAGAAAGAATTAGAAACATGCGTGAATAAATATATTTCCGGAAGAAACTTTTTATTAAAACAAGTTGGGGAATAGAAATGAATTAAAACATGTTTAGAGAAACAAATTCCGGAAACAAACATTCCACAAACATAGTTGTTGAGTGTTTTAATAAAAAGGAAAATAAATACACGAACATATTTCGGAAACTTAAGTTTCCGGAAAATTATTTCCAACTAAACATCTATAGTGAAACTTAAGTTTCCGGAAAACATTATAATAAAAACAAAACAAAATAATAAAAACAAACAACAAAAAATTTTCCGGAAACCTAAATACGGAAACTTAAGTTTCTGGAAACTTAAATTATGTTCAACAAAACATCAGAAACATTATTCTAAACTGTTATGGGAAGAAACATGTTTTAGACGAACATTTCCGGAATAAGGTTTAAACATAGCATAAAAACAAACATTTATTAAACACAATCCGGAAACATTTTATTCTCAAAACATTTGCCACAAACATGTTTCAAAACATCTTAAAAACATGTAAAACATTTCAAACATTTTCTCAAAACATTTCCCAAAACATTATGTTCGTCATTTATTTATTTTTGACACAAACATCAATAAATACAAACAACAAATAACAAAATATATAAAACATTCTTATCAGCTTGAGTAATTTGTGTCTAATTATAATCTATTTTTAATTTAAAAAGGGTAAATATATAAATAATATTTTTCAAAAAAACATTCAATTATTATTTAATTCTAAAATTTATTTCCTTCATTAAATGTCCCAACAAAACTTTCGTGCCGTACTTTTTGATGTTGGAGGGGTTATAGTGGAATATAAAGACAGAGAAAAATATGTAAAGACACTAAAAATGGGTAAGTTAAACAAAATTAATTTTTTAAATTTTTAAAATTAAAATTTAGTCGAAGAGTCACCCGAACTTTTCAAATTTTTGGAGGAATTTGAACGCGGCTTAATTACTCCGGCAGATATTAAACCTGAATATTTGTCTATTCTAGGCGTTGTTCGATTTAATAAATATTTAAAAATAATTTTTGTTTAATTTAGGATCCAAAAGTTGAGTTAAAGGATTCGTCAGTTGTTAAGGGTGTGGGAGAAAAGGTAAACATTAATAACTAGCAAAACATAATAGAAACAAACTTGAAACATTAAAACATTCCGGAAAGTGTAATAAACAATGTTGAGATCAAAAAGAGAAAATAAAGTTTTTCCGGAAACAATTAATCGAATAAACATTCCGGAAACAAAAACATTTGTTCATTTGAATAAACATTACCAGAAAACATGAAACATTCCGAAAAAAATAGAAAAACATTTTTAGAATCCATTTGTTGAGCGTGCTATAGAAACAATTTACAATTCAGGCAATTTTACACTAGGAATATTAACAAACAATGGGTTTTGGCGTAAAGAACAATCAACTTTTATTATTGAACCCGACCCCAGATTTAATTTTGTCATAGAATCTTGTCGTGTTGGGCATCGAAAACCGGATGCTTCTTTCTTTGAGGTGTTTAATTAATTAAAAATTAATTTTGGGTTTTATAGATTGCTTTGAAACAAATGAATCTGTTAGCTAGTGAATGTGTATTTATTGATGATTTGGAAATAAATTGTTTAGGAGCTGAAGCTGTTGGAATGACAAGCATTTGGGTAAGAAATGAGAGTAAAAACATGTTTTGATTAAACTTGATTTAACAAAAATATATAGGGAAAACATTAGCGAAACAAACATGAGAACATTTCAAAATGTTTCCATGTTTGACTCAAAACATTTCAAAAAACATCAAAACATAAAGAAAAACCTGCAATTAAACAATGTTTTAATTTAATAAAAACATTCGAACAAACATCACAAACATTACAAACATTTCTAAAACATTTTCCGGAAAGTTAAATTTCCTCAAAACATTGGGAAAACAATTCTATCAAAACAAACATTATTTCCGGAAACTTGTTTTAATTTAATTTAAGAATTCCGGAAATGTTTCAAACATTCCGGAAAACAAACAATGTTCGGATATGTTCATAAACATTGGAAACATTAATCGGAAAATAATTAAAAATTAATTTAATTTTAATTTATAGCTTAAAGACGGCAATTCAATGGAAGCAATAGAAGAATTGGAAAAAATTTTGAATTTTAAAATACTTTGATAAAATTTGAAATTATACTTAAATTAAATTTAATTTTATAAAAATTAAGATTAATAAAATTTATTTTATTTCTATACACATTATAAAATATTTTCTACTTATAAATCGAATAATTGAATTATTTTTAAAAATTTTTATCAATTTTTTGTCATCCTTCCAATATATTTATTGTTAAAACTAGCCAAATAAATAAATTCACCACCATCATCGGCTAACTAAAATCATTAAAAAATTTTTATTTTTTGGGTTAACAGACTTGAGAAATGTCATTAATTATGGTTCCTTGTGGGTCGTGAAATGATCGAATTATTTTTCCGTCCAAGTCAATTTCTATAGCTATTCCATATCCTCTATTAAAAAGTAATTCCACAATTGTTGAGGGAAATACTCTGAACAACTGAAAATGTTTTTTAGTTGAGATGTGAGACAAACAAAATTTTTATAAAAACATGTTAAAAACGGTTCACGAACATAGAAACATTTGTGTTTTCCGGAAACATTTTAGAAACTAAATGTTTTCCTAGAACATTTTGAAAATAAATGTTTTCCGGAAAAACATTAAATGTTTTACCTTTTCTGAACATTTAAAATTTAAATGTTTTTCCGGAACATTTTAAAAATTAAATGTTTTCCAGAAACATGTAATAATTGTTTTTACGGAAACATTCAGAAATTAAACGTTCGGAAACATTCTAATAATTGTTGTTTTTCCGGAAACATTTAATAATTAATGTTTTTCCGGAGACTTTTTAATCTAAACATTTACCATTCCCAACACTTTACGAGTCATCAACCAATCGCCGAGCCTTTGAAAAAGGTCCGGATTTTCAGCATTTCTATGACTGAACATTGCCACATAAAAAGAAGTCCCAGAACTTGATATTCTAATATTATCAGGGAATCCTGGCAGGTTGCCCAAAAATATTTCGAGTCGTCCTTTTTTTGTTCCGGCAAAATAAAAGCTTCAAAAAATTTTTTTTTAATTTCAGAAAATTTTTTAACCGATATATTTTAGCAGTAGCACTTTCACAGAAAAAAAAAGACTGAAAATTATTTAAAAACATTTTTTAATTTATTTAGCACCTGTTTATCTGTATGCATTTGCACTCCGTTAGGAAAGTCTAAACCGTCAACTAATACTTGTGTTTCTCCCGTAGAAATTTTGAATTTTATTATTCTAAATTAGCAAAAATATTTTTTAAATAAATATAGAGAAATTTCCCCTCGGTTTGAATATTTGCCCACTTAAGAAATTAAATGGCGTGGGAGAGGGCGACGTTACAGAGAAACTCCCCAGTTAATTCACCTTCCATCACCCCCATGTTCTAAGAATGAAAGCAAAAAATCAGTATATCCGTAGCGTGTAGAAGCATCAGAAAAAACTATTGTGTCGTTGTCAATAAAATCAAAATCATCGGGAAATTTCATTTTTATTCCATCAATAGGCTTTGTTATGGACAATAAAGTTTCCACAGTTTCTAAAATTAGAGGGACTAAATGTTTTTACGGGAAATGTTTTTCGGGACATGTTTTTAAAAACAAAAACATTTATATGTTTGGGCAGATGTTTTTGGTTGTTTTTATTAATGTTTTGTTGTGTTTGTAATGTTTTTACGGAAAAACATTAATTCTATTTAATCGGGAAATGTTTTTCTGGACATGTTTCTAAAAACAAAAACATTTATGTTTTAATTTATTATTTGTTTGGGTAAATGTTTGTTAGATGTTTTTATTGATGTTTTGTTGTGTTTATAATGTTTTTACGGAAAAACATTAATTCTATTTAATTTTCCGGAAACAATTTATTTTTTCCGGAAAACATTAGTTTTATTCTAAATGTTTTTATTATATTTCCGGAAAAACTTATTTTAGGCAAGAAGGTAACTATTTTTCCGGAATTAATTTTAGTTTATTCAACATTCCGGAGAATGTTTTTATAATACTTATAATGTTTTAATAATATGTAAAAACATGTTTATCAGGGCTGGGCTTATTTCGCACTTTCGCGTTTCGCATCTTTCGCATTCTCGCATTTTTAGGCGCGAAAAGTTTCGTATTTCGCTTTTTATTTTTTCATTACGCCCAGCCCTGATGTTTATCAATGTTTTCCGGTTATATATTAAATGTTTTCCTGAAGCAAAATTTTAATAAATGTTTTTACCCTTTTCAAAGTCTATTGCAAGTATTCCCAACACAGCATCAGCAACTATAAATTGTTTTTCATTGCGTCGTCTAATCCCTAGAGGACGTCCACAGTAAGAAATGCTTTTGCGCGTTAATGCTTAAATTTAAAATTTTTTTTCAAATATATTTTCTTTTTCCCTCCCAAACCTTCACAACCCTTATTTTTCGTCATTGGAATTTTTTTGACAATTTTTCCGTCGACTATTTTTAAACAATTTCCATCCATTGTACAGGTGTATATAATGTCTTTAAATTAATTTTAATTAAAAAAGGGTTAAAAAATCTAAATTTTCTCACTTTTCTCAACAACAATCGATTCAGGCCCAATCACTTCCCCCTCCAATATTTTTTCTAAAATTTTTGGTTTGTTCAGAGCTAAAGGCCCTGTGAGAGGAGGAGGCGGAGGGAAACTTAAAATGGGATAAATTTTAGTTGAAAATAAAAATTAAATTTAACTGGTATTCCATAGGTTTGAAGTCATCAGAATTAAACCAAATAGCAAAAGCCAAAAAGGCAATGGAGCTAAAGAGTAATAAATTCCCGCAGATTGCCATATTTATTTAAAAATTAAATTTTTAGAGGGTGAGGATTTTTAATTTTTTTAAATTTTTTAATTGAATTTTAAAATTAAAATTTCAAAAATTCAAAAAAAATTTTTTTTCTTGTAAAAATATAATTTCCTATCAAATTAAATCAATTACAAATATAAGAGGACGTTTAAATTAATTTTAAGATTAAAAGCAAATAAATAAGAAAATAATTTTTTTAATTTGTCAATAATTTATTTGAAACAAGAGTACTTTTTCTCTTTTATTTTTAAAAGAAAAATTTAGAGAAAAAATTTCCAAAATTTTATTTAAAAGAATTAAGTTTGAAAATTAGAAATAAATTTAAATGTTCCATAAAATTCCGGAAAAATAATTTCCATAAACATAATATCAGAATTTTACGGAAATAATTATTTGTTTTGACAGAATTTTGAAGTTTTCCGGAAATGTTTGTAGAAAATTAAGTTCATGAACATGTTTTTGAAAGTTTCCTGAACATGTTTTGAAAGTTTCCGGAAAATGTTTTTAAGTCTCCTGAACATGTTTTGAAAGTTTCCGGAAAATGTTTTTGAAAGTTTCCGGAAATGTTTTTAAAAGTTTCCGGAAAATGTTTTTAAAAGTTTCCGGAAAATGTTTTTAAAAGTTTCCGGAAAATGTTTTTGAAAGTTTCCGGAAATGTTTCTAAGAGTTTCCGGAAAATGTTTTTAAAAATTTCCGGAAATATTTAATTAAGTTTCCGAAAATGTTTCCGGAAAATGTTTATTTTGCGTAAGTTTTTAAAATAAATTAAATAACAAACTTATAAAAATAAAATCAAAAATAAAAATATTTTTGGTAGTATAGATAACATCGCCCAAATTTAATCAAAAACAAAATGATTGTTTGTCTTTCCATCTAAAGAAAAAAAATATTTAAAACGTTCTTTTACTTTGATATTGATAAAATTTTATATACGAGGGAAACAAGTAAACAATTTGTAGTTTGTCGTTGTTTGAGAAATCATTCGAACATTTTATTTTTTGTTTGATACAAAATTCAGAACTAGCAAAACTAAAACAACATAAAAAACATGTTTATTTCGATGACTGTGTTTACTAAAACATACAAATGTTCACACAAAGAAAAACATTTTCCGGAAGATGTTTTTTTAATGCTTCCAGAAATGTTTGGAAGAAAATAGTTTCCGGAAAATGTTTTTGAAAGCTTCCGGAAAATCTCTAATGTTTAGGTAGATGCTTCCGGAAAAGTACTTAATGTTTGTACAATTAAAAATAAATTTAATTATTCCGGAAATGTTTTGATGTTTGTTTCACTAATGTTTGTTCAGTATATTTTTTTATAACAAGTTTAATTAAAACATGTTTATTCGATGTTTAATGTTTTTGTTGAAACATTAATTCAAACAAACATAATGTTTTTAATAAACATAAATAATCAACACAAACACAATGTTCGGAAACATTTTTAATTTCTTTAAATTAAATAAACCTTCCCTGAAACATCTTTCTTTGTCATTTTCCCTCAAACATAACAAAAAACCAATGTTCATAGATACCTCATCTTTCTAAATAAATTCCCGTTAAGTATTTTCCAAATTGGCTTTGTTTTACACTTTAAACTTTAAGAGGATTTTTCGTCTCCTTTTTACTTTGAATTATGCCATTAAAAATTTATAAAGGGAAGTGTCAATTATAAAAGCACAAAAATCTGTGTGTTCTTTAATAGAATAAACTCGGAAATGACGTTTTTAACAAGTTAATATTTTAAATTTCTTCCAGAAAGGTGACAAACATATTTTGATGTGTGTTGTATTAATTTAAACTTGAAACATTTTCCGGAAAAATAATTAGAAATAGTACATATTAATTTCTACCGTATTCCGGAAAAACAATTATTAAAACATTTTCCGGAAACATTCAAATAAAATAATTATTCAAACTTACCGGAAGAATATTAAACAAAACATTTAAACATTTTCCGGAAACAATGGCTTTATTTTTAAAAATTAATAATATTAAAACATCTTCCGGAAAAACATTTAAAAATATTATTCGAACATATTCCGGAAACATAATAAGAATGTTTCTTACAGAAGATGTTTTCCGGAAGCCCAAACACAAACATTTTAGAGAAACATTTTTGTGCCCAAACATTTTCCGGAAGCATTATAACTATGTTTATGGACTTGATGTTTATATAAACATTTATTAAAACATCTTCCGGAAAAACATTTAAAAATATTATTCGAACATATTCCGGAAACGTAATAAGAATGTTTCTTACAGAAACATTTTCCGGAAGTCCAAACACAAACATTTTAGAGAAACATTGTTGTGCTCAAACATTTTCCGGAAGCATTATAATAAATGTCTACTAATTTCCGGAAGAATATGTTCCTGAACTTAATTTTTATATAAACAATTATTAAAACATCTTCCGGAAAAACATTGAAAAATTGTATTCCAACATATTCCGGAAACATTCTTAAATGTATGTTTTGCTTATAAGTGTATTTCTAGATGTTTCTAGATTATTTTTTTTATTTTTAATTTTTCTAAACAATTTTTTTCATCTCAACCAAAGTTTAAATTTTTGTAATTTAATTAAAACATTTTTAGTTTCTCAATTTCAACTTCCCCTTTTTTAAAAATACATACCTTTTTATTCCCAACAATTTTTTCTCTTAAAATTTAAAATGTACTTCCTTCCGTTTTTTACCTTTCATTTTTTCTGACTAAAAAATTTTTTCTGTTTACAAAGCTTTTTAAGGCTTTCGTGGAATGAAAAATAAAAAAAATAAAAATGTTTTATAGCTAAAATGAAAATTAATATAGATGATGTTGACTTTAATGCCGTGCAAAAAATATTTCAAAATAAAAAAATTAAAAAAAGACAAATAAATGTTTTAATGGAAATGTTTATTTTAACATTAATAGAAGCAAAACAAACACACCTTCCTAAAAAGACCAAGTTTCAGACTAAATGTTTTAAGAAAACTCCTAAACAAAACACAACAAAAACATTGTTTCCAAACTTGTTTATTTAAACATTTATATAAACTTTCCGGAAAAGACAAAAACATTATATCGCCAGAGAAAACATTCCGGAAGGAAATATGTTTATTTGATGTTTTACAAGATGTTTTTCCGGAAATATTAATATTACGTTTAGTAATGTTTCTATGTTTCAGAAAATGTCTAGATGTTTTGTTTGAGCAGTTCCGGAAAGTTTGAACAATTATTTTATTTTATATGTTTCCGGAAAATGTTTTGTTCGAATATTATTTTTCAATTATTTTCCGGAAAATGTTTAAACTTTCCGGAAAGAACATTAATGTTTTACAAGATGTTTTTAAAAATACCTAAAACATTCAGGAACATTCCATCTCTTTTGTTTTCCTTTCGATTTCACGTTATTTTTTATCAAAACTTGTAAATTCCTATAATTTTCCGGAAAGTTTATTAAAATATAAACATTGTCAAGACACCTAATATTTTATAAATCTCAACATTTTTTATTTATTTTTTTTTTTAAATTTTTCGTCTAAGAATTTTTTAAAGTTTGTCTTCCGTTCCGATTAATTTAAAAAATAGAAACAAAAACTTTTGGAGATTTTATATGCTTGACTTGTAAACATTTACTTTTTACTTGAATAAACATTTTAAAAGTCTACAAATATTAAGGCTTTTATCTTCTCATTTTGTGTTTTGAAGTTGTTTGCTTCTTTTATTCAAATTTCCGGAATGTTTGTTAACATTAAAACTTTAAACAAAACAAGTTTATTTAATGTTATATTAAAGTTTAAAAACATATTCCGGAAAAGTTTTAAAAATTTCCGGAAACAACTTTAATTCCCCCCAGAAACTTTCCGAAAAGATTATTGTTTATTTATTGTTTTGCAAGATGTTTCCAAACATGTTCCGGAATGTTTTTAAAACTTTTCCGGAATTTGTTTCTTTTAACTTTCATAAAAACATTTCCGGAAAAAGTATTAAAAACATCCGGAAACAACTTCATTTACCTAATTCCTTCCAGAAACTTTCCGAAAAGATTATTGTTTATTTATTGTTTTGCAAGATGTTTCAAACATATTCCGGAATGTTTTTGAAACTTTTCCGGAATTTGATTCTTTAAACTTTAATAAAAACATTTCCGGAAAGTTTTATTTTCTATTTCCTTGTTTTTCTCTGTTCATTTTTATTCTTCTCTCATTTTCACTCCCTCCCCATACTTTCTTCTATATAATTTCAAGCCTCTCATTTTAATTGTGCATTTGTGCGGGAAAATAATAAATATGCCCTTATTTCATAGAATTGAGTGTTCAAAGAAAAAATATGAGATTTTAACCTTAAAAAATAAATATTTTATCAAAATTTATTTAAAAACCCACGCCTCTTCAATTAGAAAAATTTTTGCTTCAGCTTCAAAAATTTTTTTTTCATAAATCCTAGCTTATTGGTATCATATTTCTTTGTTTTAAAAATATTTTTGATTTGCTTTAAGGATGAATTTTAACAGAAAAAAAGAAAAAAAATTGTTGGTGGTTGCAAATGATGCCAATAAATATTAATATACCCCCTCCCTAAGGGAGAGGCCTTTCGTGACTTCCGCCCATTTTTGTTTCACACAAACAGACCTATCCATTTTTTCTTTTATTTTACCTAAATCTAGGCTTTGTGAGAATATAAAATTTTTTAAAAATGCCCTGTGAATTAGTTAAAACAATAAATAAGGGAGAGAATGAATCTGGCACCGCCCCCGTTTTTCTCTCAGTCAATACCTATATAAATAACTCCAACATTGTAAAATTATGTTTTAGTTAATACAACATGTTTTAGTTTCTAGTAGTGTTTTAGTTAACTTGATGTTTTTCCGGAATGTTTAGCAAACATGTTTTGTTGACTTGATTTAAATAAACTTGAGTTTCTTTTCAAGTTTATTTAAAATAAAATGTTTTCCGGAGTGTTTAACAAAAGTTGTAGTTATTGACATCAATTTAATTAAACTTTCCGGAAAGGTTTTATTTCAAGTTTATTTAATAGAAAATGTTTTCCGGAAAGTTTATTATATTTTTAATAAAATACAACTTGTTCAGAAAGTTGGTTTTATGTTTTATTAAAATCTTTGTATTTCCGAATGTTTTCCGGAAAGTTTATTTAAATGTTTACTAATAAAAAGACCTTCAGGAAAAACATTATCTTCTAAATAAACTTGAAAAGAAATTCAAGTTTATTTAAATAAACATTCCGGAAAAACACTATTTTAATTTAAAACACATTCCGGAAAGTTTATTATATTCTATTAAGTGAAATACAATTTTATATTTTCCGTAAAGTTTATTAAAATACTCATTTACATAAAACCTAAAATTTGTCTTTTAAGGAAAAAATCCTTCTAAAAATGTACATAATTAATGCATGTCATAATGCATTTGTGCGTGTGTGGGGTTTTTTCAGATTTTTATTTTGAATTGTTCTTTTTTATTTTAAAAAATTTTTGGGTTTATTTCTTTATTTAATAAATCTATAAAAAATTATTTACACGAATATTCTTGGAATTTTTAATTTTTATAGTGAGAAAAAAAATTAATTTTCCGACAACACCCAATATTTTAAATTTTTATTGGCAAAAATCAAAAAAATTTTAAAAATAAAATTTAAATTATTTGCAGTATTTTTTTATTATTTTTAATTTAATTCCCAACTAGTTGATAAATTTTAAAAATAAATTTTCTCCCAAAAAAATATTTTTTTTTCTCCTAAAAAAATTTTTTTCTCTTAAAAAATTTTTTTTTTCTATCGCTATTTTTAAATTATATGTATGTGTGTGAAGAAATTATTTAAATTTATTTTCAGAAAAAAATTCTTTAAAAATGAAGAAAATGACTAAAATACAAAATAATGCCGCCTCTAAGATTGTAGCGGCACCCTCATTAATTCTCACAGGCACACAAGCTTTGTTACTCCCTGTAATACTCTCTACATTAATTGTTACCGTAAGTTTGTTTATTCAGGAAAACACAAATATTACAAGAAAACACAAATTTGTTAAAAGTTTTCCGGAAAGTTTATTTTAATGTATTTTCCGGAAAACATTTCTTTCTTTCCGGAAACACTATTAATAATTTTGCACAAAGTTTTATGTTTTCCGTAAAGTTTATTTTATAATATTAATTTAAAATAATATTTTTCCGGAATGTTTAGAGTAATTTAATTATACTAACAACCTTAATATAAACCTGCTGTTCAATACGTAATATAAGCTTCCGGAAAATTATTTTACAAACTTTCCGGAAAAAATTATACTAGGTATATTTTCCGGAGGAATATATATTTTCCGGAAGGATATATACTTTCCTGAACAATATATAGGTATTCTATTTTCCGGAAGAATATATATTTTATTTTCCGGAAAAGTATATAATATTTTCCGGAAGAATATATTTCCCTGACAATATATGTATATTTTACTTTCCGGAAAGTTTATTTTACAATTAATTTTCTAATTATTACATTTCAGAGAACAATCGCTGCACCAGCACAGAAATCAGCTCTTGTAGCTACTCCGCCTAAAGAAAATATAAAGCGAGCTTTTGACTCTTTTGTAAGCTCCTTCACAGTCTCATCTATTAAAAATTGTTTTAGGGCACTCCAGGCTTTACAGGTTTTGACAAACGTTCGTTTGACTCCTTCACAGGCTCTGGATTCACTGGGCTGGATAAGCGTTCTTTCGACTCATTTGTAGGGAAAGGCTTTACTGGAATGGACAAGAGAGCTTTTGATTCATTTGTGGGACAAATAAATTAAATAAAAAATTAAAAAAAAAAATTCCAGGGCACTCCAGGCTTTACCGGCTTCGATAAACGCTCTTTCGACTCCTTCACAGGCCCAGGCTTCACTGGCCTCGACAAACGCTCAGCTTTCGATTCTTTTGTGGGAAGGGGTTTTACAGGAATGGATAAGAGGGCTTTTGACTCTTTTGCTGGAAATGGGTTTACTGGATTTGATAAGCGCAATTTTGATGCTTTTATGGGCCCTGGCTTTACCGGACTGGACAAAAGAGCAGCTTTTGATTCGTTTGTTGGACGAGGATTTACTGGAATGGATTAAAAAAGAATTATTTTAAAATAAAAATTTTTGTGTGTTTCCTCTTCCTTGTCCTCATTTTCTTTTTAAATTTTTCTCTTTTCTATTAAATGGCAAATGATCTCTAGAAAAGGTTTATATCTCTATTTTAAGTTTAAAATTATGTATAAATTTATGAACGTATATTAAATGCAATAGAGTATATTCCGGAAAGTTTTATGTATAATACACAATATTCCGGAATGTTTTTAGAAATATTCCGGAGTTTCCGGAAAGTCTATTTTTCATTATACAGTTGAATTACAAATTCCGGAATATCTACAAGAAAACACCTTTTTCCGGAAAGTTTTTAATATACCTAATATACCTATAACATATTCCGGAAAGTATATAAATAGATATATTATATACATTCCGGAAAGTCTATTGTTCTTTATAAAGTTAATTACGATTTCCGGAATGTTTACAGAAAAACATGCTTTCCGGAAAGTTTTTTTATTATGATACAGAGTATACACAGAATATTCCGGAAAATTATTCCGGAAGGTTTATTTTCCCTACTTAAAATTATTTTGTCTAAAGCAAAATATGTACGTTTTCCGGAAAGTTTTAATATGTAAATACAAGATATTCCGGAATATAGAATATACCGGAAATTAATTCCTGAAACTTTATAGATAAATACAAGTTATTCCGGAAAGTTTCTTTTTAAAATTAGGTAAATTACAATTCCGGAATGTTTACAGCAAAACATGTTTTCCGGAAAGTTTATTTTATAAGAATAAAAAATGTTTACTAATACAACAAACATAGAAACATTTTCTAAAACTTGAATCTAAACAAGTTTGTTAAATAAAAATTACAACAAACATTTTACAATTCAAGTTTTGTAATAATCACAATTACAAACTTAAAAGTTTTATTAATTTTGCAAACTAAAAAATAATTTATTTTTAAAAAATAAATTATATTTTATTAATTTTTACCAAAATATTATTTTTTAAATTCATCGAAATTTATTTAAAAAAATTTTTTTAACTTTTCCGATTGTGCAGTAAAGAAAAATAATTTTATTTTTAATAAAAATTACATTGTAAAAATAAAATGCGCAGAGGTAAAAATGTGTCTTCAAGTTAGTAGTAGACGTCAACATTTCCTTTCGCCAAAATTTTTGTTTGTTATCAATTTAAAATTAATTTTTTTTTATTTTTAAATTTATTTTTAATATTCTCATTTATTTGGCAAAGAAATTTTCTTGTTTTAAAAATTTTTTAAATTGATAATTTTAAAAAGCAATGAATTTAGTGGCGTGTCCTAGTCAGGTTACGTCCACTCTTTCCCTCATAACTCAAGAATAGATTGACGCTATAAAATAATTCTTATGCCATTCAACAGAGGACTAAATTTGCTACAAAATAGAATTTTAATAAAAAATTTTGTTACAACTTTGAACACAGTTATAGCGAAAAACCTCAAAAATTCATTATTCCTTGTCAAGTTACGTCCACTCTTTCCCTCATAACTCAAGAATGGATTGACGCTATAAAATACATTTTATATCATTCGATAGAGGATTAAATTTGCTACAAAATAGAATCTTAATAAAAATTTTTGTTTGATCTAAGAAAAAAGTTATGGGCATAAAACTCTCAAGTAGTTAGTACAAGCTAGCCAAGTGACGTCCACTTTTTCCCTCATAACTCAAGAACGGATTAAGCTTATAAAATACATTTTATATCATTCGATAGAGGATTAAATTTGCTACAAAATCCTGTCTAAACGAAAAAAATTTTTGGCCTAAGAAAAAAAGAGTTATGGGCGAAAAACCTTCAAAAATTCATTATTTTTTAAAATTAAGTCATTTAAAAATGTTTTCAAAATCCTTCTTGTTGATCTTCTTCATGACAATTAAATTAGCCTATTCAATGTTGAGAGGTCCAATGCCACAAACAAAAGAAACTGAGGGTAGACCACAATTTTGGTCTTTTAATCAACAACATCCTCCTTTAATTACTACAACAACGGAAAAACCAAAGTAAAAGGATTTAAAACATTCCGGAAAACATTTAGTTCATACATAGATTTTTTCACATTCTTGGAAACCTCAAAAAAGAAGTTAAAATAGGGAAACAAGTTTTTAAGGAAACATTGAAAACATAAAACTTGATGGAAAACATGTTAGCAAGAGGAAAACAAAGCTTAGTTAATATTGTAAAACATTCCGGAAAACATTCTCCTAAATGTTTTAGTAGCCGCAAACATTCCGGAAAACAAGTTCCGGAATATATTCTGACAATGTTTTTATTATTATAAACATTCCGGAAAATTACAAATGTTTTAAAATATTCCGGAAAACATGCTCCTTAATGTTTTAGTAACAGCAAACATTCCGGAAAACATTCTAATTAATGTTTTCGAGACCTAAAACATTCCGGAAAACAAGTTCCGGAATATTTCCTGATAATGTTTTTATTATTTCAAAACATTCCGGAATGTTTTAAAATACCCCGGAAAAAACCCAATTAAATATTAAGGTCATCAGAAGACTATTACGACGCAATTAAGGAAGAAGACGAATCTGAACAAAAGGCAACAAAACAGGAAGATGATATTTCCAGCGCTTTACATTTAATGACTGCATTACAAACTAATGTTAATCCTTTATTTCCAATTTTCCTGGTGGAAAAAACAAGAAAAATACGAAACCTGGCATTAGTGAGTGAATTCTAAAGCTCTATAACTCGTGATTAGATGGGTCTTTTCCAAAGGTTTTGGTATCATTCGATAGAGAATTAAATTATCTTTAAAATAAAATTGAAATAATTAAGGTGTTTTAAATAAATAAAAAGTTATTGAGGAAAACAGACAAAATTCGAGTAAAAATGTTGATTGTTGGCAGTTTTTCTCTCATAAAAATGTTAATTTTGGATCAAAAAATTTTATTCTCATCTGATTTTATAGATAATTTAATTCTCTATCGAATGATATATTTTGAGTTAAATATGGTCTATAACTTCGTAAGTTATGAGGTCAAGTGTAACACGAGGTCTTGTCTTAAATTATAAGCCTTTTAGAACTTCCAAAACACGAGAATCAAGAAAAACAACGTTCTTTGGTTGAGGGGGATACTTATGATGATGATCAAGTTGAGATTGACCAGACTGGCTCAAATAAAAATTTTAAAACAAAGAAAAACAGTGAAATAAACGAAGGACCTATGATTGTATTGCTGCCGGATATTGAAAGTTTGTAGTAGAAATGTGTATTTTATTAGAAAACTTAAAAACTTTCCGGAAAATACAAAGGTTTAGAAAATACAAAAATGTGTTTTTATTTGCCTGCGTACACATAAATTAATAAAACTTTCCGGAAAAATACAATTTATGGAAGAGAATATTAAAACTTTCCGGAACCATGCGCATATAATAAAATACATACAACTTAATAACTTTCCGGAAAAATACAATTTTGTGTTTTTAACTATAACCTTATTATATTCGTGTATTTCATTTTTTGTATTTTTTAAATAGTAAATTAAATTTTTAGTGGAACAATCACCAGGAAATAAGCAAAAGAAAGATGGACTAATTTTAGTGGATGAAGCTACTGCTGCTGAGAATAAAAATGCTAGACCAAATTTAGCAACACCACCAAAGGCAAAAATAATTGTTTTTAATTAAATTTTATTTAAATTGCTCAAAAATATTTTTTAAATCTTTGAATAAAAATTTTTTACTTTGAAAGAATTAAGATGGATATGAACAGAAGTTGGAAACTTAACATATAAAAATAAATAAAAATACATAAAAATAAAATGCATGTAAAATACATTGTCGTAAACTACACAAATTACAAAACTTTCAGGAAATAAATACAATGTACCGGAAAGAATATTAAGGCTTTCTGTGTGAATAATAAAAATATAAATACTAATTAAACTTTCCGGAAAACACATGTAGAAATTGCGAAGAAACACAATTATGTATACAAAAGATTTAAAACAAAACTTTCCGGAAAACACAGTATAATAATAATGCAAACTACAAATATGTCTATAAAGAAATATAAAATACAAAACTTTCCGGAAAAATACAGAACATAATTATAGTGATTCAGGTATAAAACCTTGTAAAACTTTCCGGAAAACACATCAATTTACATTCACATAAACATTTTACGGAAACACTTTTTGACCACTCAAATGTTCGGAATAATTCAGCATTAATATTTGTGTTTTTTCTCCCTCAATATTTCCAACTTGTTTGGGGCTTGTTTGATTAACCAAATTAATAAATTTATCCAATTTAATATTTTCCCCATTCTCTTCAATTTTATTTTCCAATTTTTTGTATTTTTCAAAAATATATGTTTCAATTAAAGTGCCCCTTTTGGGCATTAATTCTCTCCATTTTTCCTCAATTATTAAACAATTGTTCTTTAAATATTTTTTAATTAAAATTAAAATTCAAAAGGGTTACCGTGGTAGTTGACTGAGCAACCTGAATAGTCATATAGTCCATTAAATGAAGCCATAACCCAATCAAAATTACCCAATTTTTAATTAAATCTTCACAGGTTTCTCCAAATACCATTAAAAGTTTATTTGTATTTTCCGGAAAGATTAGTGTGTTTTAGGTGTATTTTTCCGGTTGTGTATTTTGTATTTTCCGGAAAGTTTATTTTACTTCAGTAGTTTTATTTATTTTTCCGGTTGTGTTTTCCGCAAGTTTATTTTCTTCTGTGTTTTCCGGTTGTGTATTTTATATTTTCCGGAAAGTTTATTTTATTTTCCGGTTGAATATTTTATCTTCAGGTTTGTATTTTATATTTTCCGGTTGTGTATTTTATATTTATGTATTTTCTATATTTTCCGGAAAGTTTATTTCTTCATTGTGTATTTTGTGTATTTTAATTTCTTCCGGAAAGTTTGTGTTTTCTTTAATGAGTTTTGAAAGCTTATTTCGCAATTGTGTATTTTTATATTTTCCGGAAAGATTTTACAAGTATAATTTTAAACTTGGAAGTTTTGTATTTCCTTTCCGGTTCTATTTCCTTTCCGGAATTGTGTTTTTAATTGAATTTATTTTTGATTTTTACAATTAAAGTTTATTTTACAATTAAATTAAAGATAAAATCAGAGTGAATAATGAAGTGTGGGGGGAATAGACAGACTAGTATTGCCAGCATTGATTTATTCAATAAATGCCCTTTATAAAAATTGATTTTTAAATTTTTTTAAATTTAATTTTTTATTTTTTTTAAATTTATTTAATAAAATTCCCCCCAAATTTTTTTTTATTTCTTTTTCTTCCACTGCGCCGCGAAGAATCGATTATATTTTTTATTTGTTTTGCCTGCACCTTCTGTGGTTTCTCGTGCAAACCGCCCTCTTGGCTTTACAATTGACCGGATAACAAACACTACAATTTTTATTTTATTTTATTTTACCAGTCAGAGAATTTTATTTTCCAAAAATAAAAATTCACTTTTTTCACTAAAAAAATTTATAAAATATTTGAATCAAAATTAAATTAATTTTTAATTAATTAAATGAGTTTTGATTGCCATTTGCATGTAGCTGTTACTCCCTATTCAAACAAATTTATTCAGGATGGAGTAAAGGCTGTCGAGAAGTAAATATAATTAAATATATTAAACTTTCCGGAAAACACAAAAATTGCAATAGAGAAATAAAATAAAGGGAACGTTTTCCGGAAAATACAAACTTAATGAAGCATCTAAACTTCCGGAAATACAAATATTTAAACCTTCCGGAAAAGTTGATATGTGTATTTTATAAACTTTCCGGAAAACACAAAATTAAACATAGAATAAACTTGAATATGTATTTTTAGCGGAAACGTAATAGAATACTGAAAACACATAAAAATAGAATACTGAAAACACATAAAAATAGAATACTGAAAACACATAAAAATAGAATACTGAAAACACATAAAAATAGAATACTGAAAACACATAAAAATAGAATACTGAAAACACAAAACACATTTACTAAAAACACATAAAATACAACTTTGTAGAAAACACATACTATTAAACTTTCCGGAAAACATTTATTTAATTTTCTCTTGTGTTAGATTCGATCCCAACAATTTAATTCGACTTCCATGGCCGCGTACCTTCCACGGCAAGGGTCGCGTACCCGAAGGCGGATTTGGAGGGCAAATTGTTGCCGAACAAATGCATGTTGTTTGGCACGGCGATTCTCTTATTTGCCCCATTTCTGAACAAGTTAAATTTAATTTTTTTGAATTTTTAAATAAAATTCAAGGCAAAACCAATCGCTGATCGCCCACCAAAACACGAAACAGAAATTCATTATCACGGCGCATTTCTTGCCCAAATTGATGGGCAAGTTGCCTATGTGCCTGATTTGGCTAATACAACACATTATTTAATTATGGTAAATTAATTAGGGAAAAAATTAATAAAGATAATAAAAAAATTTGAAGAGGTAGCTTGACTAGAAACGCTATAACTTTTCGTCAGGCGTAGATAAAAATTTAATTTTTATGTCAAAAGATAGAGCAGCCTTGGCTCTATAAAATACCAAAAAATTATATTTTTAATCAGGTTTTAAAAAAAGTTATGGAATTTTAGAGCAATTAAGTTGGTATTTTCTATATAAGGATTCTTGTAGTTTTTTGGCCTTGATCTTAACAAATCTCAAATATTTTTTTATCATCTATATATCAATTTGAAGCTCTGATTATGCTCTATTTTTTAAAATTAATTTTATTTTTATATCTTTATTTAAACAAAAGTTATAGATTTTTAAACTATATTAATCAGCATTTAAAAAATTGAATTTTTAGGTAGAAAGTCCAGTAGCTGAGATTCACGCCATACGATTTGGCCCTCAACACACAGCATTAATTGACCCATTCATAAAACATTCCATGCCTATTCCACTCCGTGGAGAACTCCAATTTATTGTTTGGCATAGAAGTGTAAGTTGAGTTTGGGGAGGGCGACTAGGGTTGCTTCCAGGCTTTATAACTTTTAAAATCTGAATCCGATTAAAAAGCTTTTAGTGCCATTCGATAGAGAATTAAATTCTCTACAATATAGAATAAAAATTAAAATTTTATATTGGACAGAAGAAAAGTTGTGGTCGAAAAACAAACATTTTTCGAGAAAAAGTTGCCTGTTTTTAAGAGTTTTTTGAGAATAACTTTTTCCTCCTTTTATCTGTTAAGTTGATTTTTATTCTATTTTGTAGTAAATTTAATTCTCTATCGAATAAAAGAAAAATTTTTTAAAAAAGTTTATCCAATCAAGAGTTATGAGGGGTAGAGTTAGGGTCACTAAAGACGGTCGCTAGCGCCATGGCGCTTATTAGAATACATAAGATAGTGAATTAAAAATTAAAATTTCCTCGTTTAAAGACTCTTTTGATCTATTTACGAATTCTAAAAAATTTTGAATAAAAAATTCCTCTAAAAACAGGTAAATGCAGTTGTTCAACTCGCCCCAGACCCTGCTGGTATTCAACCTGTAGTAATCAACTTATGCAAAGTTAACCGAATAGAGCCTATTACTATTAGAAAAGTTTGTTTGCCACCAGAATTGGCTGCTAAAAAGGTTTGGAAATTGAAGAAAATTTTCAAAAAAAATTTTCAAAAAAATTTCAAAAAAATTTTTTAGCCCCACAAACTGCCCCATTTGCCCCACTCTTTTGCTAAGGAAGTTGTACGTCTAACTGATGTTAGTGAAACAGCTTTTGCTCCGTTTGGAAGATTGATAAATGATTTTACTATGCATAATGAGGAACCGGGGGAAGCTTGTTGGCCTGGGGTGGAAGCAGCTTATACGGAAGGAATGGCTGGGACGTTGTGTCAAGAATTTATGGTTAGCACTAAAACGATGAGGTTTCAGTCTTGGGGCTATAACTCGAGAATGAAAAAAGATATCGAAATGCTTTTAATATCATTCGATAGAGAATTAAATTCTCTACAGAATAGCAGAAATTCAGTTTTTTTGAAAAATTCAAAAAAAAGTTATGGTTCAAAACCCCAATACTTTAGTACAGAAAATGACAGTTTCTGACTTCGCTTCCGAGGCTATAATTCAATAATATTAAGACATATTGAATTTATTTTAACGTCATTCGATAGAGAATTAAATTCTCTACAAAATAGTAGAAAATCAGAATTTAAGCTAAGAGACAAGAAAAGTTATCGTCTAAAAACCAATGCTGTAGTATGTACATAAAAAGTCAGCGTCTGTCAGTTTTCAATTTGTAACTTTTCGAGATTTTAACTTAGAATTTTGTTTTTAAGCATTTCTTGTAGCAAATTTAATTCTCTACCGAATGGTATATAAATTAAATTGATAGCTTCATTCATTCACGAGATATAATTAAATGAACTGAAACGTCTTCAAACCTTTTTTCCACTAGGGTATACTGTAATATTTTGATTTATTTTTCTAAAAAAATTTTTTAAATATAGGTTACTTGGAAAATGCAACAGATCGAACCAGAACATGGTGTTGGTAAATTAGAATTGGAATTTGAAGGGATAACTGGGTCATTTGCTGGAGAGAAGGGACACCCAGGAGTTGATTATTCTTCTGATTTGGGAATTTATAGAGCTAATGTGAGATGGATTTTTGAGTATAATTAAAGTGAGAAAACGCCAAAAATACCCCCTAAATGACAAAAAATGGGCAGAATGCCAAAAATTTCGAAAATGACGATTAACGCCAAAAATTCTGGCAAAATGCCATATTTTTTGAAATTTTAAGACAAAACACCAAAAAATTTCAATATTTAATCAGAACGCCAAAATAACGTCAAAAAATTAATTTTCAGTTGTTAATGGCCCGTCCCGACGGAACATTCTACATACAACCCTCCCATACTACCGACTCTTTTGTTATGGCTTTTGCCCTTCCAGATACTCAAACAGGCGAACCTATTGATAGAACATTACAAGCATTTACTTTTAGGGAAGGTTGGGCAGTAAAATAAATTTCTTTAAAAATTTTTTTGTTGCAGGACAAGCACTTCGGTTAGAACCAGGTGTTTGGCACAGTGTGCCTATTCCTGTAAGTTTTTTGGAATTTCCGAGGAGCAAGACAATTGGACTAAAGCAGTGATGAGACGGTCCTGTACCTATTCACTGAACCGGAACCGTTGATCTTTTAGGCTCTTTAAAGCGCCAGCTTATACTCACAGAGTGGGGGGCTAGAACCGAAGAACAGTTCGATTCTTTTGAATTGGGGCATGCCTGGACGGGACAATTGGACAAAAACAGTGATGACAAGGTCTTGCAGACCATGGATGGAGCCATGGATCTGTTAGGCTCTTTTAAAGCCCCAACTTATACTCACAGAGTGGAGGACTAGAACCGAAGAACTGTTCGATTCTTTTGAATTAGGGCATGCCTTGACGGTAGTGATGCTCGGGAGAAGAAAAAACCAGGGAAACGGGAGTTGGGTCAGGAAATATCCTAGGGAGTCGTGATCGGGAGGCCAAAAACTCGGGAAATTTCGAGAGTCGGGATCGGGATACCCTACCATCACTACTGGACGGAAGATTGGAATCCCCCAAAAATCCACGATTCATCGGTTAGGTCCCAAACAGACAAAAAACCCTACTGAGGACCGCCCCGATTTAAATTCTAATTGTCTTGCAATTGTCAGTCAAAAAATTTTTATTTTACACAAAATTTTTCAGTTGGTCGGTTCCGGCCCAGTTGTTTTTACAGAAGTTATAGCTGCAACAAATGCCAATTTAGTAATTAATGTTTTGGAAGAGTGTGGACACCCTATACAATTTGTACAGGCTATTTAAAGGATAGGAGAAAAATAGAAGGAATTTATACTTAAAACTAAAGTAGATTGCCATAAAACTCTGAAAATTTTCATAATTTTTGTTTTTACTAACAAAATCACAAAATTATTTTTTAAATAAATTTTTATATATTATGTAAAAGAAGCTAGAAGCGTTGTTAATAAATACAAAAAATGTAGATAAATGAGATTTTTTAACGAGCAGCGATGATCTCTAATGAGAGCTAAGCGGTAACAGTATTCCGGGAATAGATCTGAATAGGGGTCCAAAACAAATGTTTTTGGAGTGACCAAGGACTTTGGAAGCCAAGGACTTATTACCGCCAATCCTGGTCGAGATCTCGTTAGCAACTAACCCTACTATAAATACCCAACACCCTAAAAACTGATACCAATATCCATCTCTAGACATAAAGGACCACCAAAGAGAGAATCAACAAATTGTTGCCTAGATAAGTTCGGCAAACTAATTTTGAAAGTTGTCTGCGACAACTATTAAATTAATAGTGAAGAATAAGCTCATAGAAGATCAAAGACATTTAAACGATGAAAAAACTTTTAAGAGAAAGACATTTAAGAAAGAACTTAAGAGATGGAAATTTCCCAGAAAAGTTTATAAATTGAAAAAGAATATTCCTTTTAATTGAAGGGGTCAAAATGGAATCAGGGGAAAAATTAATGTTTGTTCCGATATTTTTTATAAAAAAATATATGCCTCTTAACACTTTCCCAAACATTTCAAATGATTTTCTGAAACATGTCTGGTTAAAAGGCTTGAAGCAAGTCAATGCCTTTTAAGTTTTCCTTTGTCTATCCTTCCATCAAATAAACTTACCTATATTTAAATATAATACACATAAGAGGAGAAAAATTCAGTTGACTAAAAATTAAAGCAAAAATAAATCTATATAAAAATATATTTTTCTGATTAATATTTTTGAAATATTTTAGCGTATCTTTAAATGGTAATGATATTTTTTTAATTTCAAAATTTTTTTTTCGAATATCGATAAAATTGAGCTAAAATTGAGCTATAACTTGAGAACCCGAAAATTTCCAATTTATTCATTTTTTACAGGCAGACACAACGACCACCCCAGTATTCACCCAAAAACTCACGATTCTCGGCAGACCAAGTATTGGATCGCCGGCTCATATGGAAACTCGACTTCGACAAAAGCTATAACTTTTGACTGCTATATTTTTTGCAAATCAACTACCGGCTGCTAATGCTGCTGCTATTGATGATGCTGCTGCTATTGACGGACAATTATATTTCCCTGATATTGCAAATCCACAGCCTGATAATATTGTTGTTAATGATGTACAGCCACAATTGCATAAGCTAGCTATCGAATTGTATCCGGAGAAGAATCCTCTTCAATTACAAGCAAATGGGGATTTGCAGCATGAAGATGTTTGTTTTGTGTGCTCCTCGTCTCAGAACGTTCCATTGGGTGAATACAGCTTCAAAGAATTTGAAGAGAGGATTTTTTAAGAAGGTATAATCAACTCCTTTAACATTTAAAAAAATATTTTTTTATTCAGACTGAAAATGCTGCTGAGGATCCAACAACAAAACGACATAAACTCAATTTGGAAGAGGAAACAACGCATCAGGATGCTAATCTCAGCCTTCCACCTCCAAATTTTATCGAAAATTTACAAGTCGACTTGAATCCTATTACACCGCGACCAGCAGTTCAGGAAGAAAATTCTGACGACTAATTAAATACTCATTGAAAGGGAGCTAATAAAATTGGAAAAATAAATTCACAGTTTTGACATTAAATCTCCAGTTCTACTTGCCTTTTAAATTTTTTTGGGTCTTTTATTTTGTATTTCCAGACATTTTAAATATTTTATGATTTTTAAAAATAAATATTTATTTAGCAATTTTAAATAAACTTTTTTATTAAAAAGTCGTTTAATATTTTGGGCAAAATTAAATATTTTTGTTTTGCCAAAATTAATAATCTTTGGCGAAATGCCCAAATTTTGGCAAAATGTTCTTTGAAATCTTGGGCACTCAAGTCCCGACACTTATAGCTAGAGACCGAACTGGGACGTGTCCGGACAAAATACCGAATCGTTAAAATATGGAATAGGCTAAAAAAGGGTTAAAATCTCGAATCGGGTAAAAATGGGTTAAAATCGCGAATAGGCTAAAAAGGGGTTAAAATGTGGAATCGTTAAAATATGGAATGGTCAAAATATCGAATCGGCTAAAAAAGGGTTAAAATATGGAATCGTTAAAATATGGAATGGTAAAAATGTCGACACGGCCAAAATCAGATTAAATATACCGTCTTCTGCAACTGATTTTACCTCATTAATAGATTTTACCTCTAATTTAGAATTTTATCCGTAAATGGATGTACGAACAACTTTAGCAAAATTACAAAAAACTCGAAAACGACGATTACAAATCAATGATACTTCTGATTTAAATGAACAAGAACCAGAAGCAAATCTTGATGGAGAAAATGAAAAATGCTATGGAGCAAATCTGACAAAATTTGAACAAGGAGTTACACAGAAGGGTGGCGTCAGCCTTTGGCATGCAGGTTTGAGCTAGATATCAAATTATTAAAATGGATTTTTTGAGGGTATCGATATGTCAAGAGTAAAAATATTCATTGGCGTTGTTCAAACTTGGACTGCCAGGCAACTGCAAAAGCTGAAGAGAAAAATGGCCAATTTATTGGCAGTTTAGGAGAAAAAGAGCATAATCATCCTCCAGCAATTCAAAAAAAAGTTTGTGAAGAGCTTAGAAATAGATTGAAGAAGGATAAGAGACCAATTCTGGGAGAAGTACGAGCAAATATCCCAGATGAAGTTTACATTGCTTTGGGTAGTGATGATGCTTTAAATCAGCTTATAAAGAGGTTTATTTTCATTATTTTCTTTCAATAAATTACCCTCATTTTAGGCAAAAAAAGCAAAAGTTTGGGAACGTTAATTGTGTGGATCTTGGAAAAATGGTCATTCCAGCGTTTTTGACAGAAAAATACAACTCATCAACGTTGATTTACGACAGTAGAGATGAGCGTGGAAATGAGGATGTTGTTCTTGTCTTTAGCCATGCAAGGGTTAATTTTAATAATTTTGAACTAGTATTATTTTTAAAAATTTAGTTGCTCGATATATTATCTCAAAATAAGCATTGGGCCTGTGATGGCACCTTCAAATCCGCCCCAAGGCCATTTGCGCAATGTTTTTGTATTGGTGCTTTTGTACGAGGTCGCATTGTTGTTTGTGTCCAAGCCCTTCTTCCAACAAAAAAGACAATTCATTATCAGGAAGTATTGAGAGAAGTAAGGCGTGCTATTAATCCAAATGAACCAAAAAGAGGTTTCTAGCTTATAATTTTTAAATAGGTTTTTATAATTTTAAGTAATATCAGATTTTGAAAAATCTGAAATTGCTGCTCTTCAATTTATCTTTCCAGCTGCTCAGCTGTCCGGCTGTTTATTTCATTTTGGACAGTCTCTTTGGCGAAAATGGAGGCAATTTGGCCTAGATTATCTTCTAGGTGATGATACAGATGAAGGTGAACGTGCTAGGACTAATTTCAGGTTTTTATTTTTGGTAGTAACATAATACTAAAATTTATAGGCGGATTCTCGCCCTGGCTTTAATTCCGACACAACATGTTAGACGTGGTTTTGGTCTTATTGTTACTTCCTCTCCTGCCTGCATGTCAACATTTATCTCGTATTTTGCGGCGACATATATTGGTTTAAGTCAGATTGAAAAACAATTGGGAGCGGAAGCATTTCAGCAAGGGGTCCAAGTGCATTCAGTTCAAGAAAACAGTGGAAATTTTACAGGTTTTCTATTTAATGTTCAATAATTCAAAAGTAAATTAAGCTTTGGATGATCATTCTTTTCATCCCATTATTTCAACGCCTATCCACATGGAATCAACTGCACCTCCAACACCGTCAATTAGCCTAAGTACAATTGTGGAGATTCCTAGTTGGGAGGTGCCATTAGTCCAAAGTCCACAATATCCTATAGTATTTTGGAATGTGAATGATCGGGCCGTGAAAGCATTAGCTAAGACTAACAATGCATTGGAGTCGAGTCACTACCATTTTGTGGTATTTCTTTTGTATTTTTTACTTTTCCAAATTTTTTATTTAGAAAAAACTTAACCATCATCCTTCAATGAGTGATTTTCTCTTGGCAATTTTGGATGATGTTGATAAGCAAGTAGACATCGCTCGTTCTGCTACTACCTTTACACAGCAACGAAAAAGAAAGTATGTGATCAAGGAGTTCCAAGTTATGCACACACTAAATGAAGCCGAATACGATGATAATAGACAACTTCTGAATGTTCTAACGCTCCTTGGCTTACAAATGAGTGGTTATGTTGAGGGACTGCGAGTTGCTACACGTCAACAGGAAGAACGTGATACTGAAGATGGTGTGGATAGTGCAACTTTGGAAAGTCAAATTATTAGTCAAGATTATTTAGACGCTTCTAGTTCATTATTTATCTATTAATATTTTACTTTATTTTTTATTATTTTTTTATTGACTTTGATTATTATTTTATTGTTCAATGATTCTAGCTTTAATGATTTTTGTTCGGTGATTTTAAATGAAATATAAAATTTTTATTTTGCTTAGTTTTGATTTTACTACGACATACGAAACTTATCAATCAAATTATCAAAAATAAGTTGATAAGTTGTCATCAACAATCAGCGTATTGCACTCATATGACCCTTTTTTAAAAGAATTCGACATTTTGACAGATTTTAGCCGTGTCGACATTTTTACCATTCCATATTTTAACGATTCCATATTTTAACCCTTTTTTACCCGATTCGATATTTTAACGTTTCCATATTTTAACGTTTCGGTATTTTAACCCCTTTTTAGCCTATTCGCGATTTTAACCATTCCATATTTTAACGATTCCATATTTTGTACCGGAGCCAACTGGGAGGGTCGTATTTTTTATCGAGATCTTCATCGTCTCTTGCTTCATGTTCTTGTTAACATTGGACTCGGCGGGCTAAACGGGACAGGGGTAGGAAAATAGTGTGTTATTTTATGAGACATTCAATTTTTGTATTTTATTTGCGTTAGTTTCAGTGCTAATAATTAATGATCGTTTGAATGCCAACTTTGCGCAATTTTTGAGTGTCAAAGAGAGGGACTCTCTAATTTTTCAACATCATTTATGCCCTTTTCCGCTTTTTTCTACGTCTTCCCCATTTTCAGTGTACAGCCAAAACGGCGCGCGGCCATAGCGGCACAAAGCTATAACTTGCTGGAAAATGTCTAGCCCGTATGAATTTTGATACCAATCTCCTTAGCTCGATGTAAGGAATCGTTTGATACTAAATTTGAAAGGATTAGAAAATCTTGAAGGAAGTTATGGCTTTGCGCCGTTATGGCCGCGCGCCGGCGTGTCCCCCCCCCCCCCCCCCCCATTTTTAGGGCAAAAACCCCCACATTTCGGCCATAGAGGCAAAACCGCTAATTTAGTCAATAACAACAATAAGAAGACACTCCCCGTTGTTGGAACAACAAACCGAATATAAAAAAATTTTTTGCCGAATGTGGTGGGTTTGCCGAAGTATGCGACTTCTTCCATGCTTTCACAATCCTCGCCAGTTCCCATATTTTAGACAATTTAAAATTAAATTTTTCAAACAAATGGCATTTTCAACAACCTCAAATATTCAATTAACTCAGGAACAAAAAGAAAGGATTAAAGCAAATAGAGAAGAAGCGCTAAAAAAGCGGGCGGCGGCTGAAGAAAAATTAAAATTGCAGCAACAACCTTCCAAGCCTGTTGAACAAAGAGAACAACAAAATTCCAATGAAATTATTAAAAATAAAAATTTAATTAGTGTCGATTTTAAATTTTATTTGTTGAGTTCGGAGAGGTTTAAGGTTTGGAAAATTTTTTAATTAAAAAAATTTGCGGACAAAAAAATTTTTTGCGGACAATTTTTGCGGATTTTTCTTTTCTGGGATTTTTAAGAAGTAATGAATTTATAGGAATATGAGATTTTTAAAAATAAGGTATAACCTCATTATGAGATGCCTGCCGGGTTGAAAAAATGGTACCTTATAATGAGGTGCATCACGGGTTTCACGTGTTTGGAAAAATTGTGGTTTCAATTTTCTAAATTTTTTCGGATGGTGGTGCGGTTTTTAAATAGGTTCCTGGTTTCTAATAAGCCTTGACATCCCCGAAGTATATATTAAGTCGAGGGGTTTACCTTTGTCTGTTCACTTTCAAAAAAATTTTTATTTTTGCGGGCAAAAAATTTTTTGCGGTCAACTTTTGCGGACATTTTTTTATTTTTTTTTAAAATTATTCAATTTTTTCAGTTAGAATTCCACCCATTCGACAGTTCAATACCTCTAAAATTGAAAGAAATTCCTTCAAGAAATTATGACTCAGCAGCCAAAATTTGGAATTTTTTGTTGAAAGATTATGAAGTGGTCAAAAATAAATTAAATCAATTACGTTCAAAAAATGTTTTGGCTAAATTTGATGAAATTCCTCTTGGAGTTAGAAAGGTTTTTTTCAAATAATTTTTGTGAATAGATAAAATTTTGGATTTTTTTTTCGTTATGGGAAAGTCCGCAATTTTTTGCTGCAAAGTTCAAAATTTTTTTTGCGGACAAAAGTTGCGGACTTTTTCTTGTCCGCAAATATTTGCGGATTTTTCTTGCGGACTTTCCTCTTATTTAACCATCTGCTTGGGATTTTAATTGGAATATTTTTTTCTACGGACCTACGAACTTTTGCGGACATTTTTGCGGACACAATTGTATAGAATGGTCAGTTTCTCCCATTCGCATTTTAATACGAATCAATCGATAAGGGTTTCTATGCAATTGTGTCCGCAAAAAAGTCCGAGGGATAACCGACAAGTACCGCAATTTATTACTGCAAATTTCAAAGTTTTTGCGGACAAATTTTGCGGAAATTTCTCCCTTTTAAAATTTGTCGAAAATTAAAAGAAAAATTAAAATTATTTTTTCAGCTTTTTCTCGATAAAATATCGCCACGGAATTTAGAGCCTACTTCAAGTGAATCTACCTCAACTTGTCTGGACAAAGCAGATCCCAAGATTGTTGAGACTCTTTTTCCTTTTCAACGTTCAGGCGTCAGGTTCTTTCAAATTTTAAATTTATTTTTAAGTCAGTTCTGGCTAATTTTCTCATTTTGGGATCAAATGTCACCTTTCCTATTTTTCCCATTTTTCTTAAAAATTTTTTTTAGTTTTGGCATTCGCAGAGGTGGTCGTTTGCTAATTGCTGATGAAATGGGTCTAGGCAAAACAGTTCAAGCATTGGCTATTGCTTCTGCTTTCAGGTTTTTTATGTTACTTGGTTAGGGTATAGGCTTTATTGTAAATTATGAAATTTTTTGGGGGAGTCGGCCATCATGAGATTTGACCCAAATGAGCATTTTTAGAAATTTTGAGAGTATGACCATTATAAGTAGGGTTGCCGTTTTCGAGTCGGGCCGACGTTCGTCATTTTTTCGGACCTCATTTTTATCGGGGCGGCCTTTTACGGGCTTCATTTTTTTCGGACCGGACAGGGCCGGTAATCCTAATTATAAGTCCTGACCCAATCGAATTTTAAAAACTTTAATTTTGAGGTCATTTTGAGTGCTGACCCAAATGAGCATTTTTTCAAAAAATTTTTTAATTTTAAGTGGTGAATGGCCTCTATTAATTATCTGCCCTTCTTCTGTCAAATATATGTGGTATAGACAAATTAAAAGGTTTCTGCCTTCTGCTCGCCCCTGTTTGGTGGAAAAAGCAAAAGATGATCTTCCCCGTTCTAGATGTACAAATCTTGTTATTGTGGGTATTTTTTAAAATGTTTTTTTTATTAGAATTAAGGGGTATGATGGGGAGAGGATTTCCGTTCCAAAGCTCCTGTCTATTTTTTAAATTAACTTTAAAATTCCTACTTCAAGAATAATAAAAATTGTCCGCAAAAGTTGTCCGCAAATTTTATCCGCAAAAATTAAAAAATTTTAACGGGAATAAGGGGATATGTATCAAGTATTTTGAAGGGGTGGGGGCTATTTTTTAATGATAAGCTGTTTTTATTAAAAATTAATTTTAAAAAATTCCCTACATTCCCTACCTGAAAAAATAAAAAATGTCCGCAAATTTTATCCGCAAAAATTAAAAAACTTTTTTCCCAAAATTTGTAGATAATGAGCTATACTTTAATGGAAATGCGTGCTGAAGAATTAAAAAGAGAAAATTTTTATGTACTTATTTTTGACGAATGCCATATGCTTAAAGAATCCAAAACTAAGAGAACGAGTGTTGCTGATGCTTTGGCGGTAACGAAATTTTTGATTTTTTTTTCGTTCGATTATAAATCTGAAATTTGTTTCAGACACTAAAACTGGACTTATTTTTACCACAAAAATTCACAAAAAAATTTACGGATTAAAAAAATTTTTTTCGGTTGAATATGAGTCGCAAGAAGTGTTTCACACACTTTTTGGACGTTTTTAATCCTAAAAATCTAAAACTTGCGGACAACACTTGCAGACTTTGAGTAAGCAGAATAAAAGAAAACCAACAAAAAATTTTTACCAGTTAAAAAAAATTTTCTGTTTCTATAAAGTCCGCAGAGTTTTGTCCGCAAGTTTTTCCGCAAATTTTTTTGTCCGCAAAAAAATTTTTTTCCTTTTTCAGAAAAGAGCGAACAGAATAATTTTGCTCAGTGGAACCCCAGCATTATCCCGCCCAGCAGAATTATTTTCACAAATAAAAATGATTGACCCAAAAATCTTCCCTTACTACAAACACTATGCTTTTCGTTATTGTGATGGAAAAATGGGAAGATTTGGTTTTGAGGCTAAAGGACAATCTAATGCTGAAGAATTAAAAGCTGTTATGGAGAAAATTATGATTAGGTTTTTTTTAATTTTTTTTTTGTAAATTTTTGGGGAAAATTTTAAAAAATTCGGGAGATTAAAAAAATTCCTCTAAAAGTCCGCAAAATTTATCCGCAAGTTTTTATATTTAAAAAAAATTTTTTTGGGTTCATGTCACCCCAGGCTAAGGATTAAATTTTTTTGCCTACTAGGAACATTTTTTAAATAATTTTCACAAATAAAAAATTCCTTAAATTCGACAGAAAAATTTATTAAAAAATTTTTTAACAAATTTTTAGACGTTTGAAAAAAGATGTTCTTGAAGATTTGCCTGAAAAACGCCGGGAAATTATTTTCTTGTCTGGAGATGCTATCGATAATAAAATGAAACAGTTACTTAAAGCTAGAGAGGAATTTGAGAGTGCTAATAAATTTTCTATAGTTTGTGAAAAATTTTTTTAAATTTAAAAGAAACGTATCAGAACCACACAAAAGCTTTCGCTCTCGTAAACTTAAAAATCCTCTAAATCTTTAAAATCCCCGGGGTTTCAAAAGTATAAAGCCCCAACAATTTAAAAATCCTAAAAGCCCCAAAATTTTTAAAAATGTCAATATTCCAGAAAAAATTTTCAGACTTCTAACTCCTCAAAAATTCAAAGCTGGTAACCCCACAAGATTTCTCAAAATGTAAAACCCTCAGAAATTTTCAAAAAAAATTTTCCGAAGAAATTTTGAAATGTCGATATCACAAAAATTTTTCAATCTGTCAAATCCCCGGAGTTTTTCCAAAAGTCCATTTCTCTAAGTTTTTTTCAAAACGTCAAAGTCACAAATATGTCAACTCCCTCGAAAATTTTCAAAAAAAAATTTTTTTTTCTTCAAAAATTTTTTCAGGATAACAAAACCAAAAGACAAACATTTTTGGAATATTATGTATTAACTGGACAAGTAAAAAAGAAGCCTGTGGCTGAACATATAGTCGACACTTATTTTTATGATGGGGCGCCGCCAAAGAAAATTTTGGTTTTTGCACATCATTTGGAAATTTTGGATTTTATTAGTATTGAATTGGCTAAAGTGGTTGGGATTTTTTTATTTTTTTTGAAAAAATAATCCATAGAAATTTTGGGGAGGGAGGAAGGATTTTCCAAAAAAATATACTTATGTATTGTTAGATCTAGGGTTTTTTAACTGAAAAAAATTTAAGGAAAGGGGGGGGGGGAATAAATTATTTTAAAAACTTTTTTGAGGAGAGGGAGGGAGGGCTTTGGTGTATTTTTAAAGTTTTAAGAGACTTGTCTAGGTAATTTTTAAAAAAATTCTTTTTTAAGTGAGAGGGGACAGGTGATTAAATTTAAATATTTTTCGAGGGGGAGGGGTGAAAAATTTTTTCGAGGGTAAGAGAAAATTTTCAAAAAAATTTTTTTTATTTTTTTGAAGTCCCCTTTTATCATTATAATTTTGACTTTAAATTTTTAAAAATTTTCTAGGGAGCTCATTTTATCAGAATTGACGGGTCTACCCCAGCCAGGGATCGTTCTACTTATTGCGAACAGTTTCAAACAGATAAAAGAATAAGAGCTGCTTTGTTAAGTATAACAGCTGCTGGGACTGGAATTACTTTGACGGCTGCTTCTGTTGTTATTTTTGCTGAACTTTATTGGAATCCTTCGGTTTTTTTTTAATAATTTTTTATTCGGTAAGAGAATTTTGGGGGTTCCCAGTAGGGATAGGTTATATTGAGAAAAAAGTCGGATAGGGTTCTGATCGAAGAAATGCAAGTTTCGGGTAATCCGACTCAGCTTTGGCTACAATTAGGATCCTGAAAAGCAATGCTTCTGGAAATGACTCAGAACAGGAATTGAGCTTTCCCCATCTCCTTTAAATATTTTAGCTTTGAATTTTGCTTTTAAAATCAAAAATAGAACCCTGATAAATTAGAAAAATTATTTTAATGGCCGAACTTTTTAAAAATTTTCGACTTTTTTTGTCCGCAAATTTTCAATAATTTGCGGAAAAAATTTGCGGACTTTTTCAATCCCCGCTCTTTACATAATAAAATGGTTAAGCCCCTCCCTTAAAATTATTTTTTGAGACAATTCTTTTATTTTATTTCAAGTTAATGATTCAAGCAGAAGACCGTGCCCACCGTGTAGGACAGCGTGACTCTGTACAAGTTCAATATTTAATTGCTAAAAATACAGCAGATGTTCTTCTTTGGGATTTGGTTGGGTCTAAATTACAAGTTTTGGGAATTGTTAATTTGGCTAATGAAACGTAAGGGGGTTTTTTTTTTGAAAAAAAATTTTTTTTGAGATTTTTGGTACTCTCCACATGTCCGCAAGTGTTTGTCCGCAACTTTTTGTCTTCTCCTTCCATCTTTTTGTCTTCTCATAAAAATTAAGAAAGGGGAAAAGAAAAGACTTTTTTTCATAAATTTATTAGTTATTCACCCAGAAATTGACCTTTTTCCCCTTTCTTCAAAAGATAAAAGAAGGTAAAAAATTGCGGACAAATATTTGCGGATTTTTCAAAGAAAAATTTTTTTGAAATTTTTCAAAAATTTTTGGAAATTAAAAAAAAAATTTTTTTTTAAGATATCTTGGTGCAGACAAAAGTTCAAAATTATGCACAAATAGTCAAAAGGTTACAGACTTTTTTGAAATTTTAAATAAATTGGATAATGATAAAAATGAAGGAGAAAAGGATCCGTTAGATTTGGATTTTGATGAAGAACCCGATCCGAAAAAATTTAAAATGTCATAGGTATAAAGCTTAAAAATTATTTTCCTTTGCTTCAGTCCGCATGTTTCATCCGCAAATTTTATAATTTATTTTTTATTTTTAAGAAAAGTTTATTTGAACCTAAGGACCCGTTGAACCCTGCTAGAGGGATCTCTGCTATTTTCAGCTCGTTTTCTATTTTTTCCTAAATAGTTTGATTTGCGGACAAAAATTGCGGACTTTTTAATGAAAATAGAACCTTAATTTTTTTCATTTTTTTTGCTATTTAATTCTCATTGTGCCTAAATCTTAAAGATTTCTATTTGTTTAATTTGGAATTTTGTGTTAATTGTAAGCTTAAAATAATTATTTTCAATTATTTATTTAAAAGTAGGCATTTTTACAATAATTTTTATTAAATTAAATATTTTTATATACATATTTTCAGGATAATTACAAGGGCGTATCCAGGGAATTTAAGCCTCTTTTATCGAAAATTATACAAAATTCGGGTTCGAAACGCCAACTTACTGAAATCCGACCCTTGAATACACCCCCTTAGACATTCTGTATATGAACACTTAATTAAAAATTGTTTAATCAACTTCCCTGCATTTCCCGTCTAATCGAGTCCAATTCATGCAAATCCAAAGAATCCTCAGGTATTGGCTGTATTTGGACTGCTGGGGAATTACGTACTAATTTAATGTTTTCAACAACCTCAGTTTTTATGGCAGACAAATACTAAAAAATAATTAAAATTATTTAGTGAGTGACAGGAAGGCGGAGGGTTCAGGATTTGTTAAAAGAGAAAAGGTGAATGCCCGGTAGCTCAATGTCTGTTGGTAAAGCAGCCAGGTATATGGCGAGCGAGAGTTCGTAGCAAAAATTACCAGGAGGGGAGCAGGGTCATTACTGCCTGAGGCTAGGGTTGTCGGTTTCAAATCGACCCGAAGATTCTCGGTTTCTGTTAATCGAAGAATTTGGTGAACACAACCCTATCTGACATGAGACTATACTACATTTACCTCTTTCTTATTTTACAAGTTTCATGAATATACAAAAACAGGATTTGGAAGGATGATCCCCATCGTTCAAAAATAGAATTTAACGTTGAAAAACGGTTCCCAGGCAGTTAAGACGACCTATAAGCCCTTAAATGGTTCCTATGCCCTTTCCCAAAAATTTTTTTTTAATCCAAACCTCTTTACTATTCATATTTTCAATTCTTTTGGGCAAATCACTTCTCAAAGTAAATTCGGGCGCAAAATATTCCAAATATTCGGAATTGTCCGGAATTTCATTAGAAATCTCCCCATCCCTTCCAACCAAAATTGCCGTTTCAAAAGTCCAACATCTAGCCACATTTCTTAAAGTATATCCACCTCCGCCAAGTACCAAAGTTGGCAAATTGAGACTTTTGACTAGTCTGACACATTCTCTTGAAATTGGAAAAAAATTTTTATTTTGAAAATTTCAAAAAAGTTTTTTTTTCAAAAAACTTTTTGAAATTTTTTGAAATTTTGAAAATTTTCAAAAAATTTTAAAAAATTTTCAGGAAAAATTTTTTTTCAAAAAAATTTCAAAAATTTTTTGGAAATTTAATTTTCAACAATTTCAAAAAAAATTTTGCATTTTTCAAAAAATTCTTAAAATTTTCACGAAAAAAAATTTTCCAGTAATTTTTAAAATTTTTTTGGTACTTAAAAAATTAAAAAAAATACCCGTGTCCATCAAAACTTAAATTGAAGCATCCAAGTCTGTCTGACCCTAAAGAATCAGCTCCACATTGAAGAACTATGGCTGATGGATTATAATTTTCGACTACTGCTTGAATTACTGGTTTGAAAACTGAAATGTGAGAAAATTTCTTGAAAACTTTTAAAAATAAATTTTCCCTGAGCGGTATCGAACCCGCGTCCCTTAGATTCTGGAAAAAATTTTTATTCACTGGCGAAGAAGTTAAATTAAAAGGGAGGTGTAAAATTGAATTAAGAAGTGTTTTAGCCCTGTTTTGAATTTATTTTTCTAAAATATTTTTAATTTTAGTCCATCAAATCGGGTTTTCAGATTTTTTAGTTGTCCGCAAGTTTCGTCCGCAAAATTTATTATTTTAATAAATTTTCAATTCATGATAAATTAACAGACATTCCTTTCAATACCAAAAAACCCCTCCTATTTTTAAAATTAAAAATTAAACCTCCATGATAGCTTTCGTCATCTATTCCTTCACGCAACGGCACATTAACAGAAAAATAGCGTCCCTGTCCCATTCCAACGTCATACATATCTCCTGTTCCTAAAATGATTTTTTTTAGTTTTAAAAATTCTAAATAAAACCAGGAAAAAAATAATTTCCATAACGATGAAAAGAAACTGTCAACACTCTATCAGTAAAATTAAAAGCTTCCTGAACTCCATCCCCATGATGGATGTCTATATCAATGTAGAGAACTCTAAAAAAATTAAATTGAGGGTTAAACGAGTTTTTTGGGTTTTTAATTTTATTTTCACCTTAAAAACAATTTGTAGTCATTTTTAAACTATTTTTGAGCTAATCTGAACTATTTAAAAAATAATTTCCCCCTGAGCGGTATCGAACCTTCGACCTCCCATAATTGACTCTAAAAAATAAAATTGAGATTTTTTCAAACTTTTTAGATTTTTAATTTTATTTTCCACCTTAAAAACACTTTTTACTCTTTTTATAATATTTTCGAACCAATTCGAACGATTTAAAAAATATTTTCCCCTGAACGGTATCGAACCTCCGTCCTCCCATATTTAATCTGAAAATTAATTTTTAAAAAGAAAAGGTATTTATTTAGAAAAAAAGATTCAGTCGTCGAAGGCACCCATCCGAGCACATTTTTACAGTAAAATTTTTTTGTTTATTTTATGCCAAAAAATTATTTTATTAGTTCATTGGCGTGAGACAAATATAGGGGGACCAAGGTTCGATGCCGCTCAGGGAAAATATTTTTTTAATTTATCCAATTTAACTCAAAAAAATTTTAAAAGGTCTTTAATGTGTTTTAAACGAAAAATAAATTTAAAAAAACCTTGGAAAGTATTTAAGCAATTCAATAATTCCAATAACAATATCATTCACATAGCAAAAACCGGAAGCTTCCGACTTCTTCGCATGATGTAAACCACCACTCCAATTTATTGCAATATCTGATTGGCCATGATTTAGCCTTATTGCGCCTTCTAAAAATTTTTTTAAATTAGAAATTTAATTAAAATTGAAAAAAACCAAGTGTTCCACCAGTATATAATGCACAAAAATCGAAAATGCCGTCAAATACAGGGCTGAAAATTTTTTTAATTTAATTAAAAAATAGAGGAAAAGGTGCTTTAATTAATTTTGGAAATGGTTAGAAATCCTTAAAAAATATTTTCGAGGTATTTGAGGAAGCTAAAAGTATTTTATTCTGAAGAACAATCAAATATAGGGGGTCGTGGGTTCGATCCCGCTTAAAGAAATTTATTTTTTAGATCGTCCAGGATAATTTAGAAATATCATAAAAGGACACCAAAGTGTTTTTAAAGGTAAAATAAAATTAAAAAACATATTAAAGCACCAAAAAATAAAAAAATCTTCAATTAAATAAAAATATAAAGGGTCGTGGGTTCGATACCGCTCAGGGAAATTATTTTTTTAGAAAAGCCAAATTAGTTCAGAAATATTTAAAATGGATTTTTAAAGGTAAAATAAAATTAAAAAAACATATTAAAGGACCAAAACCTCCCAAAAATCTAATAAAACCTCAATTTAAATAAAATTATACCAATCCTCTCCAATGTTAAACTTGTGAAACAAAGATTCATAATGAAGAGCATTAGAAGGGCATATTCTTTTTAAAAATTGGACATACCTTTAAATAATTATTTAAACTTTAAAAAATCCAAAAAATACTCTGGAGAGTGAAATCTAGCCAAATCATGATGTGTCGCCCGAGGAGGGAGTAAACAAGTCATATGACGATGCAACTCATAATTGACCACTAAACTATGTGTAGCAGCTAAATTATAAAAATGACTAGAAATATTTAAAAAGTAAAAATGTTGGCTAAAAATACTTTTTTAGTCATTTGAAGAACTTGAAAGTATTTAAAATTAGTTCCGAAACACATTAGTCATAAGAAAAATCCAAATGTAGGGGGACGAGGGTTCGATACCGCTCAAAGAAAAATATTTTTTGAATCACCCGAATTAGCTTAAAAATACTGGGAAAAGTTATTAAAAGGTTATTCCAATAAAGAAAATATTTTTTGCGAATAAATTTGCGGACTATTTAAGAAAAAAAACAAAATCATGAAGAAACCTAATCTTGCAGGTTTCATCGGATGTTGAGCTCCATAATGAAAATTGCCCAAATCAGGATGGTGATAATAACAAATGCTGTTCTTGCTGGCCATTTAATTGATTTTAAAAAATTTTTCTGTGTCAATCTCTTGATAAAAAATAATAAAATTCAAATTAAAAACAAATTGCAGACAAAATTTGCGGACATTTTCAGATTTACAGAAAATTTTTTCAAAAAATCCGCAAATGTGGAAATGTCCGCAAGTTTTGTCCGCAAAAAAATTTTTTTAAATATTGAACGCAAAATATTAAAAAATATATATTCATTTTTAATAAAATATTAGGTATATAAGAAAAAAAGTTAAATAATCATTTATTCACCTTTAAAATATCAAATTAAAATTTAATATGTATACAGGGTGACACAAAAAGGATGTCCCACTTATTTTCCGTCATAACTTTATTCAGAATTAAGATAATGAGATAAAATAAGATGATATTATAGAGAACTAAATGAAGAATAAGATATCAAAAATTTTTAGAATTTTCCGCATTTTACTTTGAGATAAAGTTGAAGACAAGTGAGAAAAAATTTCGATCCAGCACGCACCTTTTTTGAGAAATTTTGCCTATAACTTTATAACAGATTGCATGAATTACACAAAATTTTTAGAGAATTTAGAGCAGTCTTTGGCCTATAGAAATTATAAAACAAAAATTTTTTTGGGTTAACGCTTAAAGAGATATTCGATTGCGCGTAACCCTCCCAAAATGAGGAAATCGCACTCCCCCCAAAACTGACTAACATCTACTCAGAGCCATCCATGTAAGAGTTGGAGTTTTCAGCTTTCAGATTCGTTAGGCTTGCTAATAAGCTTAATTAAATTCTGTTGAGATCATCACCGTTGGGCTTTTCATTATTGAGATAAAGAAAGTGAAATTTTGGGGGGAAGATTTTGATATAGTAGATGTAAAATTGCATAACTTTCCCAATCCCTAATCAAAAATTTTTAATTTTACTATATAATATAGAGAATTGAATGGGCTACAAAAAGAGTATAAAATTATTTAAAAATGAAAAGAATAAAAGAAGTTATAATGGATTGAAAAGTGGGACATCCTTTTTGTGTCACCCTGTACACACAAAAATTTCGTATTTAGATAGCACCACAATTAAAAAAAATTTTTTTTTTGAGAAACCAACAGAAGAAAAAACTAAAGAATTTTAGCGAGGTTTTAAAGAGACTGAAATGGCCAAATTTAAAAAATCAAAGACTGTTTTTTGGGGGAATCGAAAAGTTTGATCATAAATAAATTTTTGCGGACAAAATTTGCGGACACTCCAAAAATGATGAAATTTTCTGTAGAAACGATAAGCTAAACTAAAAATATTTAGGAAAAAATAAAATATACCACAAAAGGGATTAATTAATTTTCTTGATTAAATTTAAAGGGACTTTTTTGTAAAAATTTCCTAGGAGCCCTTATTATACTTAAAAAATAAAAAATTTGGCCATTTAAGTCAATGAGCAAAAAAATATTTTTTTGGTAAAATAAGAGAAAAATTATGCATTAAAATAAAAATTAACCTTCCCTTTCAATGTTTACTACCCAAATCATTATTTAAACGTCCATTGTGTTGCTGAAAGCCTCCACTAGCTTGATAACATCCATTAACGGTTGGAGAGCTTGTACTACCAGCGCTACTTGAAAGAATTGCAGATTCGATCGCCTACAAGTAAGAAAGATATAAAAAAACTTGCATGGTTTTTAGGCAAAAAATTGATAAAATAAACGAGTTAAAAAATTTTAGAACCGCAAAATACACTAAAAATTCTTGGGTCCCTCAGAATATAAGGGTCGTAGGTTCGATGCCGCTCAGAGAAAATTAATTTTTAAAAAATCCAAAATAGCCCAGAGACAGTGAAAAAGATCAAAAAATGTTCCCATGATAAAAATAAAAATTTTAAAATGAAGTTAAAATAATAAAACGTTGATTTAATGACCAAATATGGGGGTCGTGGGTTCGATGCCGCCCAGGGAAATTATTTTGTAAATCGTGCAAATTTGTTCAAAAACATTAAAAAAGGACTAAAACGTGTTCCCAAGGTAAAATAAATTTTAAAAAAGCTAAAAAAATTAAAAAAAACCTCAATTTTAACCAACATATTCTCTATAAGTCGTTGACTTTCATTTCTATCCATCTGCCCATTTTCACATGCTGAAGCTGTTGGAGCTGTTAAAGTGTTCGTCTCAGTCTCATCCATCACCATTTTATCCGATTCTGTAGCCATTCCAACTTCAAACATTGCACAGCGTTCCAAACATTTTTCATAACGGTCCCCCAAGTCGACGAGTTGTTGGGCATGAATTCTTAAGGGAAATTTTGATTAAAAAAATAATTTTATTTGGGGTAAATTCATCTTGTAATTTTGAATAAATTAAAAAAAAAGACATTTCATGTTCGTCTCAAAACTTAAAAAAAACTATGGTTCGGTCCAGAATTTTGAGTTCAATAAAAATTCATCTGTGGGATAAACTGTCATCCTACGAAAATTTAGTAAAAATTCTGTTAACAAACAAAGTCAAATAAAAATCTTACTCTTACACGAGCTAGTACCCCTAAACATGAAAACCCATTAATTCACAAAAGATGACCCAAAAGATCAAACAGAGGTGGATAAGTTAACCGATCAGTTGACTTTTTCGAGTGACTTTTTTCGACCGAAACCCGAACAGAAGATCTTGAAAATTTTATAAAACCGACTCGAAATTATTCAACCCAACATAAATTTTTCATTGGACCAATAAACAAAAAATTTTTTTAAAAACCTTTCACGCCGCTCCAAATCATCATTCGTCTGTTCCACAGCCCGCAGTTTTTGACGTAATTCAACACACTGCTGTTCGGCACTCGTAATTCGACTCTTAAAGTGTTCTTCTGATTTGAGATGGTCTTGAAGTTGTTGCTGAATTCTGGTCTTTAATTAAAAAAAAATTAGGGGAAAAAGGGAAGGACAGACTTAAAAAGGTCCAAAAATCATCAAATCTTAACAATCAAAAAACACTAGGGATCTAGTCTAGACCAAAATAGATCCGCGATTTTTTGAGAATCAGAAGGAATTCTCGCCCTAAAGTTGAGGTCTCCCCGATTTTCGAAAATCAAGTTGGCTAGACCTTTGACACACACTTTTGTAATTTTTTTCGAGTTCTCCCGTATTTAAAGCCCGTAACCCCGGGGTGGGGGAATTCCTCCCCACCGCCCAGAATGGGGAAAATATAAAAAATTTTGGGAGGGGACTAAGGAAAAAGCTCCCGTCTCGATCAACTCAAAATTATTCTTTAACCTCCTCTTAACCCCCAAAAAATTTGTTAAAAAACCTTCAAATCCCCAAGTTCAGAATTTAGCCTTCTTCTAGCCCCTTCAAGTTCGTTCATTTTCGAATCTCTCTGCTTCAATTCAATATCCATTTCATTTTCCAATTCTTTGCTGTATTGCTGGAATTCTTTAAATTGTTCTCGTTCACGTTCATACCTTCGGGGAAAGAAAAATAATTTTTAATAAATTTTGGGGAAGGATGACATTTGATCCCATCAATGAATTTTGGTAAATACCAAAAAAGTAAATACCAAAACTAAAAAAAGGTTAAAAAGGGAATGGTAAATTAGTAATTCAAACCATTAAAACACCAAAAAACCCAAATTTCCGAGAAAAAAAATTTTCTCGAAAATTTTGAGAAATTCCAAAAAATACTCATTCGATGCTTATTCTGGGCCATAACTTTTTTCAAACAAAAAAATTTGGCTGTAGTGTAGTGTACCGGTGGTAAAAGTTCGAGACGTGATATATGTCATTCGATTCGTCTCGACGAGCTGAGTCGAACGGTACCACTCCCTATTTTAGGAAATAATTCTGGACCGAGTTATAGGTCCCGGAAAAATGAAAAACCAAAGGGGGGAGTAAGGTCGATTTTGGGGTGAAAATTCGAATATGCAAATAATAGCTCATTCGAAAGAGCTCCTCGAGCTGAGTCGAATGACACCAAAATCAACAAAATCTGACTTGATTTGACAAAGCTATGCTCGTTTGTTTAAGCTCCTTACCTATGGCGCCCGTGGAGGTTTTTGATGCTACTGGAGCCCCAAGTACATCCAGAGCAAGGGAGATGGGACTAGGTTTATGTTACGAGCCCAGACCCACCGCCCGTAGACTCCCCGCGAGGCGCGTGCCGCAAACCCCCGCGCGAAGCGCGGGGGTTTGCACAAGCGCCTCGCCGACGCCCCATAGGTTTAGGTTTTTTTTGTATCATAACGTTGTCTAATTTTGTTCAATCACGGTGATTTTGGTGTCATTCGACTCAACTCTTCGAGCTCTTTCGAATGAGTTATTATTTGTATAAAAAATTTTTTATTCCAAAAATCGCCCCTTTGGATCTTCAATATTTAGGGGCCTATATCTCGGTCCAATCAAGTCAGATTTTGTTGATTTTGGTGTCATTCGACTCAGCTCGAGGAGCTCTTTCGAATGAGCTATTATTTTCATATTCGATTTTTTCACCCCAAAATCGAGCATACTCCCCCCTATGGTTTTTCAATTTTCCGGGACCTATAACTCGGTCCAGAATTATTTCCTAAAATAGGGAGTGGTACCGTTCGACTCAGCTCGTCGAGACGAATCGAATGACATATGTCACGTCCCGAACTTTTACCACCGGTAAACTACACTATATCCAAAAATTTTTTCAAAAAAAATTTTTCAATCGCAAAAGCTGAACAGAAAAAAGTAAAACCTTACATGGAACGATAATAATCCAGTTCCTTTCTCAAAATTAACACATCTGCTGCTGCAGTACACGTACAAGGTTCATACCCATTTGTTGTTGAATTACCTTCCATTTTTCTTTAAATTAAAGAAATTTTCTGAAAAAAGAGAAATATTTAAGACGACGACAAGAAATTTTAACGAATTTTATTAAGAAATTAGCAAAAAATTCCTAAAAAACATTTTGCCAAAAGTGTGGGCATTTCGCCAAAGATTATTAATTTTGGCAAAACAATCATATTTAAGTTTCTCCCCAAAATATTAAACAACTTTCAACTAAAAAAGTTTATTTAAACTTGCTAGATATGTAAATATTTATTTCTAAAAATCATAAAATATTTAAAATGTCTGCAAATACAAAATAAAAGATTAATAAAAATTAAAAGACAAGTAGGCACAAGAGATTTAATGCCAAGACTGGGAATTTATTCCTCCCTCTTTTATTAACTCCCTTCAAGTAGTATTTAAGTCGTCAGAATTTTCTTCTTGAACTGCTGGTAGTGGTATAATTCGATTTGAGTCGACTTGTAAATTTTCGACAAAATTAGGAGGTGGAAGGCTAGAATTGTTTTCTTGATGGGTTGTTTCCTCTTCCAACTTGAGTCGTTTTGTTGGTGGATTCTCAACAGAATTATCAGTCTGAATTTAAAAAAATTTTTAGAATGTTAAAAAAGTTGATTATACCTCCTCAAAAAGTTCTCTCTTTAAATTCTTTGAAGCACTAGTCTGGCCAACTTAATTAAAAAATATTTTTATTTAAAATTTTGAGTTTTTCCCACATACATTTTCTCTTGCCCTTTTCTCCAAAAATTTATTAAGGAGAATAAAAAAGAATCAAATTTATAGGTTTATCCTATTTTTTAGCCTGACAAAGTTATTTAATCACGTTCAATTTTGTCATTTGAATGGAGAAATTTAGGGATTCCCCGAGAACTCATTCTGGTGTCCTTCTTGATTATTTTACAAAAAATATGGGCGAAACCCCAAAAAGTAGATCAAACTATTTCTCATTAAAAATATGAAATATTTACCCATTGGAACGTTCTCAGACGAGGAGCCCACATTAGAAGCATCTTCATTTTCCCCATTTTCTTTTAATTGAAGAGGATTCGATTCCGGATACCATTCAATAGCAAGCATATGTAATTGTGGGTGCACATCGTTAACAACATCATTAGCAGGCGGTGGATTTGCAATATCATTGAAATTATTTAATTGTCCATTAATAGCAGCATCGTCTATCGCAGCAGCGATAACGGCCGGTAATTGATTTTCAAATGGTACAGCAGCATGTGGAGCAGGCGCAGCAGGCATAAGATTGAGAAATACCTCCACGCCAGAAAAGCCTATCTGGTTGACTGCATAAGCCTTAAATTAATTAAACTATTTTAAATGATCGTGCTATGACCGGGTTTTCTGCCCTCTACTTTTTTTCGAAGGTACATAATGGCTCTCTTACTCAATTCCACCCGATTTATCAGTGGAATATTCTTCCTTTAAATTTATTTTATGTGCCCAATAAATTATTTAAATAACAGGGTGAGAGGCAAATTTCTCTAAAATAAATTTTCTCTAAAATATTTTCTCTAAAATAGCCCCCCCTCTAGAGGTCGATCGAAAAAATAACGCCCGGAGGCTATTTTAGAGAAAATACGGTAGTAGACTATTGGGTCTTTGTTTGTATTTTAAGCTATAATCTCAAAATTTTATTTTAGTATTTGTTTTACCTACGAATAGGCAATAATTTCGACTGTTTTTAGAGAGTGTTTTATCCGCCATATCAATAAACTTACACAATATAGGCCAGAATCAGCAGGTACTGCATTATAAATGATTAAACTCAAATGCCCGTTGTTGTTTACCATAACGAAACGCCCTCCTTCGACCAACAGGTTGTTATCTTTATACCAAAAAATATTCATATGATCCTGAAGCTCCACTCTAGTGTCGAAATGAACCGGAGATCCAACTTCCGGATTTCCAAGTATTACAAGGCGCTGTGTGAATACAGGGGTAGTCTGATTAGCCTAAAATCAAAAATAAACATATCGAAAACATAGCTGTTTCAATTTTATTTAATTTTCAAATAAAATCGACGCTAATACCAATGCTGTTCCCCCCTTTTTTCTCTTTCCCTGACCATTTTGAGCTTTTTGCTTGACATACAATTTACAAAATATTATTCAAAAGAGCTGTTCGAGCTGGGTTGAATGATACCATTATCGGTTAGATTTGGCGTTTCTGAACAGAATTATGAGGTAAATTTTCGATCGACATGCTTTTTGTGATGTTAAAAAGGGGATTAAAACAATGGTCATAACTATGTTGATTTAAGTCTGATTTCGATTATTTTAGTACGGTTAGACTCAGCTCGAAGAGCTCTTTCGAATTGATATAATTTACCATAGAAAATGAAAAATAGAACAGAAAAAAGGGGGATCAGCCTTAGTTAAAAACAAATCGAGATTGGAAAAATTTAAAGTTACAAAAAATATCGTTACCATATATTCGATAGAATATTCAAAAAATATTTATAAATAAGAAATTTAAAAAAATTAATTTTCTACTTTAATTTTTTGTCAAATGAAACTCTGAACATTTGATTTAAATACCTATGTATAGGCGTGTCGTAGAAAAATGTCTATACCTTTCCGGAAATGTCTATACATTTCTCTATCTTGTATTTATTTCCGGAAATATTTTTACTTAAAAATACTTGAATTTTCAGTATACTTTTTGACGTATTTCTCCCTTTTTTGACCAAAGGGAGAAATAAAGGAAAATTACAATTTGCTTCGTGCCAGAAAGGTATTAAGCCTGGGAAAGTATCAATAGGAATATAATTTAAATAAATGTTCCTAAAAATTCAAACACACCCCCTGTAAATTCCCTAATATTTCCGGAAGTTTTTATTCATATTTGACTTTTAAAACAAATTTTCTGTATTTTTTAAAATTATTTTAAATATTTCCGGAAAATAAAAATAATTTTAAATTAATTTTCAAAAAGTAAACGCTTTTAGAGAGATGAGAGATTCTTCTAATTTCCAAAAGCAAATCCTTTAAAGATTCTCTTGCCACCAGATAAATTGTTATTGAGGCAGACATAATTGTTATTCCACATTTTTTCAATTTTCTAACCGATTTTGTGTCAAATATTACCATTTTATTGCTGTATTAAATAATAAATATCCGGGCAATAACCGTCCGAGCAAATATACCATCCACCAATTAGAGTAAAAAATCCCTAACTAATACCTAATAGCCGTATGGTTTAATGATACTCCCGACTGCGAGTTTTGTACTATAATCGAGATCAAGTCTCGGTCCGGTCTCTAGTCAGTATTTGTTACAATATATTGTCCAATGATGTTTTGCTCGGACGGTGTCTTGCCTCTCACTTAAAACGTTTAGAAGAAAAAAATTAAAAATTTTTTTAGTATTTTTTAGTATTAGAATCAAAATTAGACCAGATTTGGCACAAAACCAAATATTTTTCGAATTTTTTTCGAAGATGTCCACTAGCTGCTTTAGTTATGTCAAAAAGTAATTCAAGGGGTAAACAAAATTTATTTTTAATTTTGCTGCCGATTCTGTTGTTGTTTTTGTATTTATTTTTTATATTTTCCATTTTTGGATCTAAAAATTTTTGGAGCTTTTCTAAATCATTATTTAAAAGAGCGTTCAAAAAGCTCGTCAAGAAAGTGCAGTTGCGATATGATATTGTTGTGTATGGGCGTCAGCCCTTAAAGTGTTTACTATAAAAGCCAGAGAAAACGTCAGTCTATTCGGATCATACTAGCGGGGCTAGTCACTGATCTCCTTCGTCTGTCCCATTCCCTTCGCCCACTTATTGTTTATTTCTCTTTGTGATAAAGTGTTATTATTGTGCTCGTCGCATTAGTTAAATCTCGGACACCTCGGGTCGTAACAATGGCGCGGTCGACAAAAAGTGAAGTGTGGCGAAGTGTAGTGAATTGCTTTGGCAATTAGTGAAAGTGATTGTTGTGATTGTGAGTGGACAGACGTCGTATTTAGTGATCGGCATGAGTAGAAAGTGAATTGTTAGTTAGTGCGCATGGACCTTTTGAGTTAGTGAGTAGTGACCTGAAAAAGGACTCAGTGCGAGTGCCAGTGGTCAAAAGTTTAAGGCTGAAATGCCTAGTTTAAGGCTGAAATGCCTAGTGGTCCGGGAAGTGCGCAGAATTTGGCCGATCAAGTTTGAAGTGTCTGGCATTCAAGAGAATGTAAGTCCAGAAATTGAGAAAAGTGAAAAGTGTAAAAGTGAAAATTTGGCAGCCTACGGGTGGGTAAGACCAAATAATGAAGTCAGTAAAGTTAAATTTGGCAGCCAAAAGGGTGGGTAAGACCAAATAATGAAGTGAGTAAAATAAAATTTGGCAGCCAAAAAGGTGGGTAAGACCAAATAGTGAAGTTTGAATTATTGAGTGAAGTGAATTGCAGTGAGTCAAGGCGCTGAAAAGTGAGTATTATTAGTGATTGAAGTATTATGCCAGCGCAAGTCAGTGAAGCAACCCAGACTACACATAGTGTATGTTCAGTGAAGTGTTGCGGTACCTGAGTCTTTGACAGAGGCAGGATGTATCAGACATCCTTTGAGTGGTTAGTTAGTAGTAGTAGTAGTCAAGTGAAAGTATTAAACCACGAGCCATCCTAAAAGTACACGGGAAAACGGCACCGAACTGCGCACTAGCAGAATTGTTAGTGTTGTGGAGTTTGACTTCACTTAAGTTTAGTAGTGATGCAATTCAGTGAAGTTTAGTTATTGGGCACAGTGTTAAAAAAAGTGAAAGTAGTGCCGCAATAGAAAGTGTAAAAAAAATGGAAGTGAAATAAAAGTGAGGAAAAATAAAATAGTGAAGAAAAGTGGAAAATAAAGTGAAATGCTTATGGACAAGCAGTGTGATGATCAACAGTGTGACAAAAACAGGACGTGCATTTTTGCCTTGTTGTGAGCTGCTGTGTGCGCTGTGGAAGGCCGCTGCCAGAAGAAAAATAAAATGTGGATAAAGATGACAAATTTTGTGATTTTGTAATTGTTATATTGTAATTTTAATTTGTTGTTTTTCTTTTTGCCCTTTTGTCATCCCACATTTTTGTATTTTGTTGTGAGTTGAGTGTTAGTGAGAGACTAGACGCTCTGGCTTAGTGTTAATTGTATTGATAGCATGGAAGCTATAGTGAATGTTAAAAGTTGTAAAGCTTCGGCTTTAAGTGAAAGCCGAACCTTTTTTTCAAGGGGGGAGGTGTTGTGTATGGGCGTCAGCCCTTAAAGTGTTTACTATAAAAGCCAGAGAAAACGTCAGTCTATTCGGATCATACTAGCGGGGCTAGTCACTGATCTCCTTCGTCTGTCCCATTCCCTTCGCCCACTTATTGTTTATTTCTCTTTGTGATAAAGCGTTATTATTGTGCTCGTCGCATTAGTTAAATCTCGGACACCTCGGGTCGTAACAGATATGATCATTTAAACTTTCCATGCTAAAATGAATTATTTGACACCCGAAATTAACACAGCGGCTCCAAACAGCTCAGCTCCTTAGCTAGAAGATTTTAAAATTTCTGGGTAAGTGTTGAAGTCCGAATTTTAAAAAGATCGGAGCCGGAGCCACAAAACATCATCAACCCATGGCATGAACTTATCCAAAGATTTTGCGTTAGGTTGGCCTGCTCCTTGGCCTGAATCCCGGCTCTAACATTACAAATATAACTTATAGGAATAATACAACATTAGCTAACAAATGCATCAAAAATAGAGCGTTTTACATAAAAATAAGGCTTAAACATTTGACTTCACTTTGCTATTTTCACTGCTCTCCTTTTCGGCCAAGCGAATGACATAAAAAATAGTTTCCATACTATTTCCAACTCCTCCGTTTTTATACAGAGATATTGCATCATCCTAATGAATTGATTTCCATGGGGGGTGACCTTGGCAATGAGCGTCTTTTGCCCAAATGAAACAAAATGTCAGAAGAAACGTGTCCGGTCAATGCGTCAGTGGACAATCGGTCAGTAGATTAATAAATACATATAAAAAATAGGAGTATTAACAAAAGATTTTGGGCGACAAAAAGTGTTATAGAGGGATTTGGTGAAAATAAGAGGGACATCTATGGATTTGATCTGGTATCAGGGGGATGGGTACCCTCAACCTATACGTGAACCTATACGTGAGGCTATATCTTTGTTCAAAATTGTCGACATAAATCAAATCAGAAATATTTTTTAATACGTTTACTCCAGGTTTTCCGTTGATGTTTGGGGTTTCAGATCTCGATGATGGGAGTATATTAGAACTTCTTTCTTTTTATTCTCGATTAATATCAATAGATGTGTCTACAGGAATTTTTGTAGATTTTCGAATAGCCCCTAATGTCGAAACTCGGTTGGTCTTATACTTTCTTGACAATTGTTTTTAATAAAATTCACGAAATTTCGCATTTGATTCTAATTTTTTTATTTTTGTTGAATGACCATAAAACAGGTGTGTAAAATTTGAGTTCCGAGACTATGTGGATCAGGGTTGCCGCGGGTACAAAAAATCTTCGGGTACGGGTTTCGGGTATCGGGTTGGAGCGTTTTCATTTCAGGTAACGGGTTTCGGGTTGGCAAAAATATCGGGTACGGGTTTCGGGTTGGAAAATTTTCATTTCGGGTATCGGGTTTCGGGTACAAAAAAAGGCCGGGTTTCGGGTTTCGGGCGGCAACCCTGATGTGGATGATGAAAAAAGTGAAAATTCTACGTACTTTCTTGACACACTGTACTCTTTTTACTCATAATTTCGTATATTTCTTAATTTAGCTTTGCACAATATTAATTAATTAAATAAATTTTAAATAAAATTAGATTTAAAAACATCCGATATGTGATTAACATTTTTTTGACTCCTTTTTATTTTTGAAAGTCGAGTTTTATTCTCAGCTAATTTCTTTTTGGTACCAATCTCACTTCTGTTATATACCGTATATAATGGAGTTGGGGGCTTATTTTTTTAATTTTTCAAACTAAAATTTGCATAATATTAATTAATCTGTTTAATTTTAATTTACGAATTATACAGTTAATAGGGAGTTGAGAGTCTGAAATTTCTTGTCATATTTTTTTTGTTAAGTAACCTACATAATATTAATTTATCCAATTAGACTTAAGTAAAAATAATTACAAAACTTTACGTGTGTAATTGTGCAACATGTTATGTTATATTTTTGCAAGTCAAGCTTTTAATGCTCGACTAATTAAGGATTAATACTTTAATTAATCTCGTTAAACCGTACAACACTGAGAGGAAGCTGAAGTTTAATAGTTTCAAAATGTCCAGCTCGCGCCCTAAATATATGCAAACTTCATCTAACAACTCCACTGATATTTGGTGATTAAGAGGATATCGTGGGATATTAGGTGAAATCAGGGCCTGCGAAATCAATTAATTCTCCGAAATTACTTAATTTTCCGATATACCTGAAATCAGTTCAAATCCCCTGCTCTTTTTTCTTTAGAAAAGAATTGTTCTTTAAAAAATTAAAAAATCTTATTGTTATAGAGACGCAAAATTTTGTTTTTTAGGGATGCAGGAAAAAACTTGGAGAATTTTGAAAACACAATAATCCGGATTCCTCCCATTTTTGCCTTCAGATCAGAAGTACATTTGCGTTAATTTTGTCAAAAATTTAAATTATTTAATTTTTTTGCCAAGTGTAAATTAAATAATATTAATTTTTTCAATTAATTTTAAATACAAGTTTATTTAAAAATTCAATTTTTGTAAGTCAGACTTTTTAGTTTGACTAATTGTTGATGATCAAACAAAATTTTTCATTAATATTTGTTAAAAGTAAAATTTGCATAATATCAATTAACTCAATTAATTTTAACAAATTTTGGTTAGGGACTAAACCTTTCTGCTTAAGGCTAAAATTTCTCTATAGCAGTTCTGCAACATATGAATTAATTCAATTAACTTGAAGTAAAAGTAAAAAATTAGTTCTAGTATTGTTTTGTTTATCGCTTAAACTTTTATTTTTGTAAGTCAGCGTTTTAATGCTGACTGAATGTTTATTAGTCTGTATCAGGGATCGCAACGACAAAAACAAAATTCCCGATTTTCGGGAATCGTGAATTCACGAAAATTTCGAATTCCCGATTTTCGGGAATAAGTAAGAATTAAAAAAAATTTATATGTTGTGCTGTAAGCCGGGGTGGATTTTGATTATTTATGTAAGTCGATTTTAATCGGCGACTAATTGTGTTTTGAATGGATTTAGATTTACAATGTTAATACCTTTTGCGATGTTAACCCTAATATCTTCAAGTGATAGATGCTGAAACGTGAAAACGGAATTTAAATAGGTTAAAGATTAGTGGAAGGGGTTAAATCAGTGAAGATAATTAGCTGTGAGAGTATTTCACCGAATTCCTTGATTTTATAAAAAATCAACTTCAACTTCCTTTACGAATAAAGAAAGGGGCATTCGACTTAAAAATATAGTCGAGCCCAAAGCTCGACTTTCAAAAATACATTGTCTCCAATCCTGATGACCCGCGATTGTATTATTTGCTACATACATATATACAAAATTGTTTGAAATAAATTATACTATGTAAATTTGTTTATTTTCTTATACAACACCCATTTAAGGGACAACATAATTTTAGAAAAAATAGTTTATAACTAAAAAATCCAAGGTGATAAACACATTTTATCATCAAAAAGTATCAGAAAAATTTATTTATCCCCACATATTATCAAGAATAGTTCCACTCGTCATTCTATCAAAAAATTGACGTTTCTTTCTAATTACAGTAGCCTTTCGTTCATTTCTTCCTACCAAATTCTTATTTTTTGCCAATCGCTTTTTGCGTCCCCACAAATTGTTTAGAATAGATTCCACTTGTTGATCCATCCACAAATCCTCTAAAAACCTGAGCATCAGCCATCGAAGGTATATTAGAGTCTTGGAGTATAATATGAAGGAACATAGTTAAATAGAGTCCGTATAGGATGGTAGAGGCCATTTTTGATTTTTTAAGGTTTATTGGGAGAGGAAAGAATTTAAATAAATGAAGGAAATTAATTTTTGTGAAAAATGGAAAAATTTATATTGAGCAAAATAAATTTATTTTTGACTTGTTTTGACTTATTTAAAGTGAAAAACAGTTAAATTCTTTCAACCTTGCAGTAAACACCTAATTTGTAACTACAAATGTTGTAGCAAATTAAATAAAAATTAGAGTAAAAATAAAAAATTAGTAAAAATTAGAGTTTTTCCGTATTTCTTAATCAAAGATAAAGTACATATCAAATTAGCCAAATAAAACAATTTAGTGTATACATACAGACCTGATTGTGTGCCGAAAGTGATTTTAAAAAGCGAAAGACGAAAGGCGAAATTGCTAATTGAAGTCAAACAACTTAACCACTCAACCATTTGCCCGACAAACAACAGAAAATTTTATATACATATTTATTCCCACTCGCCTCAGTTTTTCTTTCTATTCCTCTCTCGATTTTTCCTTTCCAACTTTTCCTCACATGCCGTCATTAGGGGTGTATAAAAATTTCGCCTTTCGCCCGAAAAAGCGAACGGCGAAAAACGAAAGTAAAAAAAAGGCGAAAATCGGCAAAAGGCGAAGAACGAAAGGCGAAACTCGCACACCACTGGCTGTTACCTAAAGGTTTTATTTTACATTTTTTATTCTTAATTATTTAAATTAATTTAAATTAAGTACTACGACTTGGTTGGTCTGCTTAAAATACATCTTTAAATGCGACAAAATTCTCGCCCTCCCTCGTGACATTCTCCGAAATTTCCACATGGAATAAATAATTTTATACATTTTTTTTAAAATAAATTTTTTTTAATTTCGAAAATTTGATTATAAAAATTAATCTTTATTGTCTTAATTTTTTGTCTAGAAATTTGTACTTTGTTTTAAATAAATTTTATTTCAATTGTTTAAATAAAAAGTAGTTTAAAATAATTTTTTAATTTTAAAAAAGCAAATAAAATTTTATAAAATGAAAACGGAATACAGCCCAAGTAGGCGCGCGGCCAAATAGGCGCAAAGCCATAACTTGCTTCAAGATTTTCGAATCTTTAAAAATTCAGCATTAAACGATTCCTCTCATCGAGCTAAAGAGATTGGTACCAAAATTGATGAGGTCCAGAAATTTTCCAGGTAGTTATGGCTTTGCGCCGTTATGGCCGCGCGCCTACTTGGGCGTGTCCCATGAAAAGGTACTTACATATAATTTTAAATCAATTATATTAAGGAACTAAAAAATTTTTTAAATTATTTATTCAACATACTTAATATATAAAATTAAATTAATATATAAATAAAATTTAATTTGAAACAATCTCAATTTAATTTTAATTATTAAAAAAATGTTTAAAAATTATTTTATATTAATTCTTTTTTTTTATTTATTAAATATCCTTATAGCAACTAATCCTCCATATGGTAAACTAACAGTTAATAAAAAAGGACAATTAATTGGATCAAATGGAAAAATAGTTCAATTAAGAGGACCTTCACTTTTTGTTGATATTTGGTCTCCTGATTTTTATTCTGATTTTGTTGTAAGAGCAATAAAATGTTTTTTCAATGGAAATATTGTAAAATATATATTTTTTCATTTTACATATAATTTAAAATTAAAGGTACGTGCTCCATTTGCACCTGACGGTTTTGAAAAAAATCCAAATGTAACATTAAATTTAGCTTATAAATTAATTGATGGTGCAATAAATAATGGTATTTATGTAATTGTTGATTGGCATCCAACAATTGATTGGCATAATTGTTGGGATAATAATGATATTAAAAAATTTACAAATAATGCAATTAAATTTTATACAACAATAATGAAAAAATATAGAGGAATACCAAATATTTTATTAGAATTATGGAATGAACCTTCATGTAATTGGAATATTGTTAAAAAATATCATATGGATGTTCTTAATGTTAATAATTATTTTTAAAAATTAATTAAATTAATAAAAAAATTAAAGGAAGTACGTAAATTTGATAGTGAAGTTATCGCAATTCTTGGATCAAATGATGTAACTAAAGATCCTGATGATCGTGTTCCTGGAAAAAATATAATGTAATATATAGTTTATAATATAATAAATTTTTGTTTTATAATTTATTATTTCAAGGAATTTTAAAATATTAGGGTTTAGTCTCAATCGATAAGGAGAGAAATTCCTAGGATTATAATATTTAATTACTATTTATGAATATTATAAATTAAAAATTAAAAAAATATTTAAGGTATACACTTCATTGGTATCCAATATGGGAACCATTACCTTTTGACTATACAGAACAAATACTTAAAAATGCATCTAAAAAGAATCAAGCTTTATTTGTTACTGAATATGGTGATGCAAATGTTGCTCCTCTTGATGCTAGCATTGAACCAGATAAAATTAAAAGATTGTAAATTTTATTATAATTATTTTAAAGTAATTATTTATTTATTTTTAGTTATGAATTAATGGATAAATATAAACTTTCATATAATAAATGGACATTAGTAAGTTTAATTGATCCAAAATATCCTGATAAAGGAATGGCTTTAATGTTTAAAACATGTAATATTTATCAAATTTATCAAGAATCATGTCTTAGTGATTCTGGAAAATTATATAGACAACAAATGTGGAAATATGATAATGGTAATATTTTTAAATAAATAAAATTAATATTTAATTTTTAAATATTATTTATTTAGGTATCAAAGGATGTTAATATTTTAAAGAAAATAAGTGTTTAATAATTATTGGGAAAAAATATTGTATAATAATTAAATTTAATAAATTTTATAAAAATGATAACGATATTGATAAATTTTTAAAGTAATTCATTATAATCTTTATGAAAAATTATTGTTTAAAAAAAATAAATAATTTAACTAAAAATATTTTTTAATGTATATTCAATATAATAATAAATAATATTTTGTTGTTCATTTAAATGTTTCTATTTAATTTTATATATTAAAATATTGATTTCAAAGTTGAATAAATCTTAATAAATAAATTTTTAAACAAATAAATTATATTTTAACACTAATAATCTTAAAAACAAAATTAAATACAAATAAAAATTATGCAAGAAATACTTTTTTATAAATAATTTTAAAATTTTATTAATTAAATATAATTTAATTATTTTTACTTCTACATTTATTAATTATAATTTATTTATTTTCCTTTTTAAAAACAATTGAAGTAATAAATGTTATAAATCATTTTTGATAATTATCAGGAAAAGTTACGATAAAAGCTTGGAGATTTAAAATTCTATTTGACTATTTTAAGATAACTAGCCTGCTTCCTTTGAGCTAAAAAATCCTATTTGGTTGACTGCATAAGCTTTAAATTAATAAAACAATTTTAAATGATCGTGCTATGACAGGGTTTCTGCCATATACCTCTACTTTTTTCTCTTAGAAGGTACATATGGGCTTTCTTACTCATTTCTACCCAATTTATCAGTAGAATATTCTTCGTCTCTCAATTCTTTCTATGTGGCCAATCAACCAAGGAGTATAAGGTTAATCAGGAATTTAAGAGATTAATTATGCCATTATATTCAATTTCTACAAAACATTAAATTGTTTAAATAAACGGGTGAGAGGCAAAAATTTAACTTATGACTTCAAAATTTTAGTTTAATATTTGTTTTCTCTACCAATGATTAATTATGCCATTATATTCAATTTTTACAAAACAACTTATAACTTATACTATATACTCTCTATATTATACTTTCACTCTCTACCAATGAGCGATAATTTTTCTGTGTTTAGACTAAGAGTAGCTAGGGGACGGTGTTTTGTCCGCCATAAAAATAAACTTACACAATATAAGCCAGAATCGGCAGGTACTGCATTTAATAATATTGAGGACAAATGTCCATTTTTGATAATAATTAGCCGTCCGTTCCTCCAAAATGTTGCCATCCTTATACCAAAAAATATTCATATGATCACTAAGCTGCACTCTAGTGTCGAAATAGGCAGGAGATCCTACTCCAGGATTGCCAAAAATTATAAGACGCTGTGTAAATATAGGAGTTGTTCCATTCGCCTGAAATCAAAAATAAACATACTGAAAACATAGCTGTTTCAATATTATTTACAATTTTCAAATAAAAATCGACATTCGAAAAATTTATAAATTTACAAAAAATATCATTGCCATTTATGAATTCGATAGAATATTTCAAAAAATATTTATCAATAAGGAAAATATTTTTATAATATATTTGCTTTGCTCGTCCAAAGAGAAAAATATGCATTTTCAATAGTTTGGGGTCTTTAGGCGTGGCCATATATTGGGGAAATGTGTTATGTATATTACGAGGAAAGTATTTAATTTAAAGTTCAAATATACATAAATTTAATCATTTTAAACTTATTTTCTGGAAATACCTATATCTTCCGAATACTTTTACTGGCTTCCGGAAATATTTAAATTATGAGAAATGTATATACCTTTGAGGAAATATTCCTCCGGAAATGTCTATATATTTCTTCCAACTTGTATTTATTTCCGGAAATACATACCTTACGTAAAAATACATATATTTTCAGTAGAGCCCGGCCGGAGGGGTCGGTCGATATTTTTTCGATAAATATCGAAAAATATGAAAACGAAAAATATCGAAAAAAGTCTCGATATTTTTCGATTTTTTAAAAAAATTTAAAAAATTTTAAATGTTAAAATTTTGAGATTAAGATTGATTATATGAAATATTGATATCAGGGGATTTGTATGTGACCTCGATGGATTGAGAGGATATCAGTTGATATGTATAGAGGAGGATTTTAAGGGGATATTGGAGGATTATGATGTATAACATATCGAGAGATTTAGAGGGAATAAGAAGGATATTGTGGAGTTGGGGGTAGGAGAGATATCATGGAATTTTGGTGGATCAAGAGGGATAAAGTCGATATCTTGGAATTCGGAGATATTCCAACAAATTAGGGTTCCATGTGGCTGTTTTCATGGCGACGGTGGTTGCGGTGGTTTTTGACACCGGGATGGGGACAGTGACCCAAATTTTTGAATATCAATCATATCCGAAATCTTTGAAAATTACTTCAAATCGCTCTCACTTATCGAAATCCCCCGTAATTGAGCTGGCAATATTCATCCATTTACAGTGTCATAAGTTAAAATTATTTGAATTATTGATCCAACAATAAGCCAGAAATCTTCCATTTACAGCGCCGCAGGCGAAAATTTTAATAATTTTGGAAGACCAAGAAGCTATAATTCTTTCATTTTCGTCCATTTTGCGCCAAAAATTAAAAGTTTTGACAAAAATGACGTTCAATATTTTTTTCGATATTTTAATATTTTGTCGGTCGATTGTTTCGATATTTAAATTTTTTCGGTCGATATTTTTTCGATAATATCGAAAAATATATATCGAATAATATCGAAAAAAATCGTATCGAGCCGGGCTCTAATTTTCAGTATACTTTTTGACATTTGAATTTGAAGAAGGGAGAAAAAATTCTGAACAGTGAGATATGAATTTTCAAACTTACATTGTTTAAGGGGGGCTAATTATTTCGGAGCAGGACGAATAGCTGCTCCGATGGGTGAGAGTGATTATTTCGGAGTAGGCGCCATTTTTTCGGTGCAGCCTATTTTCGGCGTTAAGGCAAAACACACAAACACATTAATCTACGCTGAAAAATTTTTTGCCGCTGCGGAGGAAGCCGGGCATAATCTTCGCTATTCGGCGGCGCCTATTAGTCGTGTACCCTAATTATTTATGTTACACCCTAATACAATTTGCTTCGTGCCAGCAAAACTGGGGGTGGTCTTATACTTTGATAGCCACATGTTTTTAATAAAATTCACAAATTTCGCATTTCTATTCAAATTTTTTACATTTATTTGTTGAATGGTTATAAAATTGTTGTGTAAATTTGAGTTCTGAGACTATGTGGATGATGAAAAAAGTGAAAATTTTAGGTGGTCTTATACTTTTGTATTTTCTTAACTTAGCTTTGCACAATATTAATTAATTAAATAAATTTTAAATGGAAATAGATTGAAAACAGCCGATATGTGTGTTGACATTTCCCGATTTAGTATTTTTGAAAGTCGAGTTTTATTCTCGACTAATTCCTATATGGCACCTTAATTCAAAAGCACTTCCGTTATACGTATATACCAGGGGTGTGCGAGTTTCGCGTTTCGCCTTTCGCGGATTTTCGCGTTTTTTGGACTTTCGCGTTTCGCGTGTCGCTTTTTTAAATTTACTTTCGCGTTTCGCTTTTTGCGCGAAATGCGAAAGTTTTATACACCCCTAATGACAGGTGAAAGATGTTAAAGTTGGAGAAAAATGAGGCACGAATAAATTGTAAACTTCCAAAATCCTCAAAATTTTCGCCTCCGGCGCAGAAAAGAGAAGAAATCTGGCTTAAGGATTTCCAAAATTCAAGAAATTTTCGCCTGCGGCGCTGAAAAGAGATGAAATCTGGATTAAGGATTTCCAAAATTCAAAAAATTTTCGCCTGCGGCGCTGAAAAAAGAAGTAAGCTGGCTTAAGGACCAGGGCTGGGCGCGAAATTTCGCATGCGAAATTTAGCATTCCGCAATTGCGTTTTCTTATATATTTAATTTATTTGAAAAAGCGTATACGGAGTAACTTATTTTCTAACTTAAAAGAGCCCTGAGCCTTTATTTTTGGTCTAATTTTAAAATATTTTTGTAGTTTTGTGGCCTTTTGCCTGAAAGATACACTGCTAAAAATTAAGCGAAAAATCTAAACTTTTGTTCAAAATACATGCAAAACAAATCATAAAAAATTGACAAAAATTACTCCGTATACGCTTTTTCAAATAAATTAAATCTATAAGAAATACGCAATTGCGGAATGCTAAATTTCGCATGCGGTCGCATGCGAAATTTCGCATGCGAAATTTCGCGCCCAGCCCTGTAAGGACCTTCAAAATTCTCAAGATTTTCGCCAGCGGCGCAAAAAGAGGAAGAAATCTGGAGCCTTGGTTTACCATAATTCTCAAAATTTTTGCCTGCGGCGCTAAAAATGGAAGAACCTTGCCATAAGTTTGTCGCCCGATATTCCCCTAGATCCACCATCACTCAAATCCTCCATATCCTTCGGAATTTACCTAAATACTCCCGAGTCCCTCTTAATCCACACAAATACTAAAACGTAAACCACTAAAATTCCACTTCTATTCTACTGAAATGTTTTCAAAACGAGGTACGGACTTCTGAATATCCTGAAATATAGGATATAAAATAAAGGATGGAACCTGATTTGTCTGATATCCCCTCAAATCCCTTGATATCCCGGATGCCTGTCAAAATCCTAATGGTGATTGTAAGATTCAGTTGAGGCTTTGATTTGGAACAAAGCACTGAGTTGATAGATCCTTAAAAATTTTTCAGCGTATCGGAAAATTGTAAGAATTTCGCGTTTCGCGTTTCGCGGATTTTCGCGTTTTTTGGACTTTCGCGTTTCGCGTGTCGCTTTTTTAGATTTACTTTCGCGTTTCGCATTTCGCGTTTCACTTTTTAAATTTAATTTCGCCTTTCGCGTTTCGCTTTTTAAAATCCGTTTCGGCACACCCCTGGTATATACCTAATTGAGTTGGAGCTGTAAATTTTTTATTTTTCAAGCTAAAATTTGCATAATATCAATTAATTTGTTTAATTTTATTTTACAAATTATACCGTTAATAGGGAGTCGGAAGTCTGAAATATCTTGTTATTTTTTATATTTTTTGTTGTACCAGATTTAGCTATGTCGAAGTGCACTAGAATAACAGTTTATCCGTAGAAAAATGTAACAACGTATGCGATTGTAACAACGTATGCGACGGAGACTGGCCCCGTTATTATGATCCAACTAGACTGACGTTTTCACTGGCTTTTATACTACATATGGTGACACCACTACACAACAGTAACTTACACAATATTAATTAATCCAATTAGATTTAAGTAAAAATAATTACGAAACTATAAACGTGTGATAGTGCAACATGTTATGTTATATTTTTGCAAGTCAAGCTTTCATTGCTCGACTAATTAACAAATAAGGATTAATACTTTAAGCTTAATCTCGTTAAACCGAACAAATTGAGAGAAAGTTGGAGTTTAAAAGTTTCATAAAATATTCAATTAACTGAATTAATTTTTAAAAAATTCGGTTTAAAAATTTTTATAAATAAATTTCCAGCTCGCGGCCTAAATGTATGCAAACTTCATCCATTTGGTGATTAAGAGAGATATCGTGGGATATTAGGTGATTTCATGGCTTTTGAAATCACTTAATCCTCCGAAATCATTTAATTTTCCGATATCCCCTGCTCTTTTTTCTTTAGAAAATGATTTTAAAATCTTATTGTAATAAAGGCAAAATCACAATTTAGAATCCTATTGTGATTTTGGTCTTTAGCGCCGCAGGCAAAAATTTAAAACATTTTTGGCATTTTTGCCATCTTTCTTTTTGCCTTCAGATTAGAAGTATTTTTGCGTTAATTTCGTTAAAAATAACACAAAATGCAATGCTCCCACCCCTGGTTTTTAGATATTAGTAGGACAACCGAATGTTTGTTATTTAATTTTTTGTCAAGTAATAATTAAATAATATTAATTTTTTCAATTAATTTTAAATACAAGTTTATATAAAAATTTAACATTGTTGGGGAAGTCCTTTGCAAATGAGTGGGATTCAATTTTTGTAAGTCAGACTTTTTAGTTTGACTAATTGTTGATGATCAAACAAGATTTTTGTATTTGTTAAAAGTAAAATTCGCATAATATCAATTAACTCAATTAATTTAACAAATTTTGGTTAAGGACTAAACCTTTCTGCTTAAGGCTAAAATTTCTCGATAGCAGTTCTGCAACATATAAATTAATTCAATTAACTTGAAGTAAAGGTAAACACAAATTGTTAATATTGTTTTAATAGTCAACGATAGAACATTTATTTTTGTAAGTCAGCATTTTAATGCTTGACTGATTGTTTATTAACGATTGTATGTATTAAATTGGATTGCTTTGTTTAACTAATTTGATTTGTACTTCATATTCGATCTAGAAATACAAAAAAAAGTTTTAGAAATTTAATTAGAAATTAAACTTCTAATTTGCATTAAAACTAGAGGTCGGAATTTCGTACCGTACTTGTATTTAAAAAAAGGAGGATTTATGGGTTTGGCCTTCAGAAATTTCATGAATTTTTGCCCACGGCGCATGAATTTTGGTTTATTGGATTCTGCATTCACTTTTGACTGATTTATAGGTTTGGCGTTTTTAAAGCTTTGAAAAATTGGCATTTAATTTGGATATACTTTAGCCGGTGGCCCACTCAGAAACCGGTCAAAATATATACCATTCGATTCGTCTCGGCGAGCTGAGTCGAATGGTACCATTCTTTTTTTGCGGAAATTCCTACGAGCCGAGATATAGGTACTTAAAAATCGAAAAACCATAGGGGGGACCAAGCACTTTTTTGGGGTGAAAAATTCGAATATGCAAATAATAGCTCATTCGAAAGAGCTCGTCGAGCTGAGTCGATTGACACCAAAATCAACGAAATCCGACTTGATTAGACCGAGATATAGGCCTCTGAAAACTGTTAATCCAAAGAGGTGATTTTTGGAATTAAAATTATTTTAACCATATTATAGCTCATTTGTAAGAGCTCGACAAGCTGAGTCGAATGACACCAAAATCACCGGGATTAAACAAGTTTTGACAAAGTTACAACACAAAAAACAAACAACGTAAACCTATGGGGCATCGGCGAGGCGCTTGTGCAAAACTTCGCGCTTCGCGCGAAGTTTTGCGGCACGCGCCTCGCGGGGAGTCTACGGGCGCTGGGTCTGGGCTTGTAACATAACCCTATTCGTGTCTCCCTTGCTCTGGACGTATTTGGGGCCTCCGTAGCAGCAAAAATCTCCACAGATGCCATAGGTAAGGAGCTAAAACAAATGCTCATAACTTTGTCAAATCATGTCAGATTTCGTTGATTTTGGTGTCAATCGACTCAGATCGACGAGCTCTTTCGAATGAGCTATTATTTGCATATTCGAATTTTTCACCCCAAAAAAGTGCTTGGTCCCCCCTATGGTTTTTCGATTTTTAAGTATCTATATCTCGGCTCGTAGGAATTTCCGCAAAAAAAGAATGGTACTATTCGACTCAGCTCGCCGAGACGAATCGAATGGTATATATTTTGACCGGTTTCTGAGTGGGCCACCGGCTAAAGTACAGCCTTTAATTTTACCGCACGGCTTTGTTGTTAATCATATTTTTATTTTTAGGTCAGGGCGGCGCAAATCTTAGGGCACACCGATATAGTTTGTATAAGTCAGGTTTTTAATGTCTAACTATTAATTGATTAGTAATTTAAATCTCATTAAGCTTAAATCATTGAAAGTGTTGGGAAGGGCTTAATTTTATTGCTTCATATTTATTTTCATCATGTCTAATTTGCATAATATTAATTAATTGTTTTAATTTTAAGTAAGAAGCTTAAAATTTATATGATGTGGATAATTTCAGCAGGGTTTAAATTATTTTTGTAGGACAATATTTATTGTCGACTAATAGTGTTTTGAATGGATTTAGCTTTACAATGTTAATACTTTATGCGATGTTAATACCTTAAACTTCTAGTTATAGCTGCTGAAACGTGTAAATGAATTTAAATAGATTAAGGATTAATGGAAGAGATTAAATCAATGAGGATGATTATTTGTGAGAGTACATCACCGAATGCATCTGTGAGAAATTACTTAATTTTATCAATCAGCTCAAATCATCTTTTCTTTACCTATAAAGCGAGAGGCATTCGACTTAAAAAATAGTCAAGCACAATGCTCGACTTTCAAAAATACATTATCTCCAAGCCTGATGATCCCGCGATTGTATTAGCTACATCCATAAGTATATACAAAATTATTTGAAATAAATTATATTATGTAAATTTGTTTATTTTCTTGTACAGCACCCATTTAAAGAAAACAGAAAAATTTCAAAAAAAAGTTTATAACTTTAAAAATCCATGGTGATATACACATTTAAAAAATATCAAAAAAATTTATTTATCCCCACATATTATCAAGAATAGTTCCACTCGTCATTCTATCAAAAAATTGACGTTTCTTTCTAATTACAGTAGCCTTTCGTTCATTTTATCCTTCAAAATTCGAATTTTTTGCCAATCGCTTTTTGCGTCCCCACAAATTGTTTAAAATAGATCCACTTGTCGATCCATCCACAAATCCTCTAAAAACCTGAGCATCAGCCATTGGAGGTATATTAGAGTCTTGGAGGATAATATGAAGGAAAATAGTTAAGTAGAGTCCGTATAGAATGATAGAAGCCATTTTTGATTTTTTAAAGTTGTAAGGTAAGCAAAGAAATTTAATTTCAAAAAAATGAAGGAAGGAAATTTATTTTTGTGAAAAAGGGAAAAATTTATATTGAGCAGAATTAAATTTATTTTTGACTTGTTTTGACTTATTTAAAGAGAAAAATAGTTAATTCCTTTAACTTTGCAGTAAACACCTAATTTGTTACTACAAATGTTGTAGTTAATTAAATAAAAATTAGAGTTCATGCTTGGATGGGAGAAGAGTGCATTTGGTTATGTTGAGTCTATAATGTATACAAATTATAAAAGTGAGAGGAGATTCTGAAAATCCGGGTTAAAATCATGATTATCTGATTTCTGACAATATAATTATTATTTAAGCTTTACCCCTTGTAAAACTGTCATGATTATATGAACATGGTTTTGATCGAGTTATAAAGAGACAGGAGTGGGAGGGCGTACGAGAATCGAGATCTCGAAAAAATGAAATATTTTGTCATTGAAATACGAGATAATGAAGACCATCGACCTCGATAACCGAGATTCTCTTTTCAAGATCTCGTCCCGGTTCAATCTCCATACTTTACTTTTGTATAACACGGTACAGCATCAAAAGAGCAATATGTATCATTTTTGTCTAAGCAAAAGCTTGACTTCAAAAATATTAAGAACTTATACATAACATCTACCCATATCTAGTGTAATGTTCAAAAAGCCTTAAAGTAAAATTAATTGAATTAATTAATATTATGCAAAATTAATTTTCTATAAAACCATACTTAGTAGCTTCGAAATGTCTATTACCTCCCAAGTTGTGTTGGATGGACTCCACTATTCTTTATTATTTTAGATTTGGAAAAATATATATTTTTCAATGTTTTTGTCTACCAATTTATTTAATTAAATCTTGATTTAATTCGAAAACAAGTATTTTTAAAAAAAAGGTTTTCCATTTTTGGTAAATCAAATTATGCACTTTTAAAAAAATGGAAGGACATAATTTAATGGTTTATTTAATTTTTAAATTTTTAAAGTAAACGCAAAGAGTGATTGACAAAAAAATTTCAATTTTGAAGGAATAAAGGTAGACTACGTTTGAAACGCCAATTTTCTGCTGAAATGAGGAGTGGAACTACTATTCTTGAGTAGGGTTGCCGGCTCGGTCCGGTTCGAAAAATAGAGTTGGGCATCGAATTTTTGCCCGAAAAAATGACTCGAAGGTCGGATTTCTTGAGATCCTACGATATTCTTGAGAATATTTTCGGGTAAGGGGGGACCAGCCTGAAAAAAATGAGGGTCGTATTTAGGTCAGATTTTCACTGGAGAATTTTCTCCATATTAATTAATTAATTTAGTTTTTGTTATATGTATATTTAACGTTTCTGCATATTAGAAAATATTCGAGAGGTACTAATATTTTTGTAAGTCAGGGATATGCCTTGGCTAATCTACTGGTCTTGAGACTATGTAGGTATTGGGGGAGGGCTGGCCTGAGAATTACCAGGTTCTCCAACCCGTTTTTTTGAATAACGGCACAGTACATAAATTGAATTTTATAATCGGATTACTCTAAAATTTACTCTGATAATTTTGTCGAAGTTAACATCTTTTGAAAAAATATATGTATGTATATCCAGGAAAAAGAAAATTTCTTTAAAATTTTTTTACTTCTTTCTCTTTAATCATCTGTTTCCGACATCTCAAAAATGTTCTCTTCCTATTCTTCTTCCATTTCATCTTCAGAGTTGACATGTCGACTACCTCCTCCAATTTCTTTAACATCCTCCTCATCAGAAGATGGCGATGAAGCCTTCGGGGTGATTTTAGCTAAAAATAATTATTTTTTATTTTATTTTTTAATTTATGTTGGGACTTTTTTAGTGTCAAAATATAAGTATTAGATAGAAGAGTGAATCAAGCGGAATTGAAATTTATTAGGACAGAGTAGCAAAGGTTTGACCACCGGGTATGATTCGAACCAAGACCTTTCCCTCACTACATCAAGAGCTCGCACTGAGCTGTCGGGGCATCGACTAGCTACCGGGGCATTGATGCCAAAGCGTTTAAATGCTGATAGGTGAATCAGCCTTACAGGATGATTAGATTTATAGATCTAAAAAATTTTCCAGTCGCGAAATGACAAAGAGATGGATGATTATGTAGATTGGGTAACAGGGATATGCGAGTTTCGAGTTTCGCTTTTTTAAAATCACTTTTGGAACACCCCTGTTGGTTAAGTAAAATTAGTACCTTTCTTCTTTCCTTTGCCTGATACAGCTTTTACTTCTTCCTTTGGTTCTTCAACTGGAGTTTTAAATTCAATCCCTTTTTCTTTTTTCTGTCTTTTGGCTTTAGGTTTTTCATCATGGTCACCTGTATATTTTAAATCTAAAATGTTTGTGTTACTTGATTTATTTTTAAATGGAATCGATTCATGACTAGGGATCAGAGTTGGGCGATAATAAAATTTTGGTCACAACGAAAAGAAAACGAAAAAAATAAAATCGGCAATGTACAAAACGAAACGAAATTCATAAAAATCCACGAAAATCTACGAAACACGAAACGAAAATTTTCCGTCCAGCTCTGCCAGGGATCGCGCCACAGAAAACCAAATTACCGATTTTAGAGAATCGTAAAGTGGGTCGGAGCGATCCCTATTATGTACATTTCCAACTCGAGACGAAAAAATTTTACACTCGTAAGAAATTTATTAGCACTTGAAAAAATACATATTATAAATTTTTAATTTAAATTACCTTCCATAACCATAGAATTAAATTTTCTTGTTACTTCACCTGATAATGAAGATATTACACCTTTATTCGAATTTTTAAAAATTTTATTATTTTATTATAAATTTTCAATTTAAATTACCTTCAGTAACAGGAAAAGTAGATGCTCTGATTGCTTCTAGATGATGATACAACGGAGCTTTTGCATCTTTGTTCGAATCTTGAAAAATATTATTTTATTTTATTTGAATAATTTAATATTAAGTAAACTTTAGATATTCCTGTTTGTCAATCTTTTTAATGTAAATCTTATTTATTTTACCCATGTTTAGGACCGTTTTTTAGAACTAGTTATACTGTTATGACACCGGTTACGCAGACGAAGACAAACAGCTACTTTATCTTACAAAGAAGAAAGAACTAACTATCGGCTGGCTTTTATACTAAACTTTAACTGACTTGGCTTGTAATCTTTTAAATATCCGAGGCTTGGGAGATCCTTCAGATTTGATAGAGGAGCATCCTTATCTTCACTCATTTTCTCGTCTTGAATTTTCCCTTTGTTTACTTTACCACTCTCTTGCTCTCCCTTTTTCTTCATCAGAATCTTCAACTTTTTTGGTTTTTGATCTTCTTTTTTCGGTTTCTCATCTTCTACGCAATCCGCCATTTCAAACATTAGGCAAATTAAAAATAGAAAAATTAATATTTTTGAAATTCTCATTCCTTAATTAAATAATTTAAAGAGGTAAAAAAATTTTTTTAAAGAAATTCTCTATTCGACTAAATTAAATTTTATTTTACAGCCTAGCCTAGGCAGGCACTCATGTAGACGTTGCTCTAATTCTCTAATTCTTTAACAATTATTAAAATTAAGAAATAAGAGAGTTGTCAATAAACATGCCCTTGTCTATGCATCGAATATTAGGGATGACCGAAAGTCATGAGAGAGAGTGATGAAAGTGAGAGAGAGACTCTCGGTCTCGATTCCCGAATCGAAAAATTTCTCGGTCTCGACTTATTTTAACTCACAAACATCACTATCAATTACTAATCTGTCTACAAAAGAAGTTCAAGTTTAATTAATCGTTTAACAAATATTCGACAATAAAGTGCTTCATTTAAACTTTTTTTATGTTGCCGGAGACATTCTGCTCAATTCCTTTTGAATTCCCCCTACAATACTTTTTAGCCTTCGCTAATAATTTTCAAACACTTCATTTATGTAGACGTTGCTCTAAATCTCTAACTAATTTCTCGGGGTTTTTGAGCTCTCGGTCTTGACTCTCGGCTTTTTTTAACTCCCGAACATCACTATCATTTATGTAGACGTTGCTCTAATTCTCTAACTAATTCTCTAGCTATTATTAAAATTAAGAAATAAGAGAATTGCCAATAAACATGCCCTTGCTTAAGCCATAGATTATTAGTGATGGTCGAGACTCTCGGTGACTCTCGAGACTCTCGGCGATTCTCGAGACTCTCGATGACTCTCGGTCTCGATTCCCGAGTCGAAAAATTTCTTGTTGATGGATTTGTTGAGGGGTTTGTCGTTGTTTTTGTTGAGGGAGCCGTGTAAGTACCTTTTTCCAAAGTTATTTTAAACTAGTAAAATTCTTGAAATTTCCTTATGTCATTTGAAATTACAAAAAATTGGCCCTATTTTCATTAAAAATTTAAATTAAAGATAATGAGATCAAGTAAGGCTAATTTGATAGAGGTTTAAACAACAAATATTATAAAGTAATTTCGGATTACCTAGCCTTTACTTGGATACGGTGTTCAAGAAGAGTTCAAAAATTGAAAACAAAAGTTCGCACCTCTTCGGGCAAGATTTTCTCCCATTCCCAAAAGAGTGATTGTAGGAGGGACTCCAAACTTTTGGGTTATTAAGTAAAGACTTTTGCTTACAAGATTAAGAGGTGGGTCGGAATTCCGATTTCCGCCTTCCGATTTCCGGCGTTTTTTTTACTTCCGATTTCCGAAAAAAATTTTTATTTCAGATTTCCGAGTTCCGACTTTTGAGCAATTTCCGATTTCCGACAGTTCCGATTTCCGACACCTCTGACTGTTCCGACCCACCTCTGACAAGATTGACCAGAAAGAGTAAATATCGAATTCAAATCCGAAGAGTGCGGTGACCATATTTGAGTTTAGGTATTTTAAATTGAAAAATAGTAATATTATCCAACATTTGCAAAATTATTTTTTGTTGATTCATAATTTTCAATTTTTCTCATAGCTAAATATTTAAATTTAAAAATCCCAAAAAATGGTCCTATGATTATTTTAAAAATAATTTTTTATTAGCCAGAATTAACCAAAATTATTAAATTAAAAAAAATTTTATTGGGGAATTGTACGATTTTAATATAAAAAATTAATTTTGGAGCCATTTCCCACGAATAATCATCAAAATTAATTTAAGCTAGAAAGGGGTATATAAATAAATTTTGGCTGGTAATAAAATAAAATTAAAAATTAAATTTTATTTTAAATATTAAATACTCAAAAATATTTTAATTATTCTCTAAAAATACTAATTTGCTACCCTAGTCAACTCGTCTGAATTTAACCTTGATTGGGAGCAGCCTTCGAGCTTCTTGATATTTGAAGGGAATCGACTGGAATGGATGGAAAGGCTGATAATCTTATGGAGCTCTTATCCATCTTGACAACTTCAAATAACCACAAATCCTTCCACAGCACAGAAATTTGCTACCTACAATCGCTCAAAGATCATTGGATTCGAGATACTCTATGACAGTAAACAGTCCAGAAATTCTATGATATGATGAAAAAATGCGCACTTGTTTGTTTTTGATTACCGTATTTGCTCTAGTAATCCCCCAGGGGGATTATTGTTTCAACCCATCTCTAGGGTGGGGGATTAATAGAGCCTGGGGGATTATTAGAGTGGGGTAGAAAGAGGGGGATTATTGTTTCAACCCATCTCCAGGGTGGGGGATTAATAGAGCCTGGGGGATTAATAAAGGACTGGGGGATTAATAGAGCAAATACGGTAAATGATATTAATTATAAATAGAACTGGACATAGGCGAGATTAAAATAAAATTCTTTGGAATTTTTAATCTTTGAAAATTTTTTGAAAATTTTTTCTCAACAAAACCTAAGCCACCTTTAATCTCTAAAATCAAACATATCTTACATTTTTAGTCAATGGAAAAAATTAAAAAAGGGAGAACCGAACACTTATCACGGCAGCCTTTCAAATTAACAACGGCTACAAAATTGTAGCCGAAGCGGAAGCAGAACTCGTGGGTATCTTCAAGCACACACGCGACGATGCTGATCGTGATCTGTCTTGGGCTAATAAAACAGCGATGGAGCGATGATCCTACCGAACGCAGAATTTTCTCGAAGTTGCAGCCTACAAATCTTCATTGATTCAGGCTGCATCAACTGAATTTTTTAAAGAAAACGACCTACGATTATGGGGAGATAACGTTGCAAGCAATTGAGAAACTTGAAAACATGGCAGAAAATAATGTAAGGACAAACTTTAATTCATATATTTTGCAAAATTCTGCTTCTTGAGCCAAAATAAGCATCTTAATTTGGCTAAAGAGGCATGTTGTGTCCGCACTTGCAGAAAGACTTTTTGAAGGACGGTACACTATTGGAGGTTAGCCTCTCTGGTTTCTCTTTTAGGAGGACGTGATACTATTGGAGATTAGCCTCCATCAGCTTAATTTCGAGTTAAGATTTAAAACGAGATCAGAAGCTAATAATAAAATATTTCTGTTGGTCATAGGCTTATTTGCTTTCGTATAATCTAAAAATTGTAAAACTGAGGAACTCTAAAATGATTCTTGTTGGGTAGATTATAGAGGATAAATTACTAAATATTAAAAATATTATTTAAAATATGTATATTAAAATGAAATTTTCAGAATAAAAAAGCAAATGATGACTTAATAGAAGCTGATAAAATGCTGAGTTGCTCAATGAAAAAAATGGACTGGATGAGAAAATGAAGAAAGAAAACGTCTTCTCTGGGAGGCAATAAACAGCAATAAACAATAATATAACGGAGAACAACAAGGAGAAAATTTAAAATTTAACAGACGAAGTTGAAGCATTAAAAAACTGGAGATCTTTAGTGGAGCATGAAATCGGAGAGGCTAGGGCTCAGGCAGAGGAAGGAAAAGGCTGCCAAGCCGATAAGTATTCGGAAGATAACGCTGTAGTGCGAAGAGATGAGGCTGGTAATATTAAAGGAGGAAAAGGGCAAGGAAAAGGAGGAAATCGAGGAAGAGGCGCCCAAGGAAAGAAGAGAGCAAACAAAAAGTGGGTCCAAGAATTTCACGAAGGTCAGTCAATTTCCGTGGCGCGAACTTTGCGGACCCGAATTTTGCGGAACGAAAGTTGCGGACCCGAAGGTTGCGGACACGAAGTTTGCGGACCTGATTTTTGCGGAACCAAGATTTTAGGACAGACACTTGAGTAAAAAGAAAAATTAAAAATTTTATTTTTCGATGATCCCGGCAGAGTTTCCCATGATCCGTACCAGATCAAGATTTTCTCTTGATTTTTCAAAATTTTTATCAATTTTTTATCCTAAAATTATTTCATAATTTAAATAATCGATAAAATTCCTTAAAAAATAATTTATATTGCCATTTCATAAGGTCATGATGCCTGAATTTATCCTAATTAACGCCTCAGGCTAAAATTTTTGAAATTTCCGAGGTTCAGTAGACTCTATTGTCAGTCCGCAAATTTTTGGTCCGAAAATCTCAGATCCGCAAAATTCGGGTCCGCATAGTTCGGGTCCGCAAATTTCGGGTCCGCAAATTAAAATCCGCAAATTTCGGCGCGCCTCAATTTCATAAGAAAATTTTTTTGAAAAGACTTGTGTGTTGTTGAAAATTAAGAAATTTCCTTGGGCGCCTCTTCCTCGATTTCCACGATGTCATTGATAATAGTTTTCGCATTTTGCGCTAGATTACAAATTTTATGAGTTTAGCAAAATAATCGAAATTTCTGTTTGCAGCACTAAAAACAAAATTTTTTTGTGCTCTAGATCCTTGAAGTTCAAATTTAGGATTTTTTCAAATTTTCAGTTGGGTTAAAGTTTCGGTCCTAAACCGAAAACGCGTCCGGTTCCAAAATCCTCATGTTTCCGATTATACAGTAGTAACACTTAAATTATAAATAATAAATCTGAGAAGTATTATAAATTCAGATGTCAGTGAAGTTAAAAATTCTGAAGACGAATAAGTCCGATGATTTTTCGGATGCTTTGACTGGTAGGCAAGAACGATGCTAAATGAAGGTAAAAATGAAGGGAAATGTAATGAAGCTAATGGATGCGACTTAGAAAGATATGAAAGAGATTAACCTAGACTCCTGATGCTCAAGAAGTGGCTAGAATGACTGTTGATGAACATTAAGAAGATACATGTCTTACCAATTTTCCCCCTTTTTTTATTAGTTATCTATCAACTTAGGACTTAAAAATTCCTTAAATTTACTCATAATTTTTCATTTTTTAAATTACATACACTTCAAACTTTGTTTTTGATATATACTCTTTAATTTTGTCTTGATCGCGAATTTTAATTTTATAAATAGTAAGAATATTCAATGTTAATTAATTCTATTAATTGTCTAAAAACACTAAAATAGAGTTAGAATCGAAAGTTTATGTGATGGATATGAACGTGAATCTGAGAAATTTTGAGTTATTGCTACAATTACACATAGAAAATGTTCTATTAACGAGCTATTGAGTGATTATAGATTCTGATACTGGTACCGTGTCTTTGAGTATGCCTTTAGGCAGATTAGATATAGATCTTCACTAGTGTTCGGCACGGTTCAATACTCCCGCAGTACTCTCGAAAGTATTGACTCGGTACTTTTCGGTACTATCGGTATTGGTATTGAAAAGATCCATTTGCCGAACAATAATCTTCACCCCACACTCAAGTTTCAAATTCTAAGCAGCTACACCCTTTCACTCTTATAATAATTTAGTCTACTCCGAAACTATACGTTTCGAGTGTTAGTCTACCCGTACTTTCGTACAGAACATTTTTTCCGCATACTCGTACGCCTGTTCTAGATCATTTAAATGTTCGTACTCGTATACAGGTAAGAGTACGAATTTTTGTACAAGCTTCCAAATATCTCTTGACAGAACAATAAAGCAAGATCAAGATGATTACAATGTGTCCGGAAATGATATGTATAACGACCCAAAATTTTAGGTGTAAATCGGTTTTCATTTGTCCTATTTTCCTGAAATTTTGACACAATATGTTTAATAGCATTTAAAGTGCATATGCAACATTTGAGATCATATCATTAAGTATCAAAAGTTATATCAATTTATATTAAAATTGTGTCCGGAAATGATATAACCACCTCGGATCCGCCGGTTTATGGACTGTATTTAAATAAATTTTTAACACAAATATTAATTCATATAAAATGATTTTATTTTAAACAAAATAGGTAATACCAAGGCTGATACCCCAACTTGCCCTACTATTTTTTTCGATTTTTTAAACTTTTTATAGCAAATTATATATCATTCGAAAGAGCTCTTCAAGCGGAGTCGAATGGTACTAAATTCATCGAAATCCGACTTAAATAAACATAGTTATGAGCATTTGTTTTAATCCCTTTCAACATCACAGCATGTTTATCGAGGATTAGCTTCATAATTTTGCTCAGAATCGTCAAATCTATCCGATCATAGTATCATTCTACTCAGCTCAAACAGCTCTTTCGAATGATATATTGTAAATTATATGCCACGCAAAAAAGCTCAAAGTTGTCAGGGGAACAATAAAAAAGTGGGGGGGGGGCCAGCCTTGGTATTACCACAAAATATAAATATTTTGTGATTTGTTAAATTCAATTTTATCTTGCAAAATAAAATTACATAAAATATTATTTAGAAGGACAGTGAATTTCAATTGTTTTTATTTCTAAATCTTTTCCTTTTCCACTAATTAATCTAGCACTTTCCATTCCCAGGATGATGTGGACTTTAAGTTCATTGATGGCTTTGCTACTTTTACCTAGGTCAATTATAGTTCTGTAATAGCATCCCTAAATTTATTTACTATTATTAAATGTTAAAGTTAGAACAAAAATTAGAAATATAACGGTCAACCCCATCCCAGAAAAAAGCAAGGGTACTTATCGGTTATACACCCACAAATTGAGTGCCAGCCGAATTTGATCGGCTTTACTTTTTGATGCCTGGTCCAATTCATATAAATCTAATATCATTCGAAAGCTCTCGATAAGAATTTTTCAACTTAATGGATCAAGTCTTATCACTCGTTAAAAAGTTATAATATAATAAATGTGAAAACCACCAAATAACTGGACAAATAACTGGATAAAATGAGTGATAAAACTTGAACTATCTTATAAAATAAGGTACCGCTTATCGAGGGCTTTCGAATGATATAAGATTTATTTGAATTGGATCAAGTATCAGTAGGATCAAGTATCAAATTTGGATGGCATTCAGTTTGTGGGCGTTAACCGATAAGTATCTTTATATTATATTTTACCATTCGGAGTGGCTGTTTATGTGTTGGTGTATAGCATAGATGGTCAATTTGTAAGTAAGGGTCTGGGGTAGTGAACGTCTCATAGACGCCGCGAGCTTTAACTTGGAAATGCCCCATAATGTCGGTTAAGACAGGTCCATCCAAATAATCATCTGGATCAAGAACACGCTTATCTGTATATAAATCAAGAAATTAAATCAAGCTTTTCAATGAAAATATTTACCATCTCTTTCATAGAAGTGAATGGTTGCTTCTTGTAGAAGATGCGAAAACTCTCCTAATCCATGAATATTTTCTTTGCACTCTACAACTCCATCTACTACCCAATCTGATGATGACGAAAATTTAAAAATTGAAGCTAAAATAAATAATATGGCAGATTTAGGCATCATTTTAATTTTTTTGAATTTAATTTTTATATTCTGAATGATATATAACCAAATGAAATTAATTAAATTAATAATTTGGTTTTATATTTAAATTAATTTTTTGTAGGCGTTTCTAAAATAAAAATTTATTTTATTAAATGAATCATTTAATTAAATAAATTAAATAAATTTTAATCAAATAAATTAAATAAATATCAAATTGATATACCGTATTTTCTCGATAATTCCCCCTACCGATTAATTCCCCTCCCAAATAATTCCCCCTCCCTCGATTAATTCCCCATGCTAGAGTTGGGTTGAAACAATAATTCCCAACCCCCAAATACCCTAGTGCACGTTCCAATGCCAAAACTCAAATAATTCCCCTCCTTCGATTAATTCCCCAGGCCAAGGAAGGGTTGAAAAATTAACTCCCCAGGGGAATTAATCGAGAAAATACGATACATACACTGCGTTCCAAAAGTATATGCACCCCTAGTTTTTTGATTTTTTATACATTTTTCTTAGTTATTTTGATTAGACTTTTTGTCTATATATTCTTCCAGATAAATGTGTATGTTTAAACAAAAAAATAAAAATTTCCCCCATCTCGTTCCATTTTTATAAACATTTATACAAATATTCACTGTTCCAAAAGTATATGCACCCCCCTCAAAAATTTTTATTTAGCAATCAAAAAATCCAAAAAAAATTCTCCAAAGATATCCATAAATATAGATAAGAAATACAAAAGAAATGAAGTTCTGATGTACTTCTATCATCAAGATCTTGAAACCCGAAAATCAACGGAAAACAGGGGGTAGACGTCTTTAAAAAATATTTTCGACCCCTTACAGGTAAAATAAAAATTTAATTTTAGGCTCATTTGAAAGCCCTTGAAATTTGCTACAAGATAGCATTAATTATATTTTCTTAAAAAAATTAACCTTTAAGACAAAATTTGATAAACTTTCATGTCGTATAAATCACTCAAACGCCCCCCAAAAAGTGTTGAAAATGTAATTTATAAACTTAACTCATTATTTCTCAAAGATGAATTTTTTCTGGATTATGAGTTAAAAGCTATCTTGTAGCAAATTTCAAGGGCTTTCAAATGAGCCTAAAATTAAATTTTTATTTTACCTGTAAGGGGTCGAAAATATTTTTTAATATTTTTTTCTAATTAGCTTAAATTAATTTTGATGATTATTCTTGGGAAATGGATTCAGAATTAATTTTTTATATTAAAATCGTACAATTTCCTTTATTAAATTTGGTTAAAATTGTATAATTTTAGTTAATTAAATAAAAAAATATTCCCACAACTAAATATTCATTCTAAAAATTCCAAAAAATGACCCAGTGATTATTCTAAAAATAATTTTTTATTGCCCGAAATTAACTAAAATTATAAATACAATTTTAACCAAATTTTAAGGGGAATTGTACGATTTTAACATAAAAAATTAATTTTGGAGCCATTTCCCATGAATAATCATCAAAATTAATTTAAGCTTAAAAGGGATATATAAATAATTAAATTTTGGCTGGTAATTAGATTAAATTTAAAATTATTAGTCTAATTTCACCAGATTTCATTTTATTTGAATAATAAATACTCAAAAATATTCTATTTATTCTCTAAAATTATTTGTCTGATATCCGAGCCAACTTCAATTCAGCTTTGATTGGTAATAAATAGGGAGTGGCAAAACATGCAAATGCATATTTTGTATGCGGATATGCCATGAGCTGAAACGCTCAAAAATGGTGTTTTTACGTCGGTACGAACATTAGGGACCGGGTTCCTATAGCATATTTTTGCATATTTCGGTACTTATGTGCATATTTGCATATCGAAGCATATTTTGGAAAATTTTGCATATTTTTACCTAAATGTGTGCATATTTTGGCATTTTTTGAGAAATTGTAGTAAAAATCGGGCAAAATTTTCTTTTTTGGGCAAAAAATTTTTTAATAAAACTTTTTCGAAAAAATTTTTTTGGTTAAATTTTAAGTTCACAAAATCATTTAGAAATGCTCTTAAACTGCAATTTAGATGCTAATTTAGTATTTTTTTAATTTAGATATTGATTTTTAAAGCATATTTTCATTATTTTTGCAGTATATTTAATGCATATTTTGCATATTTTGGTGCATATTTTGGGCTTTTTCTGTGCATATATATGCGCATATTTTGGGATTTTCCGTGCATATTTTGACACGCCCTAGTAATAAAATATATAGTTCATAAGAAAAGTAGAATATTAACTTACTAAATAAAATTTAGTAAATCTCCCAAATGTGTAGGGGTTCCAATTTTGATCATAAACATTTTTGTACGTTTAAGCAGTTACGTTACTCTCACTTGAGTGAAATGATGTACGTCAGATTTTCTCTAATCTCGATTTTATCTTATAATCGGGCTATTATCTAATTCTTTTATGCTTAAGATTTAAATAATCCAAAGTTTAACGTACAAAAAATATATATCGGAAAGATTGGAACAATCAAAACTAAAGCTACAAAAAAGCAAACTGTTACCGAAAAAAAGGTAAAGAATATAATAAATTGAAGTAATACTGTCTAATTAAATAAAATTTTCCAGACAACAAAGGTCGCTACAACAAAGGTCGCTACAACAACAACAGCTTCTACAAAATTGACTAAGGTAAATTTTAAATATTCAAAGATTATTATACGTAACAGGGATGTCACGGGTTACCCGAAACCCACTACCCGAAACCCGGCCTTTTTTTCGACCCGATACCCGAAACCCGATCCGAGTTTTCTAAAAATTTTCGCCCGCGTCGCAGAAAAAGGGAAGATTTTTAGCTTAATGATCTTCCAAAATTTTTAAAATTTTCGCCTGCCGCGCTGAGAAGGGAAGATTTTTGGCTTTTTGGCCTTCCAAAATTCTCAAAATTTTGGCTTTTTTTCGACCCGAAACCCGATCCGAGAAAAATTTTGGAAACCCGACCCGAAACCCGACCCGACATTTTTCTCAACCCGTGACATCCCTGATACGTAATAGTCTAGCCGCTAAAATTATATTTAAATAACACCAAAACTTTGGAAAGATAAATATTTAATTCCTTCACAAATTCTCTCATTTGTAGGCAACAACACCTATCCTCAAAACGAAATCAACTAAAAAAATGCCAACTACAGTAAAAGTAAGTTTTACAAAAAAATTGTTTAGATAATGAATACGCCTCTCCCTCTCTCTATTGTTTAATCTAGACACTCAAATTTATTTTATATCCATTACAAAATTTTTAAAGTTCGCTGAGGTTAATCGGAAGTTAGATGTAGGAACTAGGAACTTTTAGAAATCGAAATGGCCCAAGAGTGGGATTTCGGAAATCAGCCCAAAATTTTTGGAAATCGGAAGCCGGAAATCGTAATTCCGATATACCTCTGATTCGCTGTGGATATAAATATATTTTTAAAAATATGTTCCCTCATTTAAAATTCATCTAAACAAATATTTCAAAATTCGTTAATTTTAAGCCAGTCAAGTGCAACGAACAAAACATCTCTAAATTGTACGAGGAATATAGCTGCAAGTAAGATTTCAAATACCTATTCTTATTAAAAATTCATAATATTAAGTTGCGGCAATGTTAATGAGACCAGAATTGACATGTTGGTTACTTTTTCTACATATTTAATATAAGGATACAAGATAAAAATTAAATCCCTACACCCTATATAAATTAAAGATAATTTTCCGTTATACGACCGTAATGAGTGCCAGCCGACTTTGATCGTCTTTAATTTTTGACGGTTGATCCAATAAAAATAAATTTTATATCATTCGAAAGCCCTCGATAATCTTTAATTTTTTCTAATAAGATTGATCAAGTCTAATCACTCATTAAGTTATATTTGGTGTTTTTCACATTTATTTGGATCTAAACAATACTTTATTTACACATAAGAGGATTTTATAATTCTATTCCGTTAATGAAATAGCACATTTTGAATAATACAACTATGCTTAAGGTGCTGCGAAAACCACCATTATTGCACATGGAAAGCCTCTGAACGTTTCGAAAACTGCTCTTCACTCACAAATAATGCTTATTTCATCAAAATTAAACCAACAACGTATAATATGAAGTGCCTTAATGGAAATTTTACATGCATGAATAAGGAAAATGATAGCTGTAATCAGGCACTTTGCTAGTGCACAGGTGTTTAATAATTAATGATTAAAGTGTTTCCAAATATTATAGTGGATCTGGAACTCTATCAAATCACGATTTAAAATATTTTTATCAAAAAATGAAACATTACCTTATTGTAAAGTATATAATTCCCGAGGCTATGCTGTAATGGATAACTCGTCAGTCCGGTCTACTGAAGATGCTGGTTCGCTCCCAGCCGCCGATTACCCTTTTGCACTAGCTAAAGGAGAGAAATAGCTGCTCCCAGCAGCTTTATTTTATAAGTATTTCATTATTAAGACTAAATTCTCAATTTAATTTCTGATAATTTAGAGAACTCATTCTCTGATGGGCAAAGATTGCAAAACCGAAAAAAAATGAGGTCTGTATCAGCCGACTTCTCGACAGCATCATTGATACCGCAGCATCGGTTAATGCAATAATTAAAATTTTAAAGACGACACGGTATCAAATGCTTTCCTTACAAGAGCCTATTGTTACCGCTTTGGAAAAAATCTACACCAACAAATCAACTAATAGTGAAAGCACCGGAATTTTTATTCATAAAATAACGACATT